TATTATATTTACAAATACAAATAATTAAATAGCTAATAAGATAACATAATTATACGAAAACACAAATACTAAATTAAAAATTATATTTTAAATAATAAAATTATGTTACCCAATTAATTTTTTTGTTTTAAATTATTTTAAAGCTAAACTAAATTATTAATACAGACTCGCGCGTAGCGCGAGTATAAAATCTAGTATTACATAAGAAGTTACATCACCAGGCTCATAAGTCATAAAAACCATATACTGTAGTTCAAACGCACACGAACTAATTGGTACAAGGTCCTTGAAACGATTTCAAGTCTGAGTCAAGGCAGCCCGTGCGATATACAAGAGCCAAAAGGTTGTAAGTACATCTGACCTTTTTTTTCTTAACTTTCATTAGTAATTAATTAATTACATAGGCATATCATACCTTTTTCTCCAACTTGTATGTAACAATAAAAAAAAATGAGCGAGGAATTTGTTGACAAAAATCACTTTTCAAGTTATATATCATTGCAGCAAAATAAAGTAAATATGTATCACAGACACAAGGATAGGGCGTCAGCATCAGTCTGTATCAGGAACGAGTCTATGCCGAAAGTTTTACAAAATGATTTTGTTTGCCAACTGTGAAAACGTTTGATAATGGTTTATATTATAATTATTTATAGTTTTGATGTAAAGATATGACTATGAAATTGTTTAATAAAAGTGAAATGCATGTGCAAACACAACGTGACAATGGGGGAGGACAAATGATGCAGGTGAGTAAAATTAAGAGGTGCATGAATTTGCTAATTAAAGAGAGATTCATTCCCCTTCGTACTAAACCAAATTAGGATAACTGTAACTTTTTTACTTTGTTTAATATTTTGCTAGCATCCATCTGATCGAATGGTGTGTACTGCGCACATGTTTAAACTTTAAAGGGATGGGGGCACCGAAAGATGACTACTTTACATCTTACTCTAATGATACTGGATGCATCCATGATAAGAGACATCAACTTGAGTTTGCTCAAGTGATGATGTTGCGAGAAGGACTCTCACACATAATGAACTCTTAGACTGTTTAGTAACGTTTTGGGGCTGACAACTTATGGGTAACGAAGAAAACATTGTGTTCTGTATTTAATGTTACTCCATTTCTAACAACCAGCAGTCAACATAAAAAAGGAAAAACTTCCACAATACAAAAACTAAAGCATTTAGGAAGATGGTGAAGAGGACTTTAAAAGTCAGGCCACAGTGGTGTTTTCAAGTTCCATTTGAGCAACAGTTGTGTTGATAGCATCTATAATCTCCATCTTCCCAGCACCAATAGCTTCATCCATTGGAGTCCGCTCGTACCTACAAATAAATGATCAAATCTTCTACTAGTTCAGTTTAGTTTCCTCTTATAGACAGAGAATAAAAAGATTAAAGAGACAAACCGATTCAAAAGACTTAGACTGGCTCCTGCCAAGATCATTCTCTTCACAACCTATAAGTAGCTTTCCAATTAGTTAAGCAGGAAACAAAACTTGTTTCAAGTGAGTGATGGAAGGTTTGTAACCTCGATGTGGCCATTCAAACAAGCCCAATGCAGAGCAGCATTGTTCTCCTCGTTCAAAGCGTTAATATCCTGCTTTCCCAAAAAAAACAATCCTCAATCTATCTTTTTCAGACTATATGACACATTTCAAGAATGATAGTTTGTAATGATTCTTACCACTCCTTGACTGATGAGATACTCCACTATATCCATATGTCCATTCGCCGCCGCCATATGAAGCGCTGTGAAGAGAATCCAAAAAAAAACATAAAACAAAACCAATCAATGTTCCAAGAACTGAATCAAATATTTCATGTAAAGCTATGTGCTTTCTATATTCAAAGCAGTGACATTTAACGAAGAAGCAGCTAGTAAGTAACTAATTCGAATAAAGTGAAGAACTTTTTTTGTTCTGATTAGGAAGTTTGCAAAAAAAAAAAAACCTGTTCGGCCTTGAGAATCGCGAGAGTTAAGAGAGACACCATCAAAAGCCAAGCTTTTCAGATCATCTATATCATTGTATCTAGCTGCCTATATCATTCCAATCACACAATATAAACTCAGAGGAAGTTTTTGCTCAAAAAAAAACAAAGAGGAAGAAGATAAAGAGAGATAAATGAATCGACAGAAAGAAACGGAGACAGACCTCGAGCAAGTCGTCAATTTTCTCTGCTTCCACGATCGTTTCTGCTCCCATCCTTCCACCAGACAAAATCTAATTATCAATCCTGAGGGTTTCAGTCTGGGTTTTAGGGTTATTGTCCGATATTGTTACCTTGTGTTTTGTCGGAATTTTTTTTAAAAAAATCGACAAAAAACATTCATTAAAGGCCCAGATATCATAGACTCGAAACCCAAAACTAATTCGTTACAGTACTAAGGCCCAATTCGTTAAAACCCAATAAAGGTGTTATCAGGATAAGGATTAATGGAAGAAGACACGTGTCCAACACGTGGGAGACGAAGACATGTTGACGGAAACCTAACAACGTCACTGCAGCTCCTTCAACGCCGCGAGATCTCCAAAATAAAATAAAAATCGTTAAATTTAACACCGCTAGGTTAATTTTTTTTTTGTCTGGTGTAGAAGTGGGGGACCAAAGTTGAGGGTATTGTCTCTCTGATCTACACAACTTCCTTGGTCGGTTTCCTGATTCCTCTTCTCTATTGTTCTTTTAGTTGTCCGAACCATGAGTTCTTCCTCCTCGATCCAGATCCTTGATGAGAAGCAAGTTGAAATTTCGTGTCTTCAAGATCAGGTTTTTGTTTTTGCTCTGATTGATTAAAACTAATCTGCATCTCTGGTTTTTGTTATGGTTGATTCCGTCATTCCCTTAGCTATTGAGTTCTGGGTTTAGCTTAAATTTTTGAACTTTTGGTTTGAATCATATGACTTATGTTCATCAACTTTGTGCTCTTATTATTATTAGTTCACAAGGTTGATTCAATTTCTGTGTGTTTAGGATGGAAAGAAGGGTGAGCTAGTGAGCAATGAGCTGAGTTTTGGGAACCATGGTGGGTGTTGTGCTATATGCTTGGATACTATACCTCTTCAAGAAACTGCTATGGTTAAAGGCTGTGAACATGCTTACTGGTATGTCTCTTGGTTAATCCAGTCCTGTGTATAATTGATTTGGTTCTTAGTGAATATGATTTTGCCTATATGCAAGTCTTTATGTTTGGTATCTCTGCATTTGATTCTGTGTTCAGTTAGATAAGGTGTGTTTTGATTAGTATTGAATTATAGGACTGACGTAGAGATTCTCTTTTCGTTTTTTTAAGAGGTGTGATTCATGTCTATCTATATATGTATATAGTGTGACGTGCATCCTACGCTGGGCAAGTTACAAAGAGATACATACCTGCCCACAGTGTAAGCATCCGTTTGATTTTCTCAATGTCCACCGCACTCTTGACGGCAGGTAAATATCTTCCATCTTCATTTACATTGTTACCACTTGCTTGAATATCTTTATCTGTGTTTCTTCCTTTGCAACTAACTCTGTCTGTTATATGTCACTGCAGTGTGGAAGATTTTATGTTCGAGGAGAGTGTATGCCTCCTCCTGAGAGCATCGTGGTTTAAGCCACTGGAAGCAGTGGAACGGGTCTCATACCATGACATTGACAATGATGAATTCGACATTCCACCCGAGTATGAGGAGGAGGAAGAAGAAGAAGAAGATGATGACCTTGACGAGTTTTTGCACGGCTCAAGTCTTCGTTTAGGGAACAGGAGGTGGGGTGACAATGGTTTCGTCAGATCAGGCCGCCAAGAAGCAAGACCAGCTGCTCAGCATAAGCACCGAGGTGGGGGCCAAGCTTCTGCCTCTGAATCCAGCTCTTCTTCTTCCTCACGTGAGCCAAAGGAGAAGACTAGTAACAGTGCCGCCGCAACAGGAAGGCGTGCGAAGAGGGCAATGAAGCGTGAAGCTGCAAACAAAGCTGCTGAAGCAGTAGCAGCTGCAAAGCATGAGGCTCTTTTGGTTAGGTTGGGAAGGAAGTGAGTTGAGTGTTGTTGTATCTGTAATTAACTCAACCAACCCCATAATCAACTGACTTCAATTCCATTTCTTGAGAATCTGTATAGCAAAGTAGAATCTAATAATGGTTGAAGGACAAAACTTTTTTAGATTATTAAATTTTACAATCTTTCTTAATCATTGGTGTGGTGAGTGAGACATACTATAGGTTATGTTGTGGATATTGAATCATATGAAATGAGGATTAAGTGGTGGTGGTAATGATGATCATGAAGAGTGGGTTTTGGTGGGGACTGCCATTGACTTTGGCCAATTTTTTGGGTGGTGCAGGCTGTAATCCAAAGCAATATCAAGGCTACAAACCAAAAGATATATTCTTAATAGTATATAACTGATTCACAAAAAGCAAAGACATCTCGATCCTTTACCAACCCCATTAAGACCATGGTATGATTAGTGCATGTCAACTTTGTTGACCAATATGAATTGTTGTTCTTGCTGTGATTGAAATACTGAAATCTATAGATTTCATGGTCTTCATAATGATCATGTTTGTCATCATAATCTACTTTTTATCTTCTAGAAATTCATAGGTTTTGTTTCATTTTCTCCACCAACCATATTAACCTTCCATTCAATGCTCCTGAATTTCCTCAAAGCGAAAGCTCCCCTTGCTTCACCAACACTTCTCTCTCTCTCTAGCTCTTCTCATGACTTTCCTTTGAGGCCATGCTACTGTTCAGTATCACTTTAAACGTTAGCTCATTATCTATAGCTTTTCCTTCGTTATCTTGATGATCTTGTGAAGGAACTAAACAGACATCTCTATCTTTCTTCTTCTATGGAATCTATGAAACAAGCTTCTTCGTCTAGGTTCTGCTACCATCAAGGCTTCTCAGGCGTTCTCCAAGTGTTTGTTCACAACGCAAGAAACATCCACAACATCTGTATCTACGACAACCAAGACGTCTACGCCAAGTTCTCTCTCACTTACAACCCTGACGACACAATCTCCACCAGAATCATCCACAGAGCTGGAAAGAACCCAGAGTTCAACCAGAAGCTTGTGATCAATGTGAACCAGATCGATGCTGCAGTTCTCAAATGTGAGATCTGGATGATGAGCAGAGCCAGACATTACATGGAAGATCAACTTCTTGGTTTCGCTCTTGTCCCAGTCTCAGACATCATAGGTCAAGACAGTGTTACTCAAGACTACAGTCTCTCTTCAACTGATCTCTTCCATTCACCTGCTGGTACCGTGAAGCTCACGCTTTCCATCGTCAACCCTACTCTTGTTGCTTCTTCTTCATCCAATCCCAAGGTTAACACTTCGATTTCTTCCGAGGTCGTGTTGCTTAACCCCCAAGTCTCTGAAACTGTGGACTACACGAGGATTGAGTTCCCTGACATCAATGTTGTTAACGAGAACAAACAAATGGTTACCGAGTACTTCAATGGAATGGGTGTCAGGTCTGGGACAGCTTCTTTTCTCTGTCTCGGCTCAACACATTTGCCAGAGACCGACATAACAATGGTGTGCTTGGAAGACAAAGAGGTTCAGGGGAATGGAAGTTTTATGGCTTCTTCTTCAACAACAACCAGCTTAAGCGACGACAAGAACACAGCAGATTCAAACGAGAACGAGAGTAGAGAGGTGGAAAAAGCATTAAGAAGCAGCAAAGAAGGAGAGGAGAAAATGAATGTGGCAACGGAGGAAACATCGATGCAGAAACAGATAGCAGAGATGTATATGAGAAGTATGCAGCAGTTCACTGAGTCTTTAGCAAAGATGAAGCTTCCTATGGATCACAACAATAATAACAACTCTGAAACTCAGATTCAGAATCGGAGTAATAATAATGATAATGGTACTGAGAAGAAAAAAGAAGGATCTCGTGTCTTCTATGGAAGCAGAGCATTCTTTTAATGGAATCAAAAACTCTTTTTCTTATTTTAGTGAAATCAAGAACTCATTTGCAAATAAGTGTTTTTGTGGCATTTTAGTTTCTTTCATAATCAATCTCTCTATGTTACATTCACATAATATTCCTGTAACCGAGTTTCAAACAAAATCTAAGCAGAACAGTGTACTAAAAAGATAAATCTCTAACTGTAACCTGTAGGGTAACAAACAAACAATATATTCTTGATATTGATCTAAATGACAATCAGTTTCACATCTCTTACCAGGTATTCCTCACACAGCACTGTGCTTCGCCCGTGAATCATTGCGATGCCATTACCAGAAAATGCTTTCTTTATTTTATCTAACGTATTGAGCTATGACAAATCACAGCCTTACAAGACAGATCATCATCAATGAGCCACAAGTTCAACTCCGCAAGCTTTGTCTGGATGATATTGGAATCAACTTCAGGTGACCAACACGCCACTGGTTTGCCATCTCCTAACGACTGGTTTACTCTACTGGCATTGGTATTCTCTGCAATACTCATCGTCTCTACTGTCTTAATCATCTTGCCCTTTCTCTCCACTAGCTCTTTCACTAGATGAATAAAATCTAGACCTTGTTTTGGGGGTGGATTCTTCGTGGCTGAGGATACAATGCTATGCAGGATCTCACTGCTCCATAACTTTTGAGTGATCGATGAAGATTTAACAATCAATATTCCAGAGCTTTCCCCGACATAGAAGTCGTATTCTGATCTGACTCTGTCAAGGAGTGAACCTTTATCCACCAGAAGCGCATTACTTGAAAAGACCCAGGTGGTGTATCCTAGTTCTAAGCACTTCTTAACAATGTAAGCATTCCCCAGAGCGTCCTTCACTGAGTTTGAGTAAGAAGTTTTGCTTTTCACCAACTTGTCCAGAAACATATCCGCATCAATCACAGGATGTCCCCTTCTTGAAAGATCATAGAACAACTCAGATCTAGGGCCTATAAAGATGTGGTTTCGAGTATCAAGCTTCTCGAAATGGCAGAGTAAGTTCCTGATAAACATCTTGTCTGCAGAAAATAGACTGACCAAAATTACGGTTTTGTCTCTCTGCACAGAAGGAAGAATAGTTCCAAGTTCATCCAGGTTCCTCACAACTCTACCGGGAACAACTTCACTGAAACAGTAATCGTACCACTTAAGGTTGCTCAAGGGTCGGAGTTTCAGAAAATCGGAACTGATGGTACTTTTATTCAGTAGCTGCGAGTCTGGTCCAACGGTTTTCCCATAGTTAACACCAGCATCCCTGTGAGAGACACTCAAAGCCCTCTCATTTTGGAAATTGGTGTAAATGTTAAAATAGCCACGAGAGTGAATAAACTTGATGAACCAAGGTGTCCATATTCGTTCTCCCAGCTTCTTATACCATCCATTCGTCACCTGAGAAAACACCAAACGACATAAACCATGGAATTTATAAATAATGAAATCCATGAGGAAGACAAAGTTACCATGCCATCAAGAAAAGGCTTCTTGTCCTTTGATTTATGCTCGTCATACCATAGTCTGAACTCTTTCCACGGTTTAGGGAAGAGAAGCTGTCCCCAAGTTCCCACCAACTGGTATAAGAAAACATTCATTTTGGGATCCACATGTAGTTTATTTCCATGCTTACCTGCATTTAACCAACTACATCAATCAGTCACTATTTCTCTTTTTAATACCAGGAGGTTCGGGATCTCTGATACAATGATTATGGACCTTTCTAGTTGAGTTAATGACCTTTGGTATCAATCAGACACTATCACATACGTAACTGACAAACACTAAGCATGAGCACATGAATTCACACTTCTAACTGATCCACACTTGCCTAGAAACATATAAGAAGAACCATGTTTACTCACATCAACTTCATTTTCTCTCTATTTGGACTATTCAAACGACGTAACTGGCACAATGTGTCACACCATAGTTCCAATTAATAGTAATATGTAATATTAGCTTTGTCTCAGTGGTCACTTGAACTGCCAACCTCTGATATAACGATTATGGACCTTTCTAGTTGAGCTAATGACCTTTGGTATCAATCAGACACTATCACATACGTAACTGACAAACACTAAGCATGAGCACATGAATTCACACTTCTAACTGATCAACACTTGCCTAGAAACATATAAGAAGAACCATGTTTACTCACATCAACTTCATTTTCTCTCTATTTGGACTATTCAAACGACGTAACTGGCACAATGTGTCACACCATAGTTCCAATTAATAGTAATATGTAATATTAGCTTTGTCTCAGTGGTCACTTGAACTGCCAACCTCTAACACAATGGTCATGGACCTCTCTAGTTGAGCTAATGACCTCTGGTATCAATCAGTCACTATCTCAAACTGAACTAACAAACACTAAGCATGAACACATGAAATTCCACTTCTCATTAATTCACACTTTCCAAGAACCATAAAAGAAGAACCATGTTTACTTCATTTTCTCTCTATTTGAACTATCCAAACCACATAACTAGCACAATGTGTCACACCATAGTAGTAACAACAATAGATAATATATTAAACTCAGAATCCCAAAAGACACAAACTTTATCAACTCCATAAGTTACCTGGAACGAACCTTGGTCTCTGAAGCGAAGCACCATAGACAGAAGGGTCGTAACTAGAACGATCATAGTAATAATTCCGAATCACGCTTTCAAGAAACTCATAATAAAGAGGAGAAACCTCAACATCATCTTCAACAACAAACGCAAACTCATCATCCGACCCCGGCCACCACGCCTCAAGCCACTGTCCCTGTAAACCGGCATTCCCGGTTCGATAATGAACCAGTTTCTCCCCGAATCTCCACTCGAACTTATCCACAAAACGCAAGATCTCCTTCGCGTTGTTCAAGTGATCTTCCGTCGATTTTGGTGAGGGTGTGAAGTGGTCGATGTAGACGTGGAGGTGGACGCGTTGCGTGTCGCCAGCGAGGCCGTATTGGGCGGAGGAGAGGGAGAGGAGGCAGCGGGAGAGGGAGTGGAGGCGGTTAAAGGTGAGGACTTTGATGAGGAGAGTGAAAGGTGGGAGGGCGTTGTTGTGGTTTAGGGGGAGAGTGGTGTGTTGTTGGGAGATGGAGTGTGTGGTCTCGGAGAGGAGGATGAGGAGGATGATGACGGAGATGCAGAAGAGGAAGAGGAGGAGAGGGAGGAGGTTTTTTTTGGGTTGGGTGAATGCCATCGTCGCCATGGAGGGATCACAGTTAGGTTTCCTCGAGATTGAGAGAGAAAGAAAAGAAAGCTTTAGCAAAATCAAATAAAAGTAAAGTGTAAGGTGGAATTATTTAAATTTTACTAAAAATAAAGTATAAGGTGGAGTTATTTTAATTTTACTAGTCGCTTAGCTTAGTAGTAATTAAGTACTAACCTATTAAATGAAATGCAATTTGGATCTTTATATGTTTGGGAGGAAGTTGGAACAGAACATTTGAAGATATGTATATGGGAGAGACTGGGAGTATATTTGAGATTCAAATTTGTAAATCAGAAATGGTTGTTGTATGATCTCTATACAATGGAATGGTTGTTGAATGTGTTTTTTTTCTTCTAATTTCTCTCTTAGATGTGTGTGTTTGATTTAAGAGTGACGTCAATCCTAAACTCTTCCTCTCTTGTATGGTGTTGATAGGTATAACATTGGAGTTTGGTAGAACTTAATGGTTTTTTTTTTTGTGTGTGGAATTTAGAATGTGAAATTGTGGTGGAATAGATGAACAATGTGAATAAAATGTATAATTATAAATGAAATAGCATAATGAAGTGGAATCAGGTCCATGTTTGGTAGAATCCATTAAAATATCTAAACCCACCAAGATAATGACGTTTAGCCATTTCATCTCATCGAAATCTTAATATAAAGAACACTAGATGAGAAAATACAGAACTTAAAGGAAAAAAAAAACACAAGAAACTAACTATAAATTGTTAACTAACTAGTAGAAAGAAACTGATAGGAACAAAAGAGAGCAAGGATTCAAGTCTGGTGAGCTGTTGGTTGAGGTCACATGGGATGAAAGGGTGGCTTATGACTTCATGTGCATTAGTTCTCTCTCTTTCTGATATTTACAGCTATGAGTTAAGTTGGCCCTTAATCAGATCCATTAGTTAAATCAGAGTTAAGTAGATATATGAACTAGTCATTCTCTATCGCCTTCGGCATCCCATGATGAGCAATGTGATATGGCTAGGGTGAAAATGACCTATAATGTGAGAATGTGAAAACATTATAATCTCGCATACACACTGAAGTAGGCCTGCACTGAAGTACACACTTTTTAGAAAATCCTTGTTGTGGAGTCAAATACGTTAAGGCTTTGGGCCTCTGGCGCACTTGTGATGAACCAATAATTTGCTTAGTATCATATCTTTGCTCAGACTTGTAGTTACCACTTAGTTTTCTTTTTGGTAAAACTAGTTAGTACTTTACTTTGTCGTTTAATTATTTTGTACTTCGATTTTTTTTTCAGTTTCAAATTTCTATTGAGAAGCACTTTGCTTGTGTCGGTTTAACGTTCCCACTAATTTCTTCTCCTCTATTAACTGTCCAGCTTTGGCTAAAGCTTCCTTCACTGAGTTTGAGTAAGAACTTTTGCCTCTTTTATCAACTTGTTGACAAACATATCCGCCTGAATCACATGAGATCCCCTTCTATGAAATGATTAATATTTAACTATTCATTTCAACATTATACATATTTCCCACAATAACAAAAAGTAAATTAGAATATTTGAAAAGATAAGATAAGAAGCAAATAGAACAATAAACTATGTACGTACTAGTCAAAACTCATAAAAGAAAAGGAGGAGATGTTGGATCTAAGTCACATGGGACGCAATGGTGATTCATGTGCATTGTTATCTTTTTTATTACACCACCTCATTTTGTTGCTACCCGAATCCGATCCACAAGCTAGCTCTACAAAGACAACCCCATTATTGTTTCTATAGTCCTCTACTTTCTGATATTTAAAGGTTGCAGTATAAGTGTTATAAAAAAAAATTACAGTACACTTTGATCCTATAATTATTAATAACCGTAGAAACTACAAAGACTTCCTAAGATTTAAAATTAATCCACAAAGTCTTGTATCCGAGTGCGCATGGATGATTAAATCCTTTCAAAGCGCGGTTAACTGATGAATGCTATTCGTACCCAGAATGATGCTTCCTTAACTTTATTTACCACTAGACTAACACGATTTGGTTAATTATATTCATCTTAACACTATTTTTTTGATGTGTTTAATTAATTACGAAAAAAACTATGGTCATATAAATAAACTGGTTTTGTTATTTATACCACTAAGGCATTCCAGGTTTTTCTGACTTAGTTTTTAAGATAGAGTAAAGATGATTACTTTATAAAAGTTTTATTGACCATTGAAATATGACTGTAGTGTTATGCAAGCAAGGACAAAGTCGACCAAAACTTACATGATACATGAAAAAATTCGTAATTCATCAGCATTTTCTTTAGTTACACTTATATCGAAATTAAATGTGAAATGCCAGAAAAGTTATAGAAAATCCCAAAAGTTAGAAAATAAGCTTTACATGTGTAATCATATATTTTACCTTGTGTGTTACTGACCCACTGTTTTTTTTTTTTTGTCAGCCGTCCATTTACTCTAAATCAAGTGGTGACCAGTCGAGTCGATTCCCCGAAGAGAAACTCCGTCTGGCCGGGTCTGATCTATATGAGAAAATGTATAGCCTCTACTCCTTGCTTCTTTAGCTAGTGCATCTGCTCTTCCATTTCTACTTTGCGGAATATGAGACAGACTCACATCCTCGAAGTCTTCCCGTAGTCGTTGAAACACCTCGATCTCTGTCACGAAAGTCGGCCAGTCCTCTGGTCTAGTAAACATGTCCACTAGATCCGAATAATCCGTCTCAATCCGTATCAAGAATTACTGACCCACTGTTCACTTGTTCACTGGGCTATCTTTTGTATGTTAGATGAAAAGGCATAATAGTAAATTACTCGAGATATTTTTACTTTTAGTGACGTGTGACAATAATAGTGGGAGAACCGACAATCACAATCCAATTATAAACAAGTGGTCCCATCTATATACATCTCACCCAACGCCCCTACCTGCAACGTTGATTTCTCACCATCCAACGGCATCCAGCCTCTCATATATTAAATTAAATTACAGCCGTTGGATCAACTTACTTTTCCCACTTCTTACTCTTCCGATAAATAAATCCACCATCTTCACTCCCCCCTCTCTCACTCCCTATCCTTACTCACTAGATCGATCCACCGTGATCCTCTCCGATCTCTCCGGGAGTCTCTACATCTTCGTAACCGTAAGTCACTTTCTCTTTTACTCTTTTAAGTATCATTATGTAGCTGATGAATTGAGCGGATAATCAAACTCCTACTCACTGTAATACTTTGATTGAATCCTTTTGCTCCAAATCTGTAACTGCTCTTGATCTGCTCCGTTTCGATTTTGATTCACAAATCACTTGATAATGTATCGTCGTTTGAATTCCGTGAAGGATTTTGAATTCCGCTGAGTGATCTTGCTTTGATTCGTTTAGATCTGTTTGATCTCGGATCACGAGATCTAATTGTAACTGTCATATGGATCTGATACGGATGTAATGTTGATTTCTAATCGAGAGATTCTTGTGTTGTGCATTTTGATTTCAGATCAATCGAATATGAGAGAGATCCTTCACATTCAAGGTGGACAATGTGGGAACCAGATAGGATCCAAGTTCTGGGAAGTTGTGTGTGACGAGCACGGGATTGATCCCACTGGTCGTTACACTGGAAACTCCGATCTGCAGTTGGAGAGAGTGAATGTTTACTATAACGAGGCGTCGTGTGGAAGATACGTACCCCGTGCTATTCTCATGGATCTTGAGCCTGGTACTATGGACAGTGTCAGAACTGGACCTTATGGTCAGATCTTTAGGCCTGATAACTTTGTTTTCGGGCAATCTGGTGCTGGAAACAACTGGGCTAAAGGGCATTATACTGAAGGAGCTGAGCTTATTGATGCTGTGCTCGATGTTGTGCGTAAGGAGGCTGAGAATTGTGACTGTCTTCAGGGTATGTAAACTCTACCTTAAGGTCTTTGGATTGTGATTTTAGACGTTTCTTGTTGAAGTGATGTGTATGATTTGGATTTTTTCAGGTTTTCAAGTGTGTCACTCGCTTGGTGGAGGCACTGGATCTGGAATGGGAACTCTGCTGATATCTAAGATCAGGGAAGAGTATCCTGATCGGATGATGCTTACTTTCTCCGTCTTCCCATCACCTAAGGTCTCGGACACGGTGGTTGAGCCATACAATGCGACGCTTTCAGTTCATCAGCTGGTTGAAAACGCTGATGAGTGTATGGTTTTGGACAATGAAGCTCTTTATGACATCTGTTTTAGAACTCTGAAGCTTACCACTCCTAGCTGTAAGTCCCTTCCACGTTCCTTTTTTTTTGTTTCTGTGAAAACTTAATCTTGGCAACATGAATACTGTTGGTTATTTATATAAATGCGTCATTGACACAGTATCCAATTATCTATGATTCGTTTGTCTTATCTGTTTGCTGATGTCTTGTGATGGTCTGACTGCAACAGTTGGTGATCTGAATCATCTGATCTCTGCAACCATGAGTGGAGTTACCTGCTGTCTTAGGTTCCCTGGTCAGCTCAACTCCGATCTGAGGAAGCTTGCAGTGAACCTCATTCCATTCCCTCGTCTCCACTTCTTCATGGTCGGTTTTGCTCCTCTCACCTCTCGTGGCTCCCAGCAATACCGCGCACTCACTGTCCCTGAGCTCACCCAACAGATGTGGGATTCAAAGAACATGATGTGCGCAGCTGACCCACGTCACGGCCGGTACCTAACAGCCTCAGCAATGTTCCGTGGTAAAATGAGCACAAAAGAAGTGGACGAGCAGATGATAAACGTGCAGAACAAAAACTCATCCTACTTCGTGGAATGGATACCGAACAACGTGAAGTCAAGCGTCTGTGACATAGCACCTCGAGGTCTCTCCATGGCTTCGACCTTCGTTGGGAACTCGACATCGATCCAAGAGATGTTTAGGAGGGTGAGTGAGCAGTTCACAGCCATGTTCAGGAGGAAAGCTTTCTTGCATTGGTACACAGGTGAAGGAATGGACGAGATGGAGTTCACTGAAGCTGAGAGCAACATGAACGATCTGGTCTCCGAGTATCAGCAATACCAAGACGCAACCGCAGATGAAGAAGGAGAGTATGAAGAAGAGGAGGAAGAAGAGGTAGAGTATCAGGAGTGAAAATGATGCTGAGACTACCGTTTTCTTGTTCGTTATCCCTGCCCTTAGTTGTTGTTGAGTTTCTTTATGTACTTGTGTTGTGATTGTCTTGTGTGTAAAAGTGAGAGGTTGGAGGTCGAGATTGTTTATTTTGTTGTGGTGTTATAATTGAAGTCTATTGTGTGTGTTTTATGCTCTCTTGCTGCTTCAAATAATTCGTTCCCTGATTAGAGTTTAGTAGAATATGTACCTGAACAACTCGCAGAAGAGAAAAAAAAAAGACTTCGTAATGTTTCGCATAAACAAAGATTAGCTTCTTTTACAGCTTGCGGTTCAGTATGATTTTTGCAAACTCCTATTGCAATCTTTCCACAATTAGTGTTTTAATTGTTACGTTGTTATAGATACTAGTCAATCATTTAATTTGTTAATTAAAAGCAGGTTTGGCAAATTTATATTTTTATTTAATGAGAAATTTTACAAAGCCTTGAAAGAGAGACACAGTACATAGGAAGAAGATTCAGATTTAAGAGAGAGAGAGAGAATAGGAGGAGAAAAGGAAGGAAGCGATGGAGGAGCAAGAGTTTCGTAACATCCTCCAGCTCTTCCCCGTCGTACGATCTCGCGACCACCGTGTAATTCTCTCTTCTCTCTCCCCTTTTTCTCGGGGGAAAACTCTTTTGTTGATTGTTTCTACCGCTGCTGCACGAATCTTCTGAAAACCCTAGTTTTCTATTTTATTCTTTACTAGTGTATACGAAAGGGCTATTATTACTAGCACCTTGGTGTTCATCATGAACCTCTCTGTTAATGGTTTTGGTAAAATTGATAGACTAATCTGATTGATGCGACTAAGGTTGTTTTGATGCACAGTTACAACTGTCTTCGCCTGATATAGTAATTCATTCATTACGTCTGTGTTAAATTCTGATACCAATTGAGATTTGGGTTTTGTTGGTTTCAGGTTGATTTAGATTCTTCAGATTCAAAGCAATCAACTTCACAGTCAATTGTTGAGCGTGAGGTACATTCTGATGTCTTTAGGCTCTCCTCTTCATTTGCTGATGATATTATTATTGTTATTATTATATACGTATGAAGTGTGATGGAACTTGGAATCACTCTAAGCAGGCAAGTGTTGATGAGCCGAAAGATTTAAAAGATTGCAAGACTGATCAAGGTATGCATCTTTTTTCCCTCTACCTAGGGATTTTTTTTTTTTGCTAACTAGTTGTAATAACTCTTTCAAATTCATAAGTTTCATAGAGAAAGGCTAAGAGATGTTTTCTTCCTTCATTAAAAAGAAACAGCGTCTGAAAAATACCATGTGTTTTTGTTAGGAAGATTTGGATATGGTTTTCATGTGATTATGACCAATGAAATGAAGCATTCATGCTCCGTTTATCTAAAGCTGAAATCTAAACCTATTCATTGCATTTGCTCAACACATAGCTGGCATCTGGATGCTACTTACTGTTACAAACTTGCATAATTTATTTCTCTTAAAGAAGCATGCATTTTTATGCTTATTACGAGTAAGATTGCTATGTATATGCATCATCTTTATAATGATTTTTGGAACTCTTTTGATAGATACATCTTCATTCTGGGATAAACTCAGAACGTCTGCTGCAAAGAAGGTAATTATTAACTATCACCACCGACTCTGTTCAAACGTTTCTAATTGATGGATGAGATTTAGGGTTAAAGGCTTCAAGCTCGTAGTTATAGGCATTTGATGGGAGAGTAGACTTGTTCGCTTCTTGACTTGTGCACTTGGAATCTTTCACTGAAAGAAATGATACTTGTTTCACCTCTGATTCTGCTATATACTGAACATCACATTGTTGCTAGATTTTCTTGTTTTAAAACCTTAATGAACTTCACATTGTTGCAGGTTGGTGAGGTTGAAGCAGAGAGGTTTTGCAAGGCTTTCGAGAAACTCCACAAGAGACTTGTATGTCTTCACACTCTCTTATTATCTTCTAAAGACGTTTCTTGCAGGTCGGTTCTAATGCTGGGGTCTTTTCTTTGTCTCATGTGTCTTGGTGGTTCATTGCAGGTTTATGAAGAGTTGGATCTTGAAACTGCAAAGCGATACTTATCAAACTCTTAAATGCATGTCTTCGTTACAATATGCAACCAAAGGCTTGAGATTATGTGGAGATATTTCGACTCTCTTTTTGCTTTTTGAGTATCGTAATTATGTATGAGTGGTCAACAATATATTCTCTTCTCGTGTTCAACTAATGATGATTCTCATCTCATATGGTAGAAAAAGTTATGCTTGGGATATGCTTAATCAGGATCTTTTATTAATTTTGTGTTATTATTATTATTTTTTGTTGAATCCATAGTTTTGTGTTTCTATGATTGTTAATTTCTCGTTTTTGATTTCTGATTATGGCTTTGGATAATCTATTTCTTGTCCCTACATTTCATCTCGAATTTTCAATGAGAATGTAATCACATTTGTTTTTTCTTCTCTTTTTTTTCCCCTTGTAGTATTTTATTCCGACAGTTCTCATTCTGTTTCTTACACATCGACCACATCTAGTCAAATGTAAAGTCGTAGGAAAATGCATTGTGTATGAAAGATAAAATTATACTGTATACTACCAGACTTGTCTCAGGTTAAAGAACTTTCGTTTTCTGTTGTATATGAAGTTCATATACTGTATGTTTGTTGTTTATCTTTGCCTTACACCTGAAGTTAACTACGTACTAATAATTGTCTTAATACAGCTTTACGGTAATAGTTATAAATCATGCGTTGAACAAACAAATTGTAGTTTAATATTGCAGCAGCATGACATTTGTAATCTTATATCTTTCACATCAAACTCTGTAAGAGTGTAGCTTTATCATAATTTCAATTGAACAATGATGTTCACTCTTTTTCTTTGGCATCAACAATGATGTTCATTTTATCATCAAAATATACGTACCACACCAAAAATCCACCTGTTTCGTATTCTTTCTAAAGGAAAGAAAATATAATCATTTATGTTAATAATAATCTAAGATCAATCATCTTAAAGAAAACGAAGAACTATTTTCACAGACTCGTTGTTCAACACTCTTGAAATCTCATACCTCCACATAGAGCATAAGTTACAAAATCATGGAAGATCACGTAGGATTTAAATGTATATCACAGTGTAAGAAAAAGTAAATAGACATGGTTCTTTTTCTTGCTCAAATCTGTTTTATTCTGACAAAACTTATAAGAACAGCAAAAAAAGTATCAATTGTGCAAAGGATTAGGACCTGTGAAGACCCTTCTCTTGTTATCTTCAAAAAAAATTCCACCACCTTCATTAGTATATCTTGATCCTTTTGAAGCATCAGTGGAAGTGGAACTGTGATCATGAAACTTTGGATCCAAAGCTCCTGGTTTTTTCAAGCTTCCATGAGTTGAATGGTGAGGAATATCAAGAGAGGATGACGATGAAGCTTTAGCGTAAAGAAACAGAAACAAAAGAAGAAGGATGATGATGAAGGCAACAGTAGTAGTGATGCGTTTCTGAGATTTTCTTCTGGAGTAGTAAGTTACCATCTTTTCAAAATCTTCAAGAGAGTTTTCCTGTATAGCTATTATAAGATATTTGTTTAGAATCGGTTTTAAGAAGAAAAATGAGGGAATAATAATTAAAAGATATAAACAAGATCTCTTAAATTCTCTGTGAAAGTCTCACTTAGAGTGAGAAGAGAGAAATGAAAGTGATGGAAGAAAAGCTAGGGGGCTTTTAAACTATGACTTGCTCCAAAAGGTTGTTGCTCTCCCTTTCTGTTTTCTTTCATCCATCACTTTATAAAAACAAAAAAAAAGAGAGAAGAGAATTAGAGGGTTTGTAAGTATCATTATATTTTCTTAACTAAGCTTTGGTTGAATCATTTCCAAAGGTATTAGATGGATTAATTGGTTAGTGGTGTTATTACTTATTAGAGTGGTAAAATTAGAGAGCAATGAGGGTGTCAAAAAGCATGTAGGTAGAGTAATTAAGTGAAGGGTCAAAGAAGCAAGAAATAGAAAAAGGGGGCCAAGAAAGGGGAAGTGGAGTGATGATTCTAAGAGTTAGCTTTCTTTGGGGAAAATGATGTTGTCTGTCTTCATTCCCTTTTTTCCTCTCATTCCCCACCCACATTTACACTCACACACATGAAACAATTCAGATACCACTTCAGTGTCTCCATCTTATTTACCACTTTTCATTTTGTCTTTCTAGAATATTAACCTTTTACAGAATTAAGAGGAAAGAACTCTATAAAATAATATGATTCTCCAGTAACTATTTGCCAAGAAATACCGACTGTATCTAACTCTATAACGTGACTAAATTGTTTTCTCTCATAAATTTTTTTGAATCATCTAATTTGTGTTTACATATATCTTATGATAATTACTCATATTCTTTAAAATGAGACAAAAATCATCATTTAATTTATACAGAATTAGAGCAGGCCTACAAACATTGTCTTATTCTCCTTGCCGACCATGGCCACCTGTGATGTTCAACTAAGGATGGAAGAAGAAGAAGATTCTTGAAGATAGCATGTGGTGGGAAGTCTTGTGGAAGTTAAATCTATTATCACAAAAAATAAAACAAGATTATAAGCTCTATAAAAATGCATTGAACTTTTTATAACGTAGAATGAAACCAGTGACGTTGAGTGCGGCGTTACTTACAACAAATATCAAATATGGTTGGAAATTATGAAGTTTTTGTTGTTGTTGTTGTCTGTTCGTGGTTATTTTAGATGTTGGAATTAAGGGAACTGGTTGTTAGAAGCGATTATGCTGGGATTAGAAAATGAACTTTTGATAACAACATGTACGTACTAGAAAAAAAAATGTACGTACTAGAGTATTTTTTTTTAATCAGTTATCACCTTAAGCTTCTAGATTGACTGGCTGTGGGGGGGCAACTCGTTCGACCACATAGCATACGTACCATATGTTGTTACTTGTTATGGATGAATTAATAATTTGTGTGTGTTTGGGCCGTACACAGTGCGCGTCAAGCCCACTCAGAGCCCATAAAAAGGCGAACAAAATTATTAGTTTAACAGACTCAAACCGAAAGAAAAATAAATAAAAAAACTGGAGAACTTGTTTTCCCGATTGGTTAAGAAAGAAACAGAAACTCTTCTCTCTCTGTCTCTGTATCAAACCCTAAACAACAAACAAAAGTACTCTCTCTCGGCTCTCTCCCCCCTTCCCCTCGATCTCTGTCCCCTTCACTTCCTCTTCAATCAAATTTGCGCGGGAAATCGACTTCCCAGGAACCCAACCAATCACCTTTCTCTCCCTTCCCCGTTAATTCTAGAGCTCTGGAATAGAGCCCCCCTCCCCGTAGCTAGATTTTGATTCCTCGAACAAGATCCGGGCTTGTCAAAAACGTGTATGTCGCCTTCTTTCTCGTACCAATTGAATCTCAGCTTTGTCTTGCGTTGTTTACAAATCCCAAATCCTCAAACTCTTGTTGACTACTTCGCTTTATGATTTATTATTTGAGACCTTTCATAGAAGCGAATGTAGAAAGAAACTTTCTTTTTTGACCTAAAAAGTTTCTTTCATTTTTTTTTTTTACCAATTCAATACTTTTCTTCAATAATTGTTCAAAAGGTTCTGTCTTTTTGAGAATTTCGAGAGCTATTTATGCTAAAGCAGACTTTTTTTTTTTTAATCTCTAAGTTTTTGTTTAGTCTTCACTATGTAATATGAGTTGGTGATTAGCTTTAGTATGCACTAATAGCATCTTTCGTTTTGATACAGTGATCATGCAAAAGCAATTCATAGCGTGATAAAAGAAGATGGAACCTGACCAAACCAAATTTGGAGGTAATTTGGTTTCAAATTTGGATCTCATTTTTGTTTCTTTTTTGGATCATCTGCTTGTGGTTAATGTGCTTGTGGTTGTATATTTTCAGGTCCTAAAGAGCTGTGTGGTGCCGTGGATCTTCTATCTCAATATAAGCTATTGCAGCACCATGAATTCTTTTGCAAGAAATCACTTACAGAGTCTCTATCGGATTCTCATTATCTTCATAATGTGGTTGGGGATACAGAGATCAGAAAGGGAGAAGGAATGCAGTTAGATCAGCTTGTTCAGAATATGTCACAGAGCCGGGAGAGTAATAATACTCGTATCCAACCTTTTGGTATGGATGAGCTTATGCAGGCTTTCCAACTCAGTGATATGACTCCTGTTGAATTGCCTCTAGTAAGATTCTGCTTCCTCTCTATTGATAGTTTTGAGCTTTGACATTGAAAATACGGTTTGATAATGCATCCGGTTCTTTGGTTAATTGAGAATCATTGACTGATAAGCTGAATTACGTGTGGATATCCTATGAAGATGTATGACTTAGGTACTAAAACCTGAACATTTCCTGTTTTTATTTTAACGTTTCAGGAAGAGAAGGGAGCTCCTACAATTCCACCCAAGTCAAAAAGTGAGTCGAAAGATAAGGATAGGAAACATAAAAAACACAAGGACAGGAGTAAGGACAAAGATAGAGAGCATAAGAAGCACAAGCACAGGCATAGAGACAGAAGTAAAGATAAAGACAAGGACCGAGACAGAAAAAAGGATAAAAATGGACACCACGATTCGGGTGAACACTCTAAGAAACATCATGATAAGGTAAGACGTGTTTCTTTGTTGCAGCTGTCTGTCTTGGCAAAGAAGAAGTTTTTGTGTTATTTTGCTTTGGACTTTTGCTACTTGCTTGAATATTGCGTTGTTTATTGAATTTAGCAGATCTAGGCTGCTCTATAAAAGTTTCATGTATATTTTTGATTGCGTGATCCTACTGATGTTTCAGAAAAGGAAACACGATGGGGATGAAGATCTAAATGACATTCACAGGCACAAGAAAAACAAGGTAATCGTAGTGCAGGTGGCTCAAATTGGACTTGTACTCAACTTGAAATTTGCATCATAATGAAAGGTTTCTGAGAAGTAGTCTATTATGTTTTAGTAAGTATATTAATTCGTTCTTGAATTCTTTTTCGTTGCAGCATAAGAGCTCAAAGCTTGATGAGATGGGTGTAATAAGGGTTGCTGGCTAAATTGGTAGACATTCCCAATTTTGTATTCTGCGATCCAGTAGGTGTCATGGAGGAGGTTTAGAATCACTTTTCAACTCACTGTAGACTATATACTAGGTAAGCATCTGTGTACTGTACCGTCCTGTCTCTCTTGATTAATTAGCTTGGGGTGCCATCCATTGTTTCATTTCCGTACAACTCATTTTGGTAATTCCAGATTCCTTCTTAGAACATATCTGTCATCATAATCCAGACACTGGTTAGATAATCCATTTTTAGGGGAAATTGTTTGTCATTACAAGCTTTGTCATACTCGAGTGTCTTTTGTGTTCTTTAAGTTACTGAAGTCCAAATAGGGAACATTGCACATATCCTAACTGTGTGACTTCTATATTAGTATAGGATTCTTCTCTGGTTATTAAGAAAGCTGCACTTCATACACATCTTTAGAGATCGGTAACCTGTTAAAAAGAATGTGTTTCTAATGGAATGAGATAGTGTCAGCTAACAAACAAATCAGGATTCCTTGCACTTTTGTTCCCCTTATATTTTGACTTGTGTTGGTTTTGAACAAGAGGATTCGTTTGCTTCTTCCTGGGATTGGCTTTGTAGGTTAAAATCTCAAAATGGTGAATTCATTCCGTGAAGAAGAAGAAAAGGAAAACTTGTGAAGGAGAAGAAGCGAAATTCATATCACGCAATTGGTTTGGTGGCAGCTTTGTAGCATTTTAGTCTTGGGGGTGTTTTCTTATTCTATATCTTTGATGTCTATAAAATCGAATACACTCTTTACTCTATTCATGTAAAATAATTTGTTATCCAATTAATGTTGTTGAAAAAGGATTTGTTAGTGTTCAAATATATGTGTATGCCTAGCTTACTTGTAAAAGTTGATCAAAATATCAGTGTAAGTACATGCCTGTGAACGTTTCCAAACATTTCAATCAACCACAGATTTTAACTTGAGAATCCATCCCAAATAGCTCTTATAACTCTTTTCCACTCACAACCTATCCTAAGGCATCCTCTGCCTTCCACTTCATCCTTTAACATCAGATTCCCTTCTTCAAATTTACTTTCATATTTCTCAATTCTCATCTGCATGTTCTATATCCATCTCAACTTCTTCCTCGTGTGTTTCCATTGTATTTGAGCCAAGATCTTCTGTACTCTTCCTTGCTCTCTTAAATGTTGACTTCTCAAATTGCTGACTATTGGATTCAGTTCCTCTTTTGACATTGTTGTTAACTTTTTGTGCTTGTTTTGAGTTCTTAGGAGCGTCGAAGGTGTTGTTTCAAGAGTATAATTCAAGCATCACAGATGAGATTTCTGCCGAGAAAGAAGGGTATAGCTGCTTACAATCTTCCTTGTCTTTTTATTAGAACCTGAAACTACAAAAATACACACCAGATGACCATACAAACTTGAAGAAATGCAATGAGAAACACAGGGATGCACTGGCAACCATAACCGAAGTATCATCTAAATTATGTGGGTAGTAGCTTGTAAACTACATAGAGGTACAATAAGGGAGACATAGATGAGTTCATTTAGTTTTCTCTGCTTTGGCATTGCTAGCCCCGTGCACAAGATCCTAAAAAATAAAAAATGAGTCTTCTTACATTTTTCTTTGACCAAAGGAGAGTCATATTCAGGATTCTTCTTAAGTTGGAAGCAGAAAGATAGTTTCCGGAGTTTAAATTTGACTTCTATTCTGATGCTAAGCAGTTCCATCTCCTTCAAGGGCATTCGGTGTTTCTGAGTTCCCACTAATATAAGATTTTAACCATTCAAGTGCCTACAATGACCAACAGATGTAAGCACACAAATTAAATGCTTCTGAAACGTCCATGGACAGCAGCACACTAAACACATTTTTGTTCAGGAAAAAGGTATTTAATATTATGGTCTATGAAAATGAAAGTATGTGTAACTGTCTTAGTTGGTTAAGAACACTCTTGTACCACTTTTCAAGTGTAAAGCACAAGGAAAGTGAAGAAACAAACAGTCATGTGATTTATAATAATAATCTCCCAGCAAGTAATACAACACTAAGCGCTTGTTGAGTTCTGTAAAGTGCTCAAGGAACGGACCAAGAAATAGCAAAATCATCTCATCTTCCATTAGTAAATCACTTGAATCCACATAGTTCGTTTAATTCCCAAATTGCGTTAAAATAAACTTCTAAAACCGTCTTAGGTAAACCAACCAATGAACAGAGCAACTGCGAAATTTGACCATTTTAGTGGCATACACCATTGCAAGCATATGTCTTCATTTGGTTAGGAGAATCCGATTGATGACATCAACAGGCAAAGCGTAGGCTGGATCAATTGCTTTGACTCCGGGATACTCAAGGAGGGAAAGCCCTGCACCACGTTTTGATGAAATGAGACCGCTTTGTTTGGTTTCAAGTCAATGAAGATGAGCTTAAAGAGACACATCTAAGTTAGTAATTACCTGCAACTCCAAAGTAGGTGTGGAAGATATCAACAGCATCGTCGGGTCTGTCTGAGATGCCTCCGTTCTCCAAATCCTATTCAAAGGAGGTAAGATTAGAGCTTCAAAGCAAATTGGGAACGATACGACTGGTCTCAACGTGTTGGAGACAAACCTGACAGTCCAAGATGAACTTGACAAGCTTTGCTTTGTCAATCCAGTGAACTCTATCTATCATGATCAGGCTCGATAAGACCCACCAAGAATAGCAAACCTGACAACAAAGAAAAATCAAAAGTATTTTAAGAACTAGAGAAAGCATATTAAAAGGTATCTGTAACTGGAGAGGAGGTTAACGCCTACATCAGGCAGCTTCTCGGGTCGTCCATTTAAACCCCCTGACTTGACTTGTCTTTCACATAACCACCAACCAAGCAAGTCCTTATCAACATGATGGAGGCTTCCAGTAATAGCAAGAGCACCCACGCAACAGAAAACTGCAGAAAATAAATAAATAAAAACCGTGCAGCTACCATGAAACTTTATAATACTGTCTACACAATGGTTTTAGCTATAACACCTTCAATAAGAAACAACGCGATGGGATATGACTAGTCAACTCAGTAAAGTCATTAAAAAATCAATTGCAAGTAACAAGCGGGAGGACACAGGAAACAAAGAAGAGGCTCAGATAGCATAACATACTCTGTCCTGCATGTGATTCTGCTCCAGGTGTGCACCCAAAACCACCATCAAGATTTTTGCAGCTAACAATGTAATCAACGGCCTTCTCAACATTGATTTTGTCAAGACATTTCAATATTGAGAGACAGCATATAGCTATGTACGAAAACCTACATTAACAGTCAATAAAGTGAAATCACCAACAGAAAACATATAAAAAATGTCTTTCTACTACCTCGTATCTACTTCTCCCCAGATATCTCCTGAGAAGGATCCATCTTCATTCTGCAGACCAGCAACATCTAATTTCGTATATAGGAAACCTTAATGATATCTAACATAAGAAATAAACAGCTTATTTTTCTTTGCTAATCATATGAAAGTTCCACCACGAGGACTAAAGGATACAACTTGATACTTTCCCAACGTCAAGAATGTCGAGTTTGTCAAAGAGAGCCAAGATTTGTACAGCACTCAGTGTATACAAAACATGTGGATCATGTCCAGTATTTCCAGCAAAGCCACCTGCTCAGAGAAATACCACTTGTTTAAAACATTGATACTGAAGAGATATCTTATGATTGGAGAACAAAATGTGAAAGCTTATAGCAAGTCCAGTGGATCCATATAAGTGCCCTTTTTATAGTTATAAAAAAATAACTGATCTGCAAAACCGTATGGTAGAGAAATATAATAGTACACACCAGATTCATGCTGGCAGGTCATGAGCCATGAAACCACTTCATCTACGGAAACAGAGCCAAGCTTGTCGAGTAAGTCTAGAGTGGTGAGTCCCCAATAAGCACCATTCATTCTTAGGTGATCCATCACCACTGACTCAAAACTCTCTTTCTTCTAGTGATATAATAAGAAAATTGAAAACGAAAAGAACAAGTTACAATCATAGTGACTTAGAACAGAACAAGGTGATATAGTTTTCCAGTACCTTCTCTGCCATAAGAATGTAACGTACATGCTTGTCAGCTACAAGCTGACCCATCTGCCATATAAGATTATTCACAGTAAAGTCAGTAACTTTGCACAAATGAAAGAATCAGACTTTAATACTTCAACGGGTTAAATCTCTAAAAGTATCTTCAAAGAACTATAAGCTCGATGATCTGTCCCCTACGCAAAAAAGTATAAGTCTTTAAACCTCAAAACCATAGAAAATGCAAATTAGCATAAACCATTTATGATTTGAATTGAATTCGAGCTCCGATCAAGGTAACGAGAATTCATCAGATAACAAAAGAAGAAGACCAACTTGAGGTAGAGATCGAACAAGATCATTGAATTAGAAGTTTCGCATTTGGTTACCTGGAAGGAAGAAGAGGAAGAGCTCATCAGCAGCAGAAGACAAAGTCGCGCGATTAGAGGGGACTGGAGCTGGAGGAAGGTCGAAGAGGTAATTCTTTAACCTACACTAAGGGGGCTTTTATTGAGTCAATGATCTGAGAGAATTTAGGATTTGAGTAAATCCAAGAAAATTTCAGATTCGAGTAAATCATAAAATATTTGTTATCATTTCTAGGGGGGTTGGGTTTTGAAGATTTTTTGTTTGTTTTAAACTAAACTAGATTTTGACCCGCGCAACCGCGCGGGTGTTTATTTTCATTTATATTTAGTTATATAAACATTTTATTTTCACTTGTAAATTAGTGTATATTATAGTAATCACATATTGCGCGGGTGTTTATTTTCATTTATATTTAGTTATATAAACATTTTATTTTCACTTGTAAATTAGTGTATATTATAGTAATCACATATTTACAATATGTATAGGAATTTTTTTTAAACATAATAATATTATATAATAAGCGTTTTAATCAAATAGATTGTTTCAAAGTTTCTATATTATACATGTTTTTCATGTTTGTTTCTTCTTCTATATTTTATTGTTTGTTAGATTAATATTTCATTTTTAGATAAAGTAATATAAATAGAGTTTGATTAATTATTAGTATACTTTAATTTGCAAGATAATATAAACTTCGAAGAAATTTTTGCTAAAAACTAAACTTGTAGCTTCATAAATTAATATTATAAAGAATTTTATTAAAAATGAATTTTTTAAACAATATTTTTTTAAAAACAATATAGTTTTAAAATTTACATCGAAATAAATTTTGTCTAATATATATAGCGTGTAAATTTTGTTAGGGTATATAAATATTTCATATTACTAATCTGTGATTTTTGTTAATATATTGTAGATGCATTTAACCTTTATTGACATATTTTCTTATAAATAATAGAAGATTCCTAAACTTATATCTATTGACATATTTTGCGTGACTAAGTTGGAAGGTGTGGGGTAATTTACCAAAACCAGATTGTTAAGTGTATCTTTGTTATTATAGATATGATTTTTTATAAGATATAATAATGATAAGATTATTAGAGAGTTAATGTAACATAACTTTCTAGTAATAGTCCATTTTTTAAAAAATCACACATGAAGTCAAGTCATGACTTCTGTTTTAATATATAAGATTACTATAATTTGATATTATTAGTATTTAATGAAATATATAAAAATTAATTTATGAATAATTTTTATTTTATTTCAAACAGTTTGGTTTTGTTTTTAAAAATTCGAAAGAAATTTATTTATTTATTTTTCAAGTTTCAAATACCACTATAAGGTGGTATTTTAATCTGTTGTTTTTACTATTAAATGTCATCAACATTTTATCAAATCTTATTTGATGAATTTAATTGACAAAATTCATATTTTCCAGTAAACTGAATTTTTAAAGAACTTAGACAATAACTAATCCAATAAATTTGGATTTTATATAGAATTTTTAAATACTAAATGTATTAAGAGGTGATTTGAGAAAAAAAAAAAACAAAATGTTCTCAAATCTTTGGTTCAATTAAAGACCCCTAAACCTTCTCCCTTACTCAAAGTGTTCTATGGGAAACCGAGAACCGGCCGGTTTTAACTAAATGAACTTGTTTTTTTTTAGATTCTAATTGTGGTTTTGCGTAGGAACTTTACCGGTTCGATATTCATTTGATTTTTGCGTAGCGTTGACGAAATTTGGATCGGCCAATAACAAAGAGACGAACAAATTATTAGGAAAGTGAAATTTTATTTATATAACAACAAACAGACGTGTAGTGAGATATTTCGTCAGAGCTTCTTCATCATCAATGGCGCTAAGACCTATGGAAGATGCTATCTTCTTCATCCTCTCTCTACTTCTTCTGTTTCCGTCTCCCTCCGTCTCAGATTCAGCTACTGATCAGGTGTGTGTGTGTTTGATCCAATACTTGCTCTTGTTCTTTTTCTTCTTCGCGTCTTTGAACCTTGAAATCACTAGAGAACAGCTTCTTTCTTGTCTAGTCTCGTTGTTTGATCTGTTTCTCTGATGAAGTGTTCATCGTATCGAGTTGGGTTTGTTATAAGGAAACAAGTTCAATCTAAGTCTTTTTTTTTTTTTTTTATATCAAAATTCAATCTAAGTCTTGAGGTTGGTTTTAAGTAAGTAACATATAGTATCTGATCAAAAAAAAGAAGAAGCAAGTAACATATAGTTTAAGTTATTTGCTAATCCAATTCATTAACTTTGAAGAAATTAAAATAGAAAAATATTAACTTTAGAAGTAATTTCTCAAAGGAAGTCTATTCAGACAATCAACTACCAACTATCTGATGAGTTATGAATGTGTTTTTTTTTTTTTTTTTTTTTTTCTTTTTTGCAGTTTTGTAGTGCAGAGAGAGGGTATGGTGTGGAATCTTGTGGGCCTTCATCGTCTTCTTCGTCGACGAGGATTTTGATCAAAGGAGGTACAGTTGTGAATGCACATCATCAACAACTTGCTGATGTATATGTGGAAGATGGTATTATTGTCGCCGTGCAGCCAAACATTAAGGTATTAACTATCTCCCCTTTTAATCTTCTATCCTTTTTTTTTTAATTTTTGGTAATCTAAATTTCAGTTTCGATTCTCTTGTCACTCTGTATCAGGTTGGGGACGAAGTTACTGTACTCGATGCTACTGGAAAGTTTGTCATGCCAGGTTAAAATCAAATCTTAGTAGTTGATACATTCATCATTTGTGGCATTTTTCTTCTTCTTTTACATTGTCGTTGATGAATGGATAGTCTTCTACAAGTTTATGTCTAAAACATTTTAGTTATATAAGCAAATGATCATGTAGGAAAATTTGTTTCCACAGTTATATATATCTGATATCCGATCCTAGAAACATGTTTCAATTCTAATTAAAAATGGTTAGCCTTTCTTATTCTTCTCTTCTGTAATGTCAACAGGAGGAATTGACCCCCACACGCACCTCGCCATGGAGTTTATGGGTACAGAGACTATTGATGATTTCTTCAGTGGTCAAGCAGCAGCATTAGCTGGTGGAACAACTATGCATATAGACTTTGTTATACCGGTCAATGGAAATCTGGTGGCTGGTTATGAAGCCTATGAAAACAAATCCAAAAACTCCTGCATGGATTACGGTTTTCATATGGCTATCACAAAGTGGGATGATGATGTTTCCAAGGACATGGAGATAATGGTCAAGGAAAAGGGTAAGGCCTACTAGTTTTGATGTTTCTATTCCCTTAGTTTCCTCTGCTATGATGAAACTGAGTGCATTTATTTCTTTAACTTGTAGGTATCAACTCTTTCAAATTCTTCCTAGCGTATAAAGGATCACTTATGGTCACTGATGACCTCCTCCTCGAAGGTCTTAAAAGATGTAAATCCCTCGGTGCCTTGGCCATGGTTCATGCTGAAAATGGAGATGCAGTGTTCGAAGGACAGAAGAGAATGATTGAATTGGGAATTACTGGTCCAGAGGGTCATGCTCTTTCAAGGCCTCCTGTGGTAATATAGGCCTTGTATTTTCTATTTTATAAATAAGCTTCTCTCTTTGTAAAATTGGTTCAAGTTAAAAACTGAGATGCTTGTTTGACAATGGCCAGCTTGAGGGAGAAGCCACTTCGCGAGCAATTCGTTTAGCTCGTTTTGTTAACACGCCTCTCTATGTTGTTCATGTGATGAGTGTTGACGCAATGGATGAGATTGCTAAAGCTCGAAAAGCAGGTCCTCTTTTACTTTTACTTTTTTTCTCTGCTCCCTGTATGGAACATATCATTAGTGTAACATATATGTGGATTGCTGGTGTCCCTAATTTTTTCTATAAATGGATTTCAGGGCAGAAGGTTATTGGAGAGCCTGTTGTGTCTGGATTAATCCTGGATGATCATTGGCTTTGGGATCCTGACTTCACAATTGCTTCCAAGTAAGAAAATTCTCTCAGGTCCTGCTAGTCAAAGAGGTTCCCATTTATTTTTTCAGGTTTTTATTCAAACTCTTCTTTTTTAATCAATATTTAAGGTATGTCATGAGTCCACCAATTAGACCAGTAGGCCATGGGAAAGCCCTACAAAATGCCCTTTCAACAGGAATCCTTCAGGTTATTGATTTGCGTTAAGTAGAGAAACATGAGCTATAAATAGAAATGTTTAGATCATTTAAAAAATAATCCGCTTCTTGGCATTATCTCTGTAGCTTGTAGGAACTGATCACTGCACATTCAATTCTACACAAAAAGCTTTGGGACTTGATGATTTCCGCAAAATACCTAATGGTGTTAATGGTATAACACCTGACATTACTTGTTTCTTACTCTCTGCGCTCATTTGTCTCTGCTTCTGTGATTTGTAAAAAAATACTTTGGACTTGTCCATGTTTAGGTCTTGAAGAACGGATGCACCTGATATGGGACACGATGGTGGTAAGTACTCATTCATTGGCTGTTAAATCTTCTTTCTTTAAAAAAGGCTTTAATCGGTTTATTGTATCATAATAATATACCAGGGGTCTGGCCAAATCTCTGCTACTGATTTTGTTAGAATAACCAGCACAGAGTGGTATGTTTGCCATTAATCACTGATTTTCTTGATATCGATGATATGCTTTTTGATTTCATTTCTTAACTAATGTTTTTGATTATCAGTGCTAAGATTTTCAACATCTTTCCACGGAAAGGAGCAATCCTTCCTGGCTCGGATGCAGACATTATCATACTGAACCCAAACTCAAGTTACGAGATTAGCTCAAAGTCTCATCACTCAAGATCCGACACTAATGTCTACGAGGGCAGAAGAGGACAGGTAATATGCATCTTGCAAAGCCTCTCTTGACTGATATGTATAGAAAAAAGATCTGATGATGAAATTTTGTTGTTGATGGTTAACTCTCAGGGAAAAGTTGAAGTGACAATAGCGGGAGGACGAATAGTATGGGAAAACGATGAGCTTAAAGTAGTTCCAGGAAGTGGCAAATATATAGAGATGCCTCCTTTCAGCTACCTTTTCGATGGGATCGAGAAATCTGATGCTAACTATCTATCTTCTCTTCGAGCTCCAGTTAAGCGTGTCAGGCCTGAATCTACATAAATCGCAAGTATCATCATCTGCATATTCATCATTTGATTCTATACAAACATTTTGTACATAACTTTCTTTCTTAACAACAAGATCTTAAAAACTATTTATGAATAAAAGCTGTTCTCTGTTCCACTTTTTTTATTTTGTTTATTCGAGTCTTGGTCTCTGTTCCATATCTCAATTCATCTTATTGAAAGAAAAATCGGAGAGAAATATAAAGCTTCTAAGAATGAATGGCTTGAAGATCTTAAGCTTGGTAATCAAGTAAACGAACCTGATCCTCGTGAGAAAAGAATTAAACTGAGCCCTAAGCCCAAATAAACTCGTATTTGGGCCTTTTAGTTATTAGGCCCAAATAAACTCGTATTCCACGTCGGCCTCCCCAAAGACGGTTTTACCCTTTATTTATCCGCCTATATATTTATTTATTCAACCGGCAAAACTAGAGAACTCTCCGGCGATAAAGGAGATAAAAAAAGCTATGACGACGATGAGTCTCCGCAAGCAAAACACTCGGCTCCCACCAGAAGTAAACCGCGTCCTCTACGTACGTAACCTCCCCTTCAACATAACGAGCGAGGAAATGTACGATATCTTCGGCAAGTACGGCGCGATTCGCCAGATCCGCATCGGATGCAACAAGGACACGAAAGGAACCGCCTTTGTCGTCTACGAAGACATCTACGACGCGAAGAACGCCGTGGACCATCTCTCCGGGTTCAACGTCGCGAATCGGTACCTGATCGTGCTCTACTACCAGCACGCGAAGATGAGTAAGAAGTTTGATCAGAAGAAGAATGAGGAAGAGGTTGCTAAGTTGCAGGAGAAGTATGGTGTCTCTACCAAAGATAAGTAGACACGTGTCGTTAGATTCGATGTTATCATGCGAATTAGTGTTTTTAATTGGGGAGAAATCGATTTAGGGTTTTAATTTGGGGAAAAGTTGAACCTTTTTGCTTAATCTTGGTATGTATGTTGGACCAAGCTATTGAATTAGGGTTTCAGCTTCATGTAGCTATTAATGTTGTAAAAATTTGTGTGATTTGCTGCAACATTATAGTTTCTGAAGGATATTTTTTGAGAACTTGCCATTGTTGACGACGTTGTGTTCAGCTTTGTATCTTTTCTGGATTGGTTAGGGTTTTTGATAAGAGGTTAAGAACGTATATCACTGACACATACAATAGAATTTGAAAAAAGAATCTTTTGGGGATTGGTGTTCAGCTTTGTATCTTTTGAGGATTGGTTAGTGTTCAGCTTTGTATCTTTTGATGATTGGTTAGTGTAGAGGGTAAGAACATATATCACTAACTCATACATTAGAATTGAAAAGAGAATCTTTTGAGGATTGGTTACTGTTCAGCTTTGTATCTTTTGAGGATTGGTTAGTGTTCAGCTTTGTATCTTTTGATGATTGGTTAGTGTAGAGGGTAAGAACATATATCACTAACTCATACATTAGAATTGAAAAGAGAATCTTTTGAGGATTGGTTACTGTTCAGCTTTGTATCTTTTGAGGATTGGTTAGTGTTTTTGCTAAGATGGTAAGAATATATATCTTTTGAGGATTGGTGTTCAGCTTTGTATCTTTTGAGGATTGGTTAGTGTTTTTGCGAAGAGGGTAAGAACATATAACACTAACAAATACAGTAGAATTGAAAAAAAGAATCTTTTAAGTACATTGAGAAACCAGAAAAAAATGTACATAAATCAAACACCTCCCCTCAAATCTCCACTTTTTTTTTGTTTTCTACCTTCTTGAGCTTTCTCATCTCTTAACGATGTCCTCCTATTGAATCATTAGTAATCCGAGCATGCTTTTAATTTTTTGATGTGTGCCTTGTCTTTCATTGTTAAAAGGAAGATGAGTTTTCTCTGACTCATGTTCTGCTCTCTTTTGATATCTTCTCTCTTCCTCTACTTTTACATTTGGTGTCATTTAAATGAAAGGTCACGCCGCTTCTTTGGGATAGGATCAGGGTTTCCTTTTCTCATCATTGCCACGAATTCATCATAGTTTATCCGGCCATCCTGCATTAGAAGTTTGGTTATGTTAATAATGAGGTTGTTAGATGCTTTGTTTCAGTTTGTGAAGGGGAGCGTTGTTGTTTCTTACATTGTCTCCATCGACCTCTGAGATTATTTCTTTGATGTCTCTGCCATCATTCATGCCAAACTCTCGGAGGGCTTGCTCCAGCTCTTCCATTGTGATATATCTGGGAACAGCGGGCATTATTTGAGGTGAACATTTGGATTCATAGCAAGTTTTATACTTCTGTGTCTGGTGTTTGATTTTTTCTTTTTGAGAATCAATTATATTACAAAACTGTTAAGTGCTTACCCGCTGTTGTCTTTGTCGAAATGTTGGAAGGCTGAGTATAGATGTTCTTCTCTGTCAACTCTGTTGATATGCATTGTGGCTGCGATAAACTCACCATAGTCTATTGTTCCATTACCATCAGCATCGGCCTATAGAATACCATGGTTACAGAGAGCAAAAATTAGAAAATCAGTGGTGAGTCTCCTTGTTGCTTAGCATATGACAGAGGTAACACAAAGGACTTACAGCTTCCATTAACTGCTGGACTTCATATTCTGACAACCTTGTACCTTGCTTAGCGAGTCCCTGTCGTAGCTCCTCGAGTGTAATTGTTCCACTGTTATCAGTGTCCATACCTTTAAACATCTCCTTCAGCCCCATGATCTCTTCCTCTGATAAGCAACCTGCTATCACCTGTTCAAGGGTTGTTTTGAGGTTAGGATACTCTACTACTGTGAGCTATATTCTATTCATATTTACTACTGGGCAAGAAATGTGATTTGTTACCCGTAATGCAACTTTCTTGAAATTGTTCATTGCTTTGAATTGCTTGAGCCTGGACATCACCGCATTGTCAAGAGGAACATCTGGTGCTTCTCCATCCTCCTTGATCCATGGATGGTCTTCACAAAGAAAAAAAACAAGAAAGAGAAAACATGAATTAGCATGGTGATAGATTGTTATGATTTTTGTGCGTTTTGTAGATGCTTACTTAGAACTTGAGCAGCCGTTAGTCTTTGCTTGGGATCAGAGTTGAGCATCTTCTTAACAAGATCCTTCGCCTGAGGTGAGATTGATGGCCATGGATCACTTGAGAAATCAACATGGCTCTTTAGGATGGCGTTGAATATTCCATTCTCCGATTCTGTGATCATCAGGTAATCACAACAGATTAATATATATTTAAACAAAATCATGTTTATAATCTCTTTTTTTTTGTAGACAAAGACAAAAATGGAATGACTTTACCAGCCCAGAAGGGTGGGACACCACATAAGAGGATATACAACATGACACCAATACTCCAAATATCAGCTTCTGGTCCATACTTCCTTTTCAAAACCTCAGGTGCAATGTAATAAGCACTACCCACAATATCCTTAAACACCTCTCCTGGCTTGTAGAAAACAGACAACCCAAAGTCAGTGGCCTTGAGAGGAGCCTTCTCATCTTTGCTGAGCAAGAGAAAGTTCTCAGGCTTCAAATCCCTGTGAATAACCCCCATGGAATGACAAGTATGAATAATTTGAACAATCGTTCTCAGCAAGGAAGCAGCTGCTCTCTCCGAGTAATGTCCTTTAGCAATAATCCTATCAAACAACTCTCCACCTGCACAAAGCTCCATGACCAAATGCACAGAATGCTTATCCTCATAAGCTCCTTTAAGCTCCACAATGTTAGCTTGACCAGTCAGGTGATGCATTATCTGCACTTCCCTTCTTACATCCTCAATGTCTTCTTTGTTCACAAGCTTCCTTTTAGCAATGGTCTTGCAAGCAAATTGCTGACCTGTCGCCTTCTGCGTGCAGAGATGCGTGACGCCAAACTGTCCTCTCCCTAGCTCTTTACCTAAAGAATATGAGGATTTTACATCTTCCATGGGACGACCTAAGACAGGTCCTATAGGGCCTTGTTTGGTTGCAGGAGGAGGAGAAGGAGGAGCGTGTTTGGATTGTGGTACGGAGGCTTCAGCAGTTGGACCAGCGTTTGAAGCAGTTATGCCGCGTGTGTCTCCGTTGTCGCCTGAGTCACGTCCGTTAGAGCAGCAGTTTCCCATTGTTGCATTAAAGGGTGAAGAGAGGAGAGGAAAGGAGGTAAAAGCTCAAGGAGGAAGAGAAGTTTCTTTGAGAGGTTTTTTGTGTTTTATTCTTTTTTTTCTTCTTCTTTTGGTTTGTTGTTTCTTCTTTAGCAAGAAAAGTTTTGGTGTTTTGGTTGTGAATTGGCTATGAATAGAATGTTTTTTGTTCTCTTCGTTGGCCTTTGGTTCAAAGGGTTTGTTGTTGATAGGGAGGAAGTTTAGGACCTAAAGCTTACTCTGTAATGTTATTTAAAGTAAAAAAAAAAAGACGTTATGGATTTAGGATTAATTAATTTTTTAAAAACTGTCATTAACTAATACAATAATCAGCAAATAATAATATGAAAATCCACCTAACCAACATAACAAAGATTTCTTTTGTCAAATGTATAATGTGAAACGATGACAAAAGAAAAAGACAAAAGGGTAAGAAATGTCTTTGTCGTGGCGACTTTTGATTGGATCGATGCATAGAGTTAGACTAGACCGTGTTGTGTCTGAACTTACCCCTTTCTCTTCTGTCTCTTCCCCTTCACTCAGTAGCTGCAGTAGGTCAGAAACCAATAGTTTCTTCTTCGTTTTAGTCTTGATCTCTCACTATAGCTGAAAGCAAAGGGGAAAAATGGGAGTAAACAAGGCAATCGACTCTGGCTAATGTGTCTCATTTGATTCGTCTCTGGAGTGGTTCTTTAGATAGAAATTAGTTCAGACTTCTGCGCTTTTTTTTGTTGTTGTCTTTTCTAGATTAAGTAGTGTACTTTGTTACAATGGCGGCTTCTTTAGCAGCTATGCATCGGCCACAAGTTGGAGCTTCGAATACGGTAAATACAGTCTCTACTTTGATTCCTCCTTGGTACTTATCATCTTGTTTGATTCGTGGGATTGTTGAAGATTGATGTGATAAACAAAGATTAGTGATTTTGTTTGAAGGCATATGAGACACTTGAGTAAAAGTATGAGACTTTTTTGGAAAGATTCGATTTTTGCTCATATGACTGGAGCCAGTGGATAAGAAGTGTGATTATATGCATTCTTCTGTGGGGACTTAGTTCTGGTGTCAAATTCATTACCTCATATCCCCATTATATAAGCATCATTATTGATTAAATAAATATCACTAGGCATTATTAGGTGTAGTGTTTGATTTTTGCTGCGTCTGTGGATCTCCTGTTACTAGCTTGGTATTAATAAATTAGCATAGATCTTAGCCAACCAACTGAAGCAAACGCAAAAGTTATTGTCTCACTGGTTCGTTGGTAATGGAAGATTCTTTCAGATTTGTTTGTTCTTTTTATCTGTAGCTTTGAGTGATTGATCTATATAATAATTCAAATCCCATGATAATTCTTTTGTTGTATTCCACTATGAATTCTTTGAAAGGTTTATAAGAGTGGTCCTCTCTCCATTTCATCAAAAGGTGACCTTCTATACTTTCCTATTCTATCAGTCTTGATTCCTTAGTTACCACCATCTTGTTGTCTTCAACTTTTCAATATTTCAATTCTGATTGGCAGGACTTGGTTGGACTTCCTGGAAGAAGCGTTGGTTTATCCTTACTCGAAACTCTCTGGTGTTCTTCAAAAACGATCCGGTCAGTATTGTCCTTCTAAATCTGATGCTCACTAATCATTTGTTATGTCGTCCCTCTATCAGTCTGTTATAACAATGCGCATGGAGCTTGAACGATCTTAATTTACACTATCAACTGTCAAATTTCTTGGACTTTTATTTAACCTTTTTTTTGGTTCAAAAAAATAAAAGACTTTTAGTTAACCTTATCTCATTGTTTCAACTGTTTTGGCAGAGCGTATCACCACAAAAAGGGGGTGAAGTAAATTTGACTCTTGGAGGCATTGACTTGAACAGTTCCGGGAGGTATGTATTGCTTGTAATTCTTGTTTGTAAGAACAACTTAAAATTTTCTAGCATGTGTTAACATTTTTCGTTTGCAGTGTCGTGGTGAGAGAGGATAAGAAGTTGCTGACTGTATTATTCCCAGATGGGCGTGATGGACGAGCCTTCACTCTGAAGGTGATTTATATATTATAATAGTTGACTTCATTTTATACCCACATAATGAACTATGACTCCTGTGATATGCTTCCAATGAAATGCTAATTTTTTTTGGCTTACATAGGCTGAGTCATTGGACGACTTGTATGAGTGGAAGGCAGCTCTTGAGCAAGCCCTTGCGCAAGCTCCTAATGCAGCATTGGTAATTGGTCAAAATGGGATATTCCGAACAGAGGCAAACAATACATCAGAAGGGTCCCTTAATTCATGTTAGTTCTCCTTTTTTTTTACTATGATCAGATCCTCTGCTATGGTTCCCTTTCATATTTACTTATGTATAACGATCACACGCTGTCATGCAGGGAGGGATCAGCGCCCATTGAAGTCTTCTGTTGTTGGAAGGCCAATTCTGCTTGCTCTAGAAGAAATTGATGGAAGTCCATCGTTTCTTGAAAAAGCACTTCAGTTTCTTGAGACATATGGTGAGTTTTTTTGCCTCCGAGTTTTGATTAAATCTATTGTAACTTGTAAGCTATATAATTGTAGAAATGTTTTTTTTTCTTCTTCTAAATATCCATATAAATGTTTTCTTCTTTTTGTCCACACAGGAACCAAAGTAGAGGGAATCCTAAGGCAGTCTGCTGATGTTGAGGAGGTAGAACGCAGAGTTTATGAGTACGAACAAGGTATTGATATTGTACATATGGACCTTTTCTTTTGGCTATAAATTCCGGAAAGCTATAATACTTTTCTGATTTCTTTCTCTTAATTTTCCAAATTTACTTATCTAGGCAAGACAGATTTTAGTCCTGAAGAGGATCCACATGTTGTTGGAGACTGTGTTAAGGTATTATATATTGCGCCAACTATGCTTTCAAATTTATTGTGTTAAAATATTTGTGTAATGTTATTTGTATGTACAGCATGTTCTGCGGCAGTTGCCTTCTTCTCCAGTTCCTGCGTCGTGCTGCACTGCTTTGCTAGAAGCTTATAGTAAGTCTTTTTGTATACGAAATGTATTGTTTCTACTTTCGTTTATGTTTGTGTATATAACTTGTTAACCTTTTTCTGTAGAAATTGATCATAACGAAGCTCGGGTTAAATCACTGCGCTCTGCCATAGTTGAAACATTTCCAGAACCAAACAGGCGACTACTACTTCGGTGTGCTTTTAGATTTAGTCTTTGAAATTATTTTGAAAGCTGCTTAGGCATTCTGTTTAGGCCTTCAACTTAGGAGGATATTTAGATCCTTAGCTGCATGGAAGTTTATTATTTTGGTTACTTCAAACAGCTTTATTCTCAGCATGGATTTTGTTCTGTAGGATTCTAAAGATGATGCATACTATCACCTCTCATTCCCGTGAGAACCGGATGAGTTCATCTGCTGTAGCTGCTTGTATGTCCCCATTGCTACTTCGTCCTCTACTGGCAGGAGAATGTGATCTCGAAGGTTTTGACGCTCTAGAAGATAACTCTGCCCAGCTTCTTGCTGCCGCCAATGCTGCCAATAATGCTCAAGCCATTGTTACAGCCCTTTTGGAAGACTATGGGAATATGGTCAATGTAAGATGCCATCCGATCATTTAATTTAATATCTGGTGCCACAGAAAACAACATGCTCAACTATTTGTTTGCAGGATGATGGTCTTCAAAGATGCTCCATTTCTACTGATTCTCATATTGGCGAGAGTGGGCCTGAGAACTCAAGTGATGAAGAGGACATAGAGGTTGAACGTCCTGACTTGCGGAATGTGGATATAGAAGATGGCCAAACGGATGATGATAGTGATGTAATGCTGAGCAGAAAACCTAGTGAAAGCAGTGGTTATGCTGGCAGTGATCTTTATGACTACAAGGTTTGTTCTTTCCATCTTATCCCACTGCCCTCATACCTCCATGTCAGATACAGAGTCGTTTCCGTTTGTATTCATTCTTTCCTTTGAGTGTGCTTTCTCACAGGAATTTGGGGTTGAAGATTCAGATGCTGAGTCTCCTAAAGACATCCATTGTTCAGTCGAGAGTACAGACTTTGCCAGTAGAGTGAAAAGACAAATTGAAGAGCCTTTTAAAGATATAGAAATCGCCACCGTATCACCTACTGAAAACTGTTATCAATCAGGGAGAGAGGCTATGCCATCAGTCAGTCCCAGTACCCCTCTCACTGCCCCTAGATACACAACTTCATCTGAGAAATCTGCAAACAAAATTAATCCCAAGCGTTCGTCACCCTGGGGAAGAGGCAGCGTAAGTTTTCCATCACTGGCATGGCATGAACAGCGATAATTCTATTGTCACAGCTTCCAATTATTTTCTTTGTGTGTACTGTGTGCAGGGACAAAAAACTCCTGCTAAAGGATCATTTGATAGTTCAGGCAATGACGAGTAAGATATTCAATCCTGAATGCGTATATTGTGGTTCAGTAACACTGCTAATTTTTATGAGGTTTGCTTATGCTTATGTGAATGCTGCTTCATTGCTTGTAGGCTTCTTATACAGAGGCTGGAGCTCATGAAAGATGAGCTGCGGCAACGAATCGCTAAGGAGGTAACTGTTCTGGCAGTAGAAATACTAATATGCTGATTACATAATGTTTTTGTATTGACTGAGTCGACTACTGCAGGCTAAGGGAAATGCAGTATTACATGCTAGCTTGGAGAGAAGGAAGCAGGCTTTGCACGAACGTCGTTTGGCACTTGAACAAGATGTATGAACCTTCTCTAGAAATTTTGTGCTTCCATTTTGCTGACTTAGCTTCCCATGTTATCAGGTTGGCAGATTACAAGAGCAACTACAAGCTGAGAGAGACCTCAGATCCGCTCTTGAAGTTGGTCTTAGCATTTCTTGTGGACACTTTAGCTCACAAGCTGCGGATTCTAAAGTCAGTATACTCTTTAGCTTGAGCAATCAGTTCTTTTTTCCCTTATGTTTACAGTTATATCTCTTGCTCTCCATGGTTCTAACATCGCAATAAATGTGAAGACAAGGGCTGAGCTTGAGGAGATTGCTCTGGCAGAAGCTGATGTGGCAAGACTGAAGCAGAAAGTAGCAGAGTTACATCATCAGCTTAGTCAGCAGCGCCATCATCACTTAAGCTCACTCCCAGATGCTCAAAGCCATCATCAGTTTCTCCAGAATCACAATACTCAACTGTGAGTTTACCCTCTAATCCATCATAGTACTACTCAAAAAGTAAACTTGCTAGAAAGATATAATACTCTTACTATAACAATGTTGCAGGAAGTCTTTTCAGCAGGACTTTGATTCTATTCTTGCTTTCGTTAATCAAGAAAGAAACCAGAGAACGGTACAAATCAGAGAGATCTCACTAACCATTTACTTCTTTATTTATATATATTAGTAACATTTTTTGCTTGTATTGGAATCATATAGGATGAAAGTAGCTTAAGAGCAGAATGGAGAAACGGTAGAGGAGGAAACAACAGACAAGTCCCAGGCTCACCGAGGCTAAATGAAGCATCCTTAGGCATTCCAATGGAGGAGTTTTCACCTGTTAGTGTGTTTCTTTTTCATGTCTTGTAAAAACTCAAATCTTGCAGAATCCTCTATCAAGTGTAAGGTCTTTGTAGGTGATGGAGTACGGAAGACATGAGCATAACCATCCTCCTCCTGCAGCATCTGCAGCACTCATGGAGCTAACCACACGTCTAGATTTCTTCAAGGAAAGACGCTCACAGCTTATGCAACAGATTCAAAACCTCGACCTCAACTATGGTTCTTCCTCTTCTGTTCATAGATCGTCTTCTCCACCTTGGAACTAAAGCTCTTTAAGCAGTTTCTCCCCTTCCCCCCCCCCTTTTTATCCAAGTAATCATAAAAGAAATGTATAAAGTCATCAGCCTTTGCAGACTCATGCAGGCATGCTTGTGTAAACCCGGTTTAAAGCCAAACCGACTAAATATCTATGGACCAAATTGCTCGTGTGTCTTTGCTAGTGTGATTTATGTAAGATTTTTAAAGAATTATAGAGGTTTTGTATAAGTGTTTTTTTGTATCTCTATTTTCCTTATAAAAATAAAACTAAAATAATAAAAAAAAATTATAAAAAAAATTATAAATTGTAAAAAGTATACAAATATAGTGTGATTTATGTAAGATTTTAAAGAATTATAGAGGTTTTGTATAAGTTTTTTTTGTATCTCTATTTTGCTTATAAAATTAAAACTAAAATTATAACAAAAGTTACAAAATAAATTTATAGATTGTAAAAAGTATACAAATATGCTCTACAGTAGTGGTTTGTTTAGTGGTGTAATGATGAGTCACACAATATTTAATTATTCGGTGGAAAAGAAATATTCTCGAAGATAAAAAAAACGCGCTTTACTAAATATCCCCTCTATATATAAAGAGAAGAGGTGAGAGAGAGAGAGACTTATCTACGAAGCAAAATACAATCAAAGAGACGATAATGGCGGATCAACAAGGAGGAACAGTCTTGGGAGGAGTTCGCGATGTTGACGCAAACGCCAACGATCTCCAAATCGAGAGTCTCGCTCGTTTCGCTGTCGATGAGCACAACAAAAATGAGGTATATATAATATACTCTTCAATCGAATCTGTTTGATCCGAATCATTTTTTGAGTTATTTCTCGTACGATCTCATGGTAAAAAATCGAATTAGAAATATTGTAAATTAGCTCTGTTTATGTATGCAGAACGTGACTCTGGAGTACAGGAGGCTCATTGGTGCGAAGACGCAGGTTGTGGCGGGAACGATGCATCATCTCACTGTGGAGGTTGCTGATGGTGAGACCAAGAAGGTTTACGAGGCTAAGGTTTTGGAGAAGGCTTGGGAGAATCTTAAGAAGTTGGAGTCCTTTAACCATCTTCACGATGTTTAAGTGAGACTTGTCTATGCATTGCATTCTACAGTGATAAGAGTCTTGGTTTAACCAATGGGTAACTCGTTGAAAAAAAATAAGTGAATGTGTAATGGAACTGGTGTTGTGTTTTATCTATTGCAAGTTGCAGACTTTTACTTTTATATCTTTATCTGCTATGATTCTACAAGACCTGATAGTAGTCTCATGATTAATGAGTATCTCCATGACATTACAAAATCTACATTTTGAACATCAGATGTTGCTGATATCTCTAATGGTATCAGAAATTTGATTCAAGATGTAGATTCAGATATCATTAAACAAGGATCATGATCAAGCTGAGACACCATTGATTACATAACTATCTTACATACATTTAAATGTAATCCATTGTCTTCACTGCTTCCTCTGTTTACATTCTGAAACAAAACAACCTCAAAAGTCTAACGAAGCGATTACGTTCTTCACAATACTAGTAGCAGACATTAATGTTGAATATCCATTATATGATCATGAGTATGGAGCATAACACAACTCTGAACATAAACAGTCTCATCAGTATCGAGTTAGAAGCAGCTTTTAGAGTATGTATGAACGACGAAGCAAAAAGTAAAATCATTTAAACGAACAAATATGTCTTACAAAGTATGCCCTCTTCTCTGTTCTATATCTACAGTAACTCATCTGTGGAATGACTTAATGAACTATGCGATTTTGTTCTAGTGAACTGTTTGATTGGCTAAATTTGTAATCTGTTCCACGTTCTTAGTTAGCTATCGCCGGATTTATTTGTTAGGCTCAACAGTACTCCGGTGCTAAGAGACAGTGCCACGATACCAAGTGATGCCTCGGTTGATACATGGAAGCCTGCAAAGGAGGAACAAATGTTGACAGATCTTAGTTATTCTGGTGGTTTTGTTCAAGCAGGAATTGTGGATGAATGAATTATATACCAAAAAAGTCGAGGATCATCTTGCATCCGATGAAGCCTAGAACCACTGCTATTGATGGCTGGTTATGGCAAAAGACAAGATTAGATCAAATCATTTTAGTCTCTAATGACTTCAATTGAGGAACTGTTTTATGTATAAAACAATACCTGCAAGTATTCCAGATCGTCCATTCCTTCAGAAATAAGGGTATACAGAGACCTTAGTCCTGCAGGCAAAAATAAATTTACATACCCCTGAATTCAATTCAAACTTCCGAGAATAGCACAAGGCAGCATTGACACTAGTAAGATCAAGTATAGACAACAAATTTAATACCTAGGATTGCAAACAGATTAGAGGTTAAGACAATAAAAGGATCCCTTGTGACGCCAAAAACAGCTGGTATTGAGTCAACCTAAGAGAATGGGCAACCAGTATCAGTGCTCTGCTACATTTTTTAAGAGCCAAACAATATTCACAAAGTGGTGATGGAGGATACAGCAAATGCTATGTCACTGAGCTCGATCACTGCTACTGTGAGAAGTAAAGGTGTGGCCTGCCATAAATGGTTTCAGATCAATTAGAAACCAGTGAAAAAGATACTATGATGAATATTTTCACCATGGAATTCTCATACAAGAAAACTTGATAGTGTGCTTGCTACATAAATCTTATCTATCAATGAAAGTTTAGTCATATACTTACTTTCCAAATGCCATCATGCTTTGTGAAAAAACGATTCCCATCATAAGTTGCTGCCCAAAATTGCAAACACAAGAAAGTAGGAATATATCAGCTATGGTAACATTCTAAACAGTATATGCACTGAGACGCATTACCAACTACAGATAATCCAGTTAAATGAACTTTGAAGGTAACAAACATAAACAGCTAGCAGGAATAGGAAGAAAAAGACTGGGTATATTTACATGTGACAGGAATAAATCTCTGGCATGTCTTCACAATGAAGTTGTCCGATAGATCTGTATCATCTTCTTCACTTGAAAATAACTGTAAAAGATGTTAGGCCCAGGAAATTAAGCGACAAGCCCCTTTTACATTTCATACCAATAGTAGCGGTTCTAGTTATAGGCATAAATGCTAACATTAGGTAATATGCACCTTGAAAGACGAATATAAGAGAACTGCTGCAAGAAGAAGGTTGACTGCTTCAAATTTCTGATAGATAGTTGGGAAAATTTAGAACCAAATGAGGAGGAACGACAATTAAACTAACATCTAAATTCCAAGTTCTAACACACTTCTCGATCCAAGCACAGGACCCACCTGAAGAGTAGCTGTTCCTATTAATATGAGGGTGAAGCGGAAGATAATTGCACCAGCTACACCATAGGTAAGCACCCGATTCTACAGAAAGGACAGCGAATCAGATTACCCTATGATGTTCAAGAACTAAATCTACGTGCAGATAATTAGGTACCTGATACATGAGTGGCACTTTGAAGTACTTGAAGACGAGAACAAAAACAAACAAGTTGTCCACTGACAAGCTTTGTTCCAATAAATATCTGCAAGAATAATATAGGAAACCGCCTTCAGAGGTAAACGAGCTTCTATATATCATCTATATAAAGCACCTACGCACCCAGCAAAAAACTCTGATGCCTTGCCAACACCATCCTTCAAACCTATTCCGATTCCAAATGCCACCGCAGCACTTACCTATTGAGAGATGGCATTTTCATTTACTAACACACAGAGCAACAAAAAAAAAAAAAGAGAGAAATAGGAGAAGCAAGAAGATACTAACACACAAGGCAACAGTCTTGAAGGAAGTTTTATAAGTCTCATCTTGTAAAGTATCTCTCAGACCTTCTTTATGTGGTAGAAGGTCTCTGCTCTCCTTCTCTGTACTAACAATGCCACAAACAAATATTATTGTCACAACACAAAGCCTCTCTCTTTTTCTCTTCCTAGCAAAACTAAGATCATACTATGATGTAATAAACTAAGAATCACACTACAAAAAAAATTGAGCCTATAATAAAAAAATTCAAGAATTTTGAAATCGAAAAAAAATGTAACTTTGGAGAAGCATCATTCACCTGAAGAAGAAACATCATCTTCCTGTCGGGAGCAAGCAATGGGAGAAAGACGAGGGAAACGAAGATTTGTAGCTGAAACAATGGTGGACCAGAAGAAGCACATTAGCATAAAGATGAATATATCACTAAAGAGAAAGAGAGAGAAGAGACCTGAAACGAGAGAGGGATTTGTAAGGAGAGAGAAAGGAGACTCAGTCCATCCACGAGCTCGGAGGTTCGGCGGAATCACTGGAATGGTAACAAAGATTCGATCCGGTTTCGCCGGAGAGAGAACTCCGTGGTGGATAACTGAAGCTAAGCTCATTGCGTTTTGTCTTACAAATACAAAAAAAAATTAAATTATGTGCGAGTGACCTCTATTAATCGTTCAAAACCTTTAAAAACGCCGTCGTTTTTCATTCTGCCACCGGACCTGGTAAAAATCGGTTGGGTAATTAATGGGTTTCGCCGCTTCGGTCTGGACCAAACCGAATGGTTATGGTTCCGGTTTTCTGAATCTTGAGTAATCAAAGTAAATTCTAGGCTTTGCTTGTTAAATATGATTTCGCAAAAAATTTACCAATGCCAAAAGAACGCAAAAAATACCGATTTGCATTTTTGCTGACAAAAATATAAAAAAAAATTATTAAGTGAGAAAATGAATTTTAACAGATCATCATGATGGAAAGATTTACAAATTAACACTTTTATATTATTAAATTATATGCTAATACTATCCTAAAATCTAAAATACATATCAATAAGTTTTAATGATAAATAGTTATGATGTAAATAAAGTTCTATTATAATCTGTATATTATAAAATGTCAACCTATTGTTAAAATATATATTAAAATAAACTAGATATTTATAATAAAAGTTAAAAAAATTTAATAAACTTTAGTTATTTTCATCTTTGTAATAATTAGTTTAATTATTGCTAGCTGTTTTTTATAACAATTAAATACCATATAAATTACTTTAATCACTTTAATATATACAGTATTTCGCTATTTCGTAAATTTTAAATTTTCTCTGATTTAATTAACTTTTTCCGTAACTTAACTATTATTTCCGCGATTCTGAGATTAAGTGATGGTTACCAATCGAAACCCCAACTTCTAAGTTCTAATCATATAAATTCAGTAATGCTTATAAATGTGAACTATGCAAGTCATTAACTTGAAGCTAATTAATAAATAACTGTATAATAGAGTATTAGCGTTATTTTTCAGTAAAGTGCTTTTTATATCAAGTGATTTTGGATTTTTTTTGTAAACATAAAATATTAATTTGTTTATCAAAGTGCACGAATATCAAAACTAGGATACATCTGTACCGAGTCTTACCCATGTAAAATCTATTTTATTATTTAAAACACAACTGGAAATGAACGTATAATATAATAAACAAATAACTGAAAAATTAAATAAGATGGCTCAGAATTATTAAGAAGACAAAGACTTTGGTTTGGTTTTCGCCACTCATTTTTGGTTTTGTCTGAAAAAAAAAATATTTTTTTTTCTCTGTCTGCCTAACCAAACCCTAATTTCAATTGGCATTGACATTTGGGGGAATCGAAACGGCGAGACGTTTGGTTATATTTCACAACAAAACAACGCACTCCTCACGTTCCTCATCCTCTCTTCCTCAATCTCCTAAAAAGCTCCCACCCTTTCTTCTTACAAAACTCTCTCCCCGATCTGCTTCTCCGTCAACGTCTCCGATCAATCTCAATCAGGTTCCCTTTCTCTCCCTCTTCTCTTCCTTCTCATCACTGATCTAATACTACGATTTAGATTCATTCCCGTCAAATCGCATTTCATTTAGGTTTTCTCGATTCAATCGAATTTCGTCCCCTTTGTTGATCAAAACATGACCTTTCGTATTGTTTATGGTTTAGATTCGCCTCCTTAGCTTATCCTCCGCCTTGAAATTTACTGTTTTGACCTTATTCGATAGAAAATGTCTCTGGAGATGTTATTGTTCGTTCTTGCGATTGGATCTATACGTTTTTGTCAATTTAATGTATTTTCACATTGAAAGTCTCTACCTTTGACATTCCAACTCGAATTACCATTTAAATTTTTGGTTGTTACTATGTATTTGACTATTCTTTTTACTGCAGGATAACTTTTGTATTTGTGAGAAGATGTCTACCGTAGCCAAGACCAAATCTAGAGACAAGAAGGTTGTGAATGAATCACAAAAGACACCTAGTAAAGCTTCAGGATCAATAGGTGGTGCTTACAATCCTCTCTTAGGGACATTCCAAACCGTTGAGTCAAACGGTTCCTCATCGCTTCAGAACAACGGACGTTTCAAGAACATTGATGAGTCAGATTCTAACTGTGACTCCGCCTCTAATAACGGTAGCTGGTCTGGTGATTCGGAAGATCACAAAGAGAAACCAGCGGCTACTACTACTACAGCGAAACAGGAGACCATTCCCGGAGCTGATAATGACAAGAGGGAGAAGATGCGACTGAAGAACGAGAGGAAGCATCAGCGTCAGAAGGAGAAGCGAGCTCAGGAGTTGCATGAGCGGTGCTGTCAGTTTCTCATGTCGAGGAAGCTTGAGGTGCTCGCTCAGCAGATTATAGTTATGGGGATTACTCATGAGGATGCAACGTACGCTCTTATGTTGAATGAAGGGAAAATACAGGAGTCTATTAACTGGCTGTTTGATAATGATGGAGCAAATTTAGCAGATAAGAAGCTGGTTCCTACCTCCGGGAACTTAAAACTTGACATCTCGCAAGAGTTGAGTAGGATCTTGGAGTTGGAAACAAAATATAAGTGCTCCAAGCAGGATGTAGAAAAGTCAGTGGTGACAGCAGAAGGGGACATTGAGAAGGCGGAAGAATTTTTAAGAAGACAGAAGCAAGAGCAATCTACTGCTTCTATAAAAGTAGTAGAGGATGTTAGTAATAGTGTTTCTGCTAGCAAAGTCCCTTCTCTGCGCACATCAAGTCAGAACTCAGTAGCTCAGTTGCAACCTAACTCAGGTATGTATCATACAGGGGGCGAAGTAGAGAGAAAGAATCTAGGTTACCCGAGAGTATCCAGCTACATTAACGGAGAATCTGTAAACCATAGTGTAAATCCGTTGGATCAAATTAACATGAAAATGGAGTTGATGAAAATGCAACAGAATACTGCCATGGAAGAGAAGAAACGCATGTCATATCAACAGACACCTCTGCCACGGCCAACAGAAGAAACGCATTATGGTGATCAATTCAAGAGAGTACAACAGCAAGAAATGAGGGAACCAGTTGCGGTGATGCACCAACATCAACTACAACGGTCTCAGTCCGCTAAAGCAAATGTGGTACCTGTCTCTTCCATGAATCCATCCTTTACCGTAGCAGCTACAGCAGCAGCAGCAGGTGGTGGAGGGAGCGGTTGGTATCCTGCAAATAGATCTGAAGCGGCTCAATCTAACGGTTACTTGCCCACAAGAACTCTACCTCCTACTGATCTTAACCCAAACCTGATGTACCAGCAACTTCAGTATCAACAATATCATGGCCAAGTGAACAACGGACACAGAATGGTGGGGGCTTCTGCACCGCATGCTGTGGCTCCAGCTGCTTCTCTTGGTCTCTTCTCTGGGTATGGATCTACAACACCTTCATCTGGGCTGGAGTGGAGTACGGATGGGTCAGTGGAGAAATTGGATTACAATAACATTGATTGGAGTTTAGACAGAGGCCTAGCTTGTCCGAGACCAAACCAACAACAGTACATGGAAGCATCCCCATATGAAGCAAACATGAATGGAAGGACAAGAATGATGGGGAACGGGAATGGGATGAGCATGGCAATGGGAGCTCAAGAAGCTGCTTTAGTTGGTAACGGGAGAGAATGGACATCACCGTTTGAGGGTAAAGATCTGTTTAGTTTATCTAGACAGTATGTACCTCCTTCTCTTTGAAAGTGAAAGTTGGTTCTAGTAATAATGAAAAAATGCAATGGGAGAGAGAGATAATGGATGGATGGTATGAGTTTGTGGTTACTAGTGTTTCTTGCTTGTTTGCTCAAAAATGGATCTTTCAAATTTCCTAATATTTTAATCCCAACATACATAACATGGTTAGCTAGAGGGGAAGACAGAGCGCGGTAAACAAGTTGGAATATGATAATCACAGCGCTTGGCCTTAGACAAGTAAATGACCAAAGTAAAAGCTAGAGTTTAAACACAAAAGTGGGTCTTACAACATGAAAGAAACGACTTAAAACACACACATGAAAACCTTTCAAAGGACAGGACATGAAGACCACATCTTCTCATGTGGAAGGGGCGTTGGAGTCTTCTAAATCTTGTTAAAAGCGACAATGTCGACACTTTGGATGTACTCGTTGTTAGGCTCTGAGGTGAGATGGTCTTCAATGAGGTTGTCGACAGATACAAGGTCATCATCAATTGTCATCATAATCGTGAGTTTCTTTATCCCGTAACCAACTGGTACCAGTTTCGCTGCAACAAGTTTTCTCACATCAGAGCAGAAACAAAGAAAAACTTAAAGCTTTTCTGGTGAGGAAATTGTGGATTTATGTTATTCACTTACAAGCTCCCCAATAAAGACCAGGCATCTGAACACTACGGACAGCTTCTTCCAACTTCTTCATATCTGTTTCATCGTCCCATGGCTTTACATCCAGTAGCACAGACGACTTTCCACCTAACAAAACAAGTAAAAAGAGGATCTTAAGATGCAGTTAATTCATTCTACAAAGTCTCAATAAAGTACATAAATCCAAAAAGGTGTCTGTGGAGCATAGAGTCTTCTCCACTATAACACACTTAAACAATTCACTACAGGAAGAATGATCCAGTCAAAAGCAGAGAAAGACTTACTCTCTTTAGGTTTCTTGGTATCCTTCCTAGCAGCTTCCCTCTCCTCTGCAGCCTTTTTCTCATCCTCAGTCTCGTCAGCGAAAAGATCAATATCATCATCATCATCAGCATCAGCTCCAGTAGCAGCAGCAGGTGCCTACACAAAGAGTTCATGGAAACAAAGTTTAAATAGTAAATGAGGGCATAATCAAATTTCTTTGTTATAACAAATAACTATTCAAATTTCTACATCACTGTCTAGAAAACGCGACCGGAGTCAACAAGAGCATTCCAGTTAAAGGTAGTACCTCTGTTTTCGGAGCTTCAGATTGAGCAATACCCCCACCAATTTTCACTCCGACGGCTTTCCCGGGGAAACTAGTACAGTAAGTAATCAAACAACTCAACTATTGTCGGACGAGCATATATCTAATATAACCAGATACTAAGCAAAGGTTACAGTCCTAAAGAAGAAACTGCAAACGAGCGAACCTTTTAGCGAGGTGGGAAGCCACGCAATCATACCACTTGCTAACATTTGGGAAGCCATCACCTGGTTTCTCCAACACGGCAGCGTAAACCTTCACATCATCCAGTGAAAGCTGATCGCTGAAAAAAATAATAAAGAAAGAGCATATCAGACTCAGATGTCAAAAAAGAAACCATGGTTGATCCAACCTTGAGTTCAGCAAAACATACGAAAGAGGGAAGAATGGAGTTTACTCGGAGATGTAAGTTTTTCCGGAGAGGTGTTCCTCGACGGGTTTAAGACCTTGCTCAGTGTGGAGGTCTGAAAACGTAATCGCCATTTGATCACTCAAATTATGCTTCTGTGGAAGAGACAAAGACAGAGAGATAGAATAGGCCCCCTTTAAAATGCAGTCTGTGTAGTCTCTAGAAACTCCTTAACCAGAGTGGAATATTCTCAGTATCACGGTCGGAACAGTCCTACGTGGAGATAAATTGGTCTGAAGTCATATTAAAGAGGGCCATCCTTCCTTTTCTAGAGGCATCCATCCCACCGTGCGACTCGCACGCTTCAAAACCACTCTTTATTATATCCATTCATGAATAATACATTTACATCTATAATCACACTCTTTAATAACTTCTACATTCACAAAATCTGTCAAATCTTGCTTTAGGAAAAAAAAACAACTTAAGAAAAATAGTGTTACTCCATAGTTTAACGTATAGACTCATCCAAAGTCATTGTACTAATCTGAATGCGATATGGATCAAATCAATAAAAGTCTGATCCAAATTTGAAGGTCCCAGAGAAAGTGTCACTCATTAAGTCATGATGTTGGTTTGGTTTTGGAGCACGTTCTTGATTTTCACAGCTTCTCTGTTGCAGATAGAGCCTCCTCTTCCTCTATTACATCATCAAGCTTGCCACCATTCATTTCAGAATTGACAACCTGTGCCTCCTTTGACCTCCACTCTTCTCTAAGCCCAGTCACTAGCTCCTCGCCTATACAAGCATCCAATCGCAAACCCTTTTCCGTCATCTCTCTGAACCATTCATATGCTCCCATATAATCCTTCTTCTCACAATGCCCTTTCACCAGTACGTTGTACGTATCAGCTTCAGGATCTAATTCTTGGGTTTTCATCTCGTTAAACAAACTTTTAGCCTCGCTGAGCTTTCCTACTTTCAGCTGTCCCATGATCAAGCTGTTATAACTCATCTTATCCAAATCGATTCCCTTCTCCACCATCTGGTTCTGCATTTTCAAAGCCTTATCCATTTCTCCATGTATGGCGTAGCAATGAAGAACTCCGTTATAGACTATCAAGTCTGGTTCCAACGACATCTCTCCAAATATTTTCTCAGTGAGCTCTACACTCTCCTTGCTGCACAAGCTGATCAAAAGATGATAGGTCTTCAAATTGGGTTTTATTCCAGATCCTTTCATCATTTCGTACAGGGCGATACATCTTTGCACGTCTCCAGCACGTTCGTATCCAGATATCAGCGAGTTATACGTGAATATATCTGGTAGAAACCTCTTTCTTGAGATTTCTAGAAACAAATCTTCAGCTTCTGCTAATTTTCCGTTCATGGACAACCCATTGATGAGGGTGTTATAAGTCACCAAGTTCAAATCTATTCCCTTTGTTAGCATCTCCTCCGAAAACCGAAAAGCATCTTTTATCGTCCCCTTTGAGCAACAACCATCAATCAGCATGTTGTATATCCTTACATTAGGTGAAACCCCTCTGTCTTCCATATCTCTCTTAACAATCTCAGCTTCAAGAAGCTTAGAGCCTTTGCACAAACAATTTATCAGATTCCCGTAGCTAACTACATTCGGCATCACCCCATCGTTTTCCATTTCTTTGAAAATGTCGAAACACTTATCAAACTCACTCTTCCTCCCATATCCCCCAATCAATATATTATATGTCTCCACGCTAGGAGCTACTCCTTTTAGTTTCATCTTGTTAACCTCTTGCTCAGCATTCTCCATTTCCCCTAATTCACAAAACCTCCTAACCAAACAATTGTACGCCAAATGATTTGGCTTCAGCCCTTGTTTCTCCATCTCTTCGATTTTCATTCGAGCTCCAACCAAATCACCTTTCCGACAGTATCCATCAACCATCGTGTTATAAATAACCACGTTCGGGACAAGCCCCTTACCCATCTCCATCTCCAAAATCTCCTCCGCCTTCTCTATCTTCCCTTCTTTACACAACGCATTCAACAAAATACTACACGTATAAGCATTCATCTTCACACCAGACTCAACCGCTTCCTCATAAACACCCAAAGCAGCCTCAGCTTTCTCGTTACTCGAATACCCATCAAACAAAATACTCAACGTAAACGCATCAGGCACAAAGCCATAACCTTTCATCTCCTTCAAAACACTCTCCGCATCCTCCACCATCCTCGCGTTAAACATCCCCTTAAGCAACGTGTTAAACGTAACAAGATTCGGATCAACACCCTCCCCTCTCATGCGTTCCCTCACCTTAAAACTCTTCTCAATATCCCCACTTTTACAATACCCATCGATCAAAGTATTATACGTTACCAAACTCGGCACCAATCTTCTCTGAAGCATTTCGTCGAACATCTTCTCTGCATCATTCACCCTCCCGGATTTACACAACCCATCGATAAGAACGTTGTAAACAAACACAGTGGGAGAGATTCTCTCATGCTTCATGCGGTTAAAAAGCTCTAAACCTTTAATTAAATCGTTCAATTTCACAGCGGCGTAAACTGCTTTCCCGTACATGAATTTACTCGGACGATAATCGGATTCAATTAGATTCAAAAACACATTGATCGTTACTCCAAATTGCTTCGTCTTCCCGAGATGATCGAACAACATCGTTAACGAATCAGAGCTGGGGATGATACCTTCGTTCCTCAATACGAAGAACAAGTCCGTTGCTTCACGGATCATGTTCGATTCGGTTACCACGGAGAAGAGCAGGTATGAGAACTCGTTTCTCAGCGATGGAGATGATGACGAGAAGGCGGAGAAGAGTTCTCTCGGAGAAGAGCCTGATCGGACTAGCGAGGTGAGATCTCCACGCGCCGTTTCGATTCGATTCTGCTGGAGGAGGAGGAGGAGATTCTGGAGCTTCTCGCGTCGATCTCCGTCTCCGGTGATGGGAGATAGAGGCGGGGATGTTTCGGAGGAGGTGGAGAAGAGACGACATGAGCATAAGGAGGTAGACTTGGGTAACTTCACGGTGGCGTAACGAGAAGATAGTCGTAAACGAGTCAGCATCTTTAGGGGTTTGCCGGAGACGCTCGGCGAGAGTGAAGACTCCTAAAGTCTTTACTTGAAAGTGATTAATTTTAAATTAGAAGGAGATATGGGCTTTAGATGGGCCTTTCTTCTTGCCGCGTTGATATATAATATTCTGGTTTTGTTTGGTGGCTGCTGAGATGGGCCTTTCTTCTGTCCATTCAAATCGAACATTCTAGTTGTTTGGTTGTAAGAGATGCCAACACATGTTGAAAACTAGTGGGAACTTTTATCAATCACCTTTCGCACTAACACCGATTTCTTTCTGAATAATTATTCGATATTTGATGCATGGAGAAAGAATTTTCAAAAGGTACGTATATTATTTGGACAATCCTTTTTTTTGTCGACGTATTTGGACCATCCAGTACAGAGGTATAATATAATAACTCGAACATGGTTTATAAATACTTAGATTGAAAACCAAGTTTTTCTGTCTGGACGTAAAGTAAAAGGTTAAAAAGTAATTGTGCAACGTTGTACAACGACGTTGGAATTATATGGTCGGTTAACACGACTATGTAAATTCAGATGGTCGAGTGAATTACAATTATTCAAGTTAATAACTCTTGGCAGAATAGTTAATGGTAAGGACGACATGTTTATTAATCAAAAACATAAGAAAGTGATTAATACAGTTCTTTGGCAATGACGTAATGGAATTGATGCGTGATGGAGCCACAGAGTGGCATCTATTCTCACTTGTCACATCCAAATGCAAAATTAGTGTCTACTGTGTTGCAGTGTTTCTAATAATAATAGAAGTGTAACAATAAAAGTCACAAATTTCAGTTTACATTTTTTTTCTTCGTCGAAGTTTAACAATAAAAGTCACAAATTTTAGTTTACATTTTTTTCTTGGTCGACAAATTTTAGTTTACATTAATCCAGTTAAATAAACTTTTACATATTTTGTGTCTGTTTATCACAAGTATCTGAATTTTATGCCCTTTTAAAAAAAAAGTATCTGAATTTATTTATTAAAATTCGTTCTCAATTGGAATTTGAATTTTGAATTTTTGTTACTGTAAAACAAAACAAAATTGAAATAGTGGTGGACGTGCACAGAAGCCATATTATATTCTGACACTCTTAGGACAGAGCATTTGTCTTTTTGTGTCAGGATAGTACATAGGAGTTATTAATAAAGAATACTTTTATAATAAAGAGGACTCTCGTTAGATTCTTTAACTAAAAACCAAGTCTTGTGGTGTGTGGACACTTTCCCCTATAGATTTTTAAAAATTGATACTATAGAATTGTGTGTAAATTTACTGTTGATGACAAAAGGTTAGAGTTAATTACCATTTATTGTAATACTTTAGCATTTAAGTGGTTAACAACTACTCTTACCAGCTTAAGCATCTTCAGAAAATGCTAATTTATTATGCTTAGAAAAGTATTGACTGTTGAACAAAAAAAAAGTATTGACATATCTCACCTTCTGGACCCGCTTATAGTGTCGTATTCTCAGAACCCTTTTCCTCTTTGGTCTTTTCAGTTGTTTTCTCCTTTTTTTTTGAACACTAACACCATTTTATATATATTTGGCTGCCTTCTGAGATTTTTCACAGCCAAAAATTTCCACACCGCCTCTTTTGTTATTCGCTTCTTCTTTTTAGGTCATTATTATCTTACTTTTCCTTTCCAAATGTTTGAACTATTCTCTCTAAACGTGGTCTTGGTCTGTACTATCTCCTAAGATCTCCGTTATATCTTTTGCTCTTTTCAGGGTCTTCTTCTCAACAATGAGCTGATTGGTACTCACAGAAGAAGAAGAAGAAGATTCATTGTACCTCACTAGTGGTAGGTAACCTCAACTGTTGACTCTTCAAAGTTTCCTCTTGTTTTTTCTAGGGAAGTACATTTTTCATTTGCTTCTTGGGGTTTAAATCTTACAGACTCATTAGAGATAAATGATGGGTACTACAAATAATCTTCATCTTTATTTACTTATCTCTGCTTAAAGGTTTAGGTTTAGACTCCATAAATTTCCTCAAAATCTAAAAACAAGAGCCAAAGTTTCTTTAACCTTTTGTGTTTTGTCCATAAGGTTATTTTGTTTTTCTTTCTTAACAATATTACTCTTTTTCCATATTCAGAGCCACTGTTGTCAAATGGATGTTAGTAGCAATGGATTAGGAGAAAAAAAGAGTAGCAACGGAGGAAGAGAAGTTGTAATTAATGTTTCAGGTGAGGAACCTACAAGAGTTTCTTTTAAGATGGATTCACCAGAGACTAAGAAAGCAGTTCCCATCAATAGAAGCTCCTCTGCTGAAACCTCTAATCTTATTGGTAGCCCTAACAAGCCTCCTAGAGCTCCAAACCCTAGCAGTGAAGGTTTAACTCAGAGGAAATCATTTGCAAGGTCGGTTTACTCCAAACCAAAGTCCCGGTTTGTGGAACCGTCTTGTCCTGTAGACACAAGTAATCTTGAAGCTGAAGTAAAGGAGCCACTTGGTACTGTTATCTCTATTAGTAGAGGTTCTCCAAACAACAAATCAACAAGGAGTGTTGGTTCAGCAACACCAAGTAAAGCAGCTGAGGTGGACAAAGATGAAGAAATCTACAAGAAGGTGAAGCTGAGCAAAGAGATGCGGAGAAGAGTGAGTGTATTGACATTGATAGAGCTTGCTTTCTTTGTGATGGTTTTAGGCTCTTTAGTTGCTAGCTTAACCGTTGATGTCTTGAAAACTTACACCTTATGGGGACTAGAAGTATGGAAATGGTGTGTGCTTGTGATGGTTACATTCAGCGGAATGCTTGTGACGAATTGGTTCATGCATTTGATTGTCTTCCTCATAGAAACAAACTTTCTTTTGAGGAGGAAAGTGCTTTACTTCGTGCATGGCTTAAAGAAGAGCGTACAAGTCTTCATATGGCTCAGCTTGATCCTTATCGCTTGGGTGTTTCTCTTCAACCAAGACGTGCATCGTTCCCCTACAGCCACAAAGATCCTCACCGCTATAACACGAACTCTCATCTCCCTTCTCACAGGATCCTTCCTCTGGCTGGTGAAAACACTCTTGCTGAAAATCCTAGCGGCGAACTTCAACGTGGTTAACTTCTTTGACAGGATTCAAGAATCTGTTTTCCACCAATACGTTCTGCAGACTCTCTCTGGTCCTCCGCTTATGGAAGAGGCTGAGAGGGTTGGACGTGAGCCAAGCACGGGGCATTTGAGTTTCACTAGCGTGGGGAAGAAAGGAACGGTTAAGGAGAAGAAAGTGATTGATATGGGGAAAGTTCATAAGATGAAGCGAGAGAAAGTCTCTGCGTGGACAATGCGGGTTCTTGTGGAAGCTGTGAGGACTTCTGGTCTTTCTACAATCTCTGACACGTTGGATGAAACAGCTTATGGTGATGGGAAAGAGCAAGCTGATAGAGGAGCTATTACTAGTGAGATGGAGGCTTTGGCTGCTGCTTATCATGTCTTTAGAAATGTTGCTCAGCCTTGCTTCAGGTGAGAATAACAATATTCCTATTCTTTTTCCTCTTATACATGCAGATTCGGGTTATTCGGTTCAACATAAATATTACTAAATTAATCCGTAATAAAGTTCGGTTTGGTATTCGGTTAATCTACCTAATTTTTGTTTTTTTTTGTTAAATTTCGGTTTAATTTTATTAAAATTTCGGTTAATTTCAGTTTAGCTTGGTTAGTTTATGGTTCAAAATTTTGGTTACAGTTTGGTTAGAATTAAAAATAAAAAAAATGAAGTAACCAATTGGACCGAGAATCGAATTTTTTTTTTTAAAAACTACCGAATTGAACTGAACTCCTAACCAAACTAACTGAACTTTGGTTTCGGTTCGGGCAAAAATCCCAGGCCTAAATATAATTTCTTGTGCATTCTGTAATGAAAATCTCTGGTCTTGGTTGTTGCCTCAGCTACATAGAGGAAGAAGATTTGCTTAGGTTCATGATCAAAGAAGAGGTTGATCTTGTATTCCCATTATTTGACGGTGCTGCTGAGACCGGGAGAATCACCAGAAAAGCTTTCACAGAATGGGTGGTAAGTCTCCACAACCACTTTCATGCTCCTCGTTTCTTGATGTTAACCACTTGTGTTTGTGTTGCTTTTTTGATCAGGTTAAGGTATACACTAGCCGAAAAGCTCTAGCACATTCCTTAAACGACACAAAAACAGCGGTTAAGCAGTTAAACAAACTAGTGACAGCGATTTTAATCGTTATTACCGTAGTCATTTGGCTGCTGCTTCTAGAAGTAGCAACCACTAAGGTTTTGCTGTTCTTCTCAACTCAACTCGTGGCTCTTGCTTTTATAATCGGAAGCACTTGCAAGAATCTCTTTGAGTCTATTGTGTTTGTCTTTGTTATGCATCCTTTTGATGTCGGTGATCGTTGCGTTGTGGAAGGTGTCCCGGTAAAACTCTACACCAAAGATCCGTTTCATTCATATATTATACGCTTAAGAAAAAGAGTTTGTTACATACTTTAAGTTTGTTTTTCAGATGCTGGTTGAAGAAATGAATCTGTTGTCAACAGTGTTCTTGAAACTTGACAACGAGAAAGTGTATTATCCGAACTATGTTTTGTCCACGAAACCGATAAGCAACTACTTTAGAAGTCCAGATATGGGAGAGACAGTGGAGTTCTCTATCGCGTTTTCAACACCAGTCTCTAAGATTGCACATCTCAAAGAAAGAATCGCTGAGTAAGTATCATTTGAAACTGTTTCTTTTGGATTAGTTTTTTTATCAAATCTTGATTTTGTTCAAATCAGGTACTTGGAGCAGAACCCTCAGCATTGGTCACCGATACACACAGTGGTGGTTAAGGAGATAGAGAACATGAACAAGCTGAAGATGGCTTTATACAGCAACCACACCATCACGTTTCAAGAGTACAGAGAGAGGAATATTAGAAGAACAGAACAGTCTTTGGCGATTAAGAAAATGTTAGAGGATCTTCACATTGATTACACTCTCCTTCCTCAAGAAGTCCATCTCACCAAGTCCTCCGACAAAATTTGAAAAACCGGTTTATTTTGTTTTACTAAAACGTTGTTTAGGAGATTATTATCTAATGTTGAGGTACTGTTTTTATTTTAGACTTTTAGAGTAGAAGGTGAAATCAATATTCCAAAGACTCCTAAACCGACCCAATTTAATGACCATATTTTTACATATACTGGCTCGGAAATCAGATTGGTTTTATATTTCAGTAGATGTTGGTAAAAATCTATTACATTAATTTCAATATACGTTCATCTATTACAATATTGCATGCATATACTTATTTGCATGATTACTGATTACGTATTAAGTGGTGCGGAATAATCATGTGATCGTTTGAACTTCATTACATGCTCAAAGAGTCAAAGGGAGACATCGCTTTGGTCATACAAAACCATGCATGTCGTGCTATTCACTTATAGAGCTTTACTTTTTGTTTGTTTAATGGTTCCTCATTTAGTTAATCCATTAAATATAAGGTTGGTTGATCCAAAGCTATAAACTCATAACTAATTAATCATAGTGTATATATATATCTGTAAATAATTCACGTATCCCTACCCTGATCCAATGATCTCTATACAAACATAATTTACTTAAATTCATTACGTATTATGTACAATCATTTGGAGTTAGAGGGAGTATTGTTGTATGCAAATACATTGCACGATCTTTGCTTAAATAATTGACTTTGTTAATTATACTTAGTTGTTGATTTGGCAACAAGAAATGAGCGTTCTTGGCGGAGTAATTTAATCCGCCGCATAATTGAACCAAAATACGCCGTTATATTCTCATCAAACAGTTTCTTTTGTTTTGACTAGCTAGTTGTATATGACAAAATTCGCATTTTGATTTTATAAAAATACACATATTCGTTATATATATCTTGGTAACTCACATATAAAACAATATCAATGATAATTCTATAGTATTTTTAGTTCTTGTAAATTTGTAATATAAGCTAAAGAATCAAAAATTAAAATGACTTGGTACGTGTGATATATATTTGTGTTATGTAAAATAGTTAAAGAAAGAAAATTGAGAGAAGTAATGGGGAAGATTGTAATCGAAACTTTTGAAGATGATCAAAGTGAAAAAGAGAAGTAAAGCAAAAGCTCTCTCCACTTTCTCTGTTCCCATGGAAGCATCAGTGTTTCATGTTCATCCATCGCTACAAATCCTTTCACTTTATTTTAAAACTACACTTTCTTTATTTTATTTCATTTTATTTTTTTACATTTTTCTTAAAGCTTTTAATATGTCCATTCACGATCCGCTCAATCACCCCTTTGCTTCTCGGTTGGATATCGAATTTCTCGATTCTCCCTCTTTCTTTTCTTTCTATACACACACCAAACACTTTCATATATCATCGATCCAATATTCAATAACAGCTTTAAATAGATGTATATATCTACTTTAGTATACAGAAGTGTTTTACATTTAAAGCTGAGTTTTTATCTATCTCAAGCAATATAAGCAAGTTTCCCAAATAACAAGAATAGTTTAACAGTTTTTGTGGAACATTAGTATTTTGAGACACTATTCATCTGCTGAATTACATTCTTGAACGGTGACTGTAAGTTTATATATCACACTTTGATCTGTGCGTTTTCTATTAAAATGTTAAATGTATATAGAGATGAAAAAACTCAGTTCATATTAAAAGTTTATGCATTCATGAAAATTTGGATCTAAAGCATGTGATAGATACATCGAAAAAGAGAAAGTTGGTAGCTTGATCTTTTTTTCTTCCCTTTGGGATCATCAACCACTTTAATCAATTATCACACACATCATTTTACTTTGCACGTAACGGATCTCATTCGACAATATCATTGTCAATATTCTCTTTTCTTTTTTACAATGGCTATTTGTTTCCAAGTATATTTCAAACTCTAAAACAGTTTTCATAGCCCATAACACCATGACAAATTCAGCATGGAGGGGTGATCATACGATACTTGGCTAATAACCAGACAAATGCATATTGAACTATATCAAACTCGTAACTAGTAGGGATAAAATTTGGCATAGAAAGTTAGAATAAATCTTGATTAATATATAAGTGATCAATTAACTTTCAGTTGGAAACATCTATCTAACTTAATAAACAGTTAGAATGTTCATTGACTGAATGAAAAGATGACTGGATCAAATTTTCACAAACACAAAATTTATAACACGACATTATAATTACAAATTCAAACAAAGATGTTGAAAATCACATGGAACTAAAACTTAAGAAACAAAAACCTAAAGAAAACTTAAAATACAAAAAAGTTTCACAAGATCAAACCAGCAAAAGTGGTTTCATACACAGGAAGTTCATCTCCGTACAGACTATGATGATGAGTTCCAACTAAATCCAGCTCAAACAAATCTGAACTCGTATCACTTGCCACATCATCATCATCATCTTCTTCATCTTCATAATCCTCAAAATCATTAATCTTGACCAAACTGTTATCATGATTCTTGTGATAATCTCTCAAAAACTCTCTCGCAATCTCCTCCACTGACCTCCTCCCTCCATCTTCCACACTCTTCATCACCGACTTTCTTATGTAACTCTCTTCTTCTTCGACAAAGGATCTGCTCTCGGGGACGATCACATTCACCGGAGAAAACCTAACGCTTCTTTTGATACGGTCAGATGATTTCTCTGAGCTTCTGTTCAGACAAGACCTAGAGAAGGAAGAAGCTGAAGAACACGTCGTAGATGGATAGTAATAATCATTTGGTTTCCTCACGAATGCTGAGTCGTCGCAGCTCGTCTTCTTCGGATAACCTTTGGAACTGTTGTTGCTGCTAAATAACGAGTTTATGAAGTTAACGATTCGTACACCAGGCGAAGCTGGAGTTTTAGGCTTCTTTTGATTACTACTCGAGCTCTTCGCAGATCTTCTTGTTTTAGTAGTTTCACTTATCTCATAATCGTAGTCGTGTGACACACGGAATGCTCTGTTTTGGTGAAACAGAGTTTTATCCTCTGTTTTTCTTGGTTTTGTTGTCTTAGATGGGCCGAAACATAACGGTCTTGAAGAAGAAGATGTCTTCTTAGAGTGAGACGGTTCTGTGTCGGAAGATGAGAAGATACTGGAGCTGGAATCAGAGGAGGAAGACACGGAGCCGAAGAACCGATCTCGGTGGATTTTCCGGTCAGGAACCGGTCTGGTTACGCTGATGCTCTGTTTCTTGGTAGTGTTGATAGCAGGACCGGTAAAAGGTTGCGTTTTGTGGGTTTTAGGGTCGATGGAATTGTAGATTTCGTCGAGGAGAGTTGAGGAGAATGACGGGTTTCTGGATCTATGCATGATTCGTTTTAAGAAACTCGACAAAAAAAAAGGGAATTTTTGAAGAAGAGACAAAAGAAGAATGAGATTTGTCTTAACTGTTTCGGTGTTTTTTTCTTTCTTTCTTTCTCGGGACTTGTAGAGGAAGACGACGAATGAGAAAAGAGAGGAGGGAGATAGATGGCTTATATAGAAGCTGCGAACACGGCGCGTGGTGTTTACTTGTACACTCACGGGATGGACCTTCTTTTCTATACATCGGAAGTCTATGCGGCTAGGCGGCCGACTAGGCGCTAAGCAACCATTTTCCACCTTGATTTATGTCAAATCATTATAAAAAATCGATCATCTGATTTTAGTACGTCTGCGACTAGATGATCGTTTAGCCGCCTAATCTATTTTTTATTTATTTTATTTTTTAATAATATTTTTATCTATTTATTTAATCTAAAATTTAATAAATATGAATTATAAATATAATTTCGATGAAAATTATATCATATTAATTTTATATATTTTATTTGTGTGTTTTGTAAGATTCTAAACATAAAAATATATTAATGATTTACACAATTAAAGATTAACATATTTTATAACATATCAAATAGTCTAAAAATTATACGTCGTATAATCTCTGTTTGATTTCCGATTTTTTCTCTAGACGCTAGGTCCAACCATGCCGTCCGACTAGCGCCTAGCGTATTCTCGAACATGGGATGGACCACACAAGTGTGTAACTTCAGTTTTTTTTCATTCTTAAGTATGCATGTACCTATGTTTATGTCATTTTCCTCATAATGTGAGAGTAACTGATGATCTCCTCCTCTATTGAATTGGTCTCAATGTTTCCTATAGATTATTGGATCTTAAACCAGTATTTAATGTTCTCTCTAATGAAGTTTTGATTAACTGGATTCAGTTGTGGTTTGCAATATAAGAATGTACAATCACCTACTTCACAAATACTAGTGCACGATATGTTTACTCGTTACTCTCTTCTTCTTACTATTATTTTCATACTTGTCTTACAATCAAGTACTTGTGTTGTCAGATCCAATAACAACTCAAGAAATTTTTACTTGCAAGTACTGATCAAATAACAAGCATCATTATGGCTTTTAATATTGGTCTCATGCTACTTGCCCGGTTATATTACCCGTTACATGTTATTTATTAGTCGGTCTAAATGTTAAAGAAAATACTTGTTATTCGTTTAAAAACACTTGTTACCTGCTAAAAAATACACATTACTCGTTGTAATCACTTGTAATCCATATAAAAGTACTAGTCACGTGTATTTTGATTCCAACTACTTAGAAACAATCAAATATTCTATACAAAATACTAGATTTTGGCAAGTAACAAACTGAATCAAGTAATTTGCAATTGCAGGTACTGTTTTTTTTTTCTAAGTACTTGATATAACAAGTTTTTTTTTTGAACAACTGATATAACAAGTACTTATTTCAAATAAATAAAATATAAATATTAAATCAAATTACTTAAACAAATCAAACCAAGTATGAAAATCGGGAAATGCTTGCTCCGTACCTACCTTAACAGATTGTCTCAAGTTATCAAGACAGATCTCTCGAGTGTTGGTGGGTTTTGGAAAAGGTTGTAATTATAATCAAGCAAGCTAGCATTTGATTAATTAAATGGTCATATTATATATACTACTTTAAGCAAAGCCTCCCTTGCACCCACCACATTTAGCCATTGGGTTGTCTCGACAAGGAGAGGTTAAAGGATCTGTGCTTGTTTTGCGTCTTTTTCAGGTCTCACATGCCTCCTTCCTTTCTTGTTCCTTCACTGTTCCTCATTTCATCAACACTTATGTTTTCTTGCTCCTATTTTGTCACACTTCGGCAGATGTCTCCATTTTATATCTCAATTCTCACACCCAGTTTCCAAGAGTCCCCTGTAAATATTGTTTCAAACTGGACTAATATAGAAACATTGAATAATACTAAAACTTTAAATCAAACAAGATAAATAGTACAAAACAAAATATATACCATATATAGTTTACTCATCCTGATCCCTAAAGAATCTATATAGACTATATACATATGAAATGTAATATACAACTAAAGAGAAAGAAAATCGCACGGGGGAGTCAGAGATGCAGCTGCACAGGGGGGAGACAATAAGAGCTGACACAGGCAAAAAAAGAAAGATTCATTCATTCACGCGGTGAAGCTCTCAAGGCTCAACTGTGTCTGTACGAGGTCCCACACTGTCACGTGAAGCATTGTTGTGTGTGTTCTCTTCTCTTCTTACATATGGGACCCTCGCACGTGCGGGCCTCCTCACCACACGCGTACGGTACTTGTTCGGACGTAATAGGTGGACGCTGGACCACATATCTCCTCTAAAGAAGAGAACACACTGTGAATGTTTTTTAATAAGCTCTAACTGCATTATGTCGTCAGGTCATTTTTATCATTCAACAATGCTTTCACGGATCATCTAAAATCAAGCAGAGCCTGACAATGTTCTATGTAACATCATTTTCAAATCTTCTTTTCTTTGTTCAAATCTATTATCATTTTTATTTGTAAGGAACCAAATTGTGCTCTCACACACACACAATCTAAAGACAACATCTCAACATGTACAAGTTCTGCTGCATTCATTAATAGTTTAGGCGCTGTATGTCTACAAGTTGGTAGAGATCTCCACGCAGCTGTTTATTCAACGGAAGATTTGACCTGAGATATAGTGTAAAACCAACATTCAATTAGCAGATTACACGATCAACAATAACAACAAAACAGAAACAAAACAAAAAGCAAGAGAAAGTACAGAACGTATTCTCGTGATTACCTTCGTTGTTTAAGGAATGAGTAATCAATCTCTGCTATGATAATTGTTTCCTCATGCTCACTCGTCGCTATAATTTCTCCAAACTGTCAAATGTTTACTGAGTTTAGATCTCAACTAAAGCTTCATTATTATCAAATCAACTAGCAAGGAAAAATGTAAAGTGCGTACAGGCCCGACGAGTGTAGAGTGGCCCCAAGCAACGTAGCAAGATCCGTAATCTCTGGCAGATGAGCATGTCGCTACATATAACTGGACAAAGTAGCATATATACTTCTATCAACTGCTCCAGTGACTTTTGAGAAGAGTGGATACAGTTGAACTCCCAGGGTGCATTAAAAAAATACTTGTATTGTTAGCTTAAAGAGAAATGGAGGTTTTCGATTAAACTTTACCAAGAAATCTCTTTAACACTTGCATTTATCATTGAGCTAACAATACAATGCCGTTCATGTACCTGATTATCCGTAGCCCTAAAATGGGATAAAACATACAAGTGAGACTTGTGATTGACTCATTATTAAACTAAGCCAGGGAAGTTTCATGAAGTAGCAGATTGTGAATTGTGTTACCTTGCCCTTTGTAGTAATTCCCAATGCAGCGGTCCAGTTGTCATGTTAAAGGCTCCTGGGTAGCATAGCAAATGAGCCCCTGAAATTAGCAGAAGAGAAACATGTCCGATGATAAGGTTCTGTAAGAAGCAGCTAAATAGTGCATTTGGAGAATTCATAGTATGTAATAAGACTCACCTCTTGCAGCATACATCATAGCTAACTCCTGGAACCGGATATCATAGCAGATGCCTACTCCTATACGCCCCACATCTGTAACACCAACAAAACCATTATCTCAGGCACTACAACAACGCATTAGAGATTATTCTCTTAACAACTACAAAATGAAAAAAAAAATGTTGTAAATGGTCCTACTATGATCCCATTACTCAATTAAGTCACTACGCTAGTAAAAATAGTTTGCTAAGGCTGTAAAAGCTTATTATATTATTTGTGAACAAGACAGCAGGCCACCGTAATCCTAAGCCGATTCTATTTTTTTTTTTAAATATGTTTATATAAAATACATGATCGTTTATGCATAGCCTGGTAAAATATTTGGCAGAGCCAGAGTGAAACCTGTGTCAACAACAGTTGGTGTCTCTCCAGCAGTAAAAGTTCTAGATTCCATATAAGTAATCTTCCCGGGAATGTCTATGTCAAATAAATGTATCTGCCGGCACAAGTCAAACGAAAGCTCAAGAACCAACAATTACAGAACATCATCTAACACATCATTCCTAATATCTACAAAAATCTTCTCAAACCTTGGAAAGATGAATCAAGGTTTTAGAAGTGAGATAAGCTGCCTAAACCAGAGGACAGTTCATTACTTTCTTCTACGGTCGTACGAAATGAAAGCTTAATCTCGGGAGATAAAAAATAAACAAACCTTGCGATGCTTAGCTTTGAGCTCTCCATCGGAACCAAAGACACAGCAAGTGTTGTACAAACGACCCCGGGATTTTTCAGGAATAGAGCCACCAATGATGGTAATATTGAGACGTTTAGAAACTTCAGAAAGCATTGCGGTTGAAGGAGAAGCATCACCACCTGCATCAATGTCTTCCGCAAAAGCTTTGAAACTACCTTTGGTATAAGGAGTGTTCCACATTTCCTGAAAACAAGTTCATTTGAAATTGCGTTTTGAAACATGGTTGAGAAGAGATCAACTAATAAGCTTATACTACTTCTTATTAGTTGTAAATTATCTTTATATATTTTTAACATTTAATATATTTTTATGAGATTTAATGATATTATATTTAAAAACATATTTAATTTTTATGCGATATATATTATATAGACCAAAGAAAAAAATAAAATCAATAAAATGTCAAATTTCAAAAATAATAATTAATATCTATATATTAAAATCAAATATTTCTCTTATTTTAAAAATAAATATATCTTAAAATAACCAATTTAAAATTTAAAAAGTAAATTAATATTTTTATAATAAAGTTTCAAAATATTAACTTTATTCTTTTATATGGGTTCTACTGGGATCAAATTCACGAGCACGTAAAACATTTCAAAGTTTTAAACATTAGCAGTTGGATGTTAAGGAGGAAACCTACGGGCAAGAGAACAAGCTTAGCTCCCTTGGAAACAGCTTCTTCGATGGCGTTCTTCGTGTGAGAGATGTTTCTTGTTTTGTCAGTTGTGACAGATAGCTGACACAATCCCATCTTGAACTACAGTTTCCCCACGAAACTAAAGATCAATCAAATTAACGAAATTAACCAAAAAAAACATAAAGCAATTAGAAAAGGAGAAAAGAGAGCTGACTTTGGTCAACGGAGGTGCTGGGAGGGGAAGAGCAGAGGGAACTCTAGCTTGTTCGGGTTTGAAAGAGGATGCCATGGAGGAGGAGTAGATGGATCTTAGACCTGAAGTTGACGGCGGTGAGAGGAGTTTAAGGGCGGCGTTATTAGTGATCGAACTTAGTGACAGTTTAGGGAGGAAAACGGATTTGAGGGAGATGAAGTGAGGACGAGGATTAGGGTTTAACAGATACTTCAAACTGAAGAGTGACGATGAAACTGCTGACTTCATGGTCAGCTAGATGATAATGTAATGGATACTTCCCAATGGTGCGGCTGCGGCTGAAACGTATTGAGGCGTTTAACCTTTTTTCTTTTCTTCATTACTCTACAAGAGACTACAACGCCGTGGTTGCAGTTCAGTCGTATTACAACGGTTTATATTATCCAACCATATTTTATCTTAACAACAAAACCCACACTCCCGAGCAAGGTATTATTATTATTACTAGATCTGTTGGCCGCGCTACGCGCGGCTAGTCTATTAAACAAAATTTTCAATCATGTTATTTATATATATAATATATTATATAATTAAACATATAATTAAAAACAGAAGAAATAGAATGTTAAATTAAATAGAAAAAAATAAGGATTAACAAAATCATTGTAGTAAATGTAAGAAAGAGTTTTATAAATAATACTAATAATGAACAATTTCTTTACAAAATATAGATTTTCTAGTTTTTTTAAACAAAATCCTCATTTTTGGTATAAAAAACTTACATAATAATTACTGTAATATTCTAATCTTTAGTTTTAATTATTTTCTATCTTCAATATGTTGGTAGAAAATAAACACTATAAAAATCTGAAAATTAAGTATATAAATTGAATTGACTGTTTTAAAAATTTAAAATAATATTATACAAATTTAAGATTGTATATATATTTTGTTGTTATGAATAATTTTTATTTATTATATTTATTTATATACTGAATGATATTAATTTATCATTGCCATCAATGTTTTGAATAAAAAACCGAATATTAACTTGACATTGTAGTTAAGTCAGCGTCACATCGGTCTAACTAAGTTGTAAATTTAATTTAGTTTTAAGTGAAGTATATTTATATATGTATAACTATAAAATTATATTTATAAGACTTTTTATCATTTCTTGAGGCTACAATGATATGGAAATAAAATATTTTCTCTAGCAGAAAATATCAAAACTCGAAAATTCAATATTTTTAATGAAAATATTATTTCTATATTTTTAAAGAAATTAAAATTTACATCCCAATAGTTTGGATTCTCCTTTTAATATTTACGACATATAGAAAAATATAAATTATGTGTATACGAAGATACAAAGACAGATTAAAATTCAACACATTTTCAAACATTATAATTAAGAATAATATTACATCATTCTAAATAAAAAGTAAATGGAGCTCAAAAACAAAGAGAAGAAAGTCTATTCTAATTTATTTCCGACTGCTTTAGCTGAATGACTATTTTAGGTTTGAGTAACACTATTTTTAAATAACATAAATCTCATGCTATCTTGATCCAAAAATTAGGAAGTAATAAAATCAAAAAAAAATAACGTAGAAAAGAACTGAAATATTAGAATAAAACTGGAGAATTAAAAAAATTCAAAATATAATAGACAACTGAATAAAAATCATAACCAAACCATTTAAATAATAATTAAAATAAAAAAATGAGCAAATTATAATATGTGATTTGCGTGTAGCGCGGTGATAATCTCTAGTTTTATTAAAATATTTATTGAATGTTATATAATAAGTAGCAAATATGAAAAATATTGGCATAGAGAAATCCCTTATAAGCTCTAAAGGGTAGATTTAGAATATTTTTATACAATATATAAAAAATGAGATTCACAATAGTTTTATATCCATGAAAGACCTTTTTCAAGATTGATCTAACTCATAAAATTTGCTTTGTGTTTTATTAAAATCACTATTGAGTGGTATATGTTAGTCTAGTAGCAAATATAAAAAGTACTTGGCATAGAGGAACCCCTTAAAAGCTCTAAAAGGTAGACAATGAAATGATGCCCCTACCACTATTTCAAATAAAATGATGTCCTAATGAACTCTCTAGCTAATGAGTTAATAATATTGTAAAAATTTGTAATATAATACATGGATAAAGATTAGATTCAAATATGACTTTATTTTAATGGAACAGATGTTACAAAAAAAAACTCTGAAATATAAATAAATATCTAACAATTTAAAAATTAATATATTAAATTAATTAATTAAAAATCCTTATATTAAATAAGATTTTGATACATGTAAGACTCCAGTCACATTTGGAGGAAGAACGTACAGAGAAAGACTGAGTCTTGCCATTCAATATTCCTGATAATCAACAACAAAATTGGCTCCTTTTATATTTTAAAAATTAGAAAGCAATGATCAATTGCTGATAAGGCTTATACGCATTTGTTTTCTCCTCCAGCTCCACTTCTTCTCCCGAGTTTGTTTTCTGAAAAAAAAAAAACGGAAACAAAAACAATATGATGGTGTGAAGGGAAAGGCCAGCGAGCCTGTGAGAGCAACAAAAAAAAACAAAGTAAGAAAAGATGTGGACTCTGTTTAAAAACCAAAGTGCATAAGTTAGATATTTACCTGAGTAGAACCAGTGTCGTGTCGTGGTTATCAAGAAAAGTGACAGCTCTTGAAGGCCACCATCCCATTACTCCAGGTGGCTTCCCTTGTGCATCACATAAACGCCAATACTGACCCTTCACAGCTTCCTATAGTATCATCAAATGACTTGTGAGATTAAATAAAATGAAGAGAAGCATGTAAGACGAACTCTATGAATCATGTATATACCTGCAGGATCTCTTTAGTATGTGAAGTCAAACCCTTGTATTGGATTCTTCTTCAGCATCATGAGCACGCTGGCTAAGCAGATGGCTGCTAATTCCAACTTCTCTGAACCTTTAGTAGCCTTAGTTTATTCCTGAGCTGCGAACAAAATGGTCTCCATTGTACTTCCCTCAGCTTTTGCTTGATATGCTTCTTCTTGAGACTTTCGTAGCTCTTCAGTGAATGATTTTGCTTCACTGTGACAGTGAATTATTTTGTTGTTATTAGCTAATGATATGTATACTCAAATAAATCAGATAGCTAAAAGTCTATCACACATTAGGACTCGTATATTCTTCAACAAAAATGTAGAAAGAAATGAATGAAATAGAAGAGAGTCTTATCAAATTGAGATCATAACACCATATTCAGTTGTTCAACAAAAATGTAGAAAAGATGAATGAAATAGAAGTGGTTTTATGCAATGATATTTAAATGTAAAATATGTTAAAGGTATCTTACATTGTTTATATGATTGCCTTGTGAGTCCCAATATGATCCTCGATTCTCTGCCCGATGAAACTGGCAGCCTGCGCAGTGGCGTATAGTTAACAAACTAAGAATGTAGTTTACTGAGTGAGGAGCACACTCAGGGTGAAGCTGCACCAATAAGTTAAGCATCAAGGTCAAGTCTGGAACATTCCCCTTGAAGTAAAACGACATTAAAACTAAGATACTTACTTCGACATGAAGTACACCGTGTTCTGTCTCAAAACCGACATTGCCCTAACATAAGCAAAGTAGCTTATCAGTAAATCCAAGAGAGTTTATAACTTGTGGAGTAGTAAATTATGGCGATCAACGGCGGGTAACTTTTCTTAAGACATGATATATAGAATACCTGGCCTTGTCCGAAGATCAGTCAAGATGTCCACATCACGTTCTCCCCACCTTCCTGTCGATCAGGCACCAGTACATCTTTTTGCTTCTTCAACCAACACTGCACAGAGAAGAAACAGAACGCATAAACTTATTAAGTCAATCTCTGTTAACTGAAAGCTGTCCCGTGGCATCAATCCAATTGATTATACGCTGTCTACGGCTATCAATTACAAATCACTTGCATCTAACATTCACAAGACAAACACAAAATTAAAGTGATAGAATCATAGCCACAAGATGCATAGCATCAAACCTGTCTGGCATATTCTGCTACCCAATAAGAATCAATCGACAGAGAAGATGCTTCCTTTTATCATCTTTGGTCTCCAGAATCGAGCATGCTGGTTTCACATTATCGGTGCTAGGTGTTGAGATCAAATCAAACACAAATCCACGATCCAGAATGTCAGAACTGAAGGAGAGGAAGATGGAGAGGATTGATTGAATGTCAGAACTGAAGGATTGATTGGATTGAAGAAGGATATTGATTGAACGGAGAGTGGGAAAGAATAATGGGAGAAACTGAAGAGAGGTACTCGCAGAGGAGGGAGTCGAAAGGTGAGAGACGATCTGAAGTGTTTAGAAATCAGATTAGGTTTGCCGACTTAAGACCAAACCTGTTCTAACCGTGATTTTTGGATTTTGATCAGAACATAATTTGAAACCGGTTTGTAAGGTCCAAACCAAGATGACGTGGTAGTTTTAACCACTCTCATTGGATGAATATTTCTGTCGATGTGGCATTCTAATATGGCTTCGTTTGCTACTTTTATTAGTGTTAGATTTTTTAATAATTAGTATTATATATATTTTAGATTATCACTATATAATTAATTGTATATTCGTTATCTGAATATATTTAAATTTCTGTAAATCTAAAATCTAGTATCTAAAGAAATGATATGTATCCGAATGAACATCTAATTCATGCCTAATTGATTATGTGAATAAATTAAAAAAAAATGATTGTTATTAATTTTAAGTTTTTGTCCAGAATAAAACAATTTCATTCAAACATATCAAATTATTATACTTAACATATAAAAATGTTATTAAATTATTATGTTAAATATACTTAAATAAAATAATGATTAAAAATGAAAAAAAAATGTAACAAAACACTTAAAATAGATAAATTTTATTTTATATTTCTTTAATAAGTATTGTCAAAATATTTAGAAAATTAATAAATGAAATGATTATAATTATTTAGAAAATATCATAAATGAACTGATTAGAATTAGTATAATGGAAAAATATGTAAAAAACACTTAAATAGGTTAGTATCTTTTTTACTTCAGTTTTAAATTTTTAATAGATTAAAACATATATCCAGAAATTCGAAACAAAGAAAGAGGGTAGGCCTCAGTAATGAGGGCCCATAATATTCTGATGCAAAAGCCCACATTTACCAAAAACGAAGTACATTTTCAAAACGACAGAACGATCAAGACGGTTCTCGAACAGTACGGAACCGCTTCAAACTGAAAATATCAGACCGAGTGATAAAGTGATAAACTCTTGTCTACATCCCTCTAGAACAATCCATCTCCACTCCTATTTAAATCACGCAAATACCAGAAAGTCTCTAATCAGTTAAAACCAAACAAAAAATATCAGCAAAGCATCTAGAACAAACAAAGACAAATCAAAGTTAAAACAATGGATTTTGGAAGGTTTCCGATCATCTCCATCCTCGAGGACATGCTCGAAGTCCCCGAAGAGCAACACGAGAAGAGCCGCAACACTCCTTCAAGAGCTTACATGCGAGACCAAAAGGCCATGGCGGCCACGCCAGCTGACGTCGTCGAGCATCCTGACGCGTACGCTTTCGTTGTGGACATGCCTGGGATCAAAGGAGACGAGATCAAGGTTCAGGTAGAGAACGATAACGTGCTTGTGGTGAGTGGAGAGAGGAAGAGAGAGAACAAGGAGAATGAAGGAGTGAAGTTTGTGAGGATGGAGAGGAGGATGGGGAAGTTTATGAGGAAGTTTCAGTTGCCTGAGAATGCTGATTTGGAGAAGATCTCTGCTTGTTGTAATGACGGTGTTTTGAAAGTGACTGTTGCTAAGCTTCCTCCTCCTGAGCCTAAGAAGCCGAAGACTATTCAGGTCCAAGTTGCTTGAGGTTCTGGTTTTTTCTCTTTGTTTTATAGTGTGTTTTTGTTTTGGTTTCGGTTTGGATGTAATCTTAAAATGTAAGTGACTGCGTGCGTGTGCTCTAAAGTGGAATAAAACCTGTTGTTATGTTTTTGCTTCTTTGTCCTTGTTGGATCTTTTTGTTTATTTTGAGAACTAGACTGCTAAAAGGATCCCTACTTAACTGTTCTTTTTAGGTGCTATTGTGGTGACTGAGCTGAGTAGAGAATGTGTACGTTTGTATAAACCGCTTATCCTAACGATACAAAAAACTGTATTCGCGTGACCATCTTTACACGTTCGTAGACAAATAACATGTGCCTACGATTTTTTTTAGCTCTTTTGTGTTACTAACGGCTAAGTTCCGAACAAGGCCATAGTCTTTTTCAGTTGTGTGCGATTGTATGCCTTGGTTGTCAAGGTTAATACGTATGTATCAAAACAGACTATTTAACCTTTGGTTTACCAGTGGGTGCGTTTATCGTTTATTAAGCGATCTTTGACTTTGTTGAATTTAGACTACTCTATGCGTTATAATACTTCAGTTTCATTCGTTTTCCAATTCTGATTACTATCCAAATCTTAAATGGCATCTACGATCACTAAGCAACTGAGAAAATCAATAATTATCGTAGCTAGCTTTTGTATAGTGTCGATACTTCGAGATTGCCCCCATATAAATATGATTTGGTATTGTAAAGAGCAAAGTCTCGTGTGTATATCAGTAAGCTGCCCCCTACAATTTGTAATATTGTGGGAAGAGAGATGGAATAGTTATTGTTCTTAGTACAGTGTAAGCTACAGATAACAAACGTATTTTCAGAAGATTATTCAGTTTTAGAAAGAAAAAACGAATATGTGGTTTCCTGATTAAACAAAAATAATAACGTGAATTTAGGCGAGGATGAAAGAGGCCGGTATATAAGTTTTGAACAAATATTTAAATACCAAGAAGATAGTGTAATGACTAGTGCCTTCATTTTGGAAATTCAAAGAGAATAAAAAGAAACAAAGGCGTGGGACCAAAAAGTCTCCATCGGCCACCTAACGTGCCGCACCGCCAGATATTCACACACCAATGTCCGATACTTCCTAAACGTGTTCACACTGCTTTCTTAGCTTCTCGGTACAATCATTTGAGATCTTATATTATAATAAACATTATCTAGTTCATCTATAAGATATGTGTGTGAACATCCACCCACAAGTGTATATAACAACGTTTATAAAATGTTGTTCAAAAAACAAAAATAATAATAGTGGAGAGAGATGTCTTATATCTAAAACTCATCTTTTCCCAAACGAATGTTACATATGAACGAGAATTCATTCTTTTATTGTTACTCATCTCAACATCTACTCTATTAAAGTCATTTTTTATCTACTGATACAAGTTGTTATTTAAATTTAAACCATTTCTAAAATGTTACAAAATAATACAAGTTCTATAGTTGATTGAATCGTATTACTTAAATTAAATCGGTAGTTATTTATGGAAAATATAATTTGGGCTTACTTTTGTTTTTATGACAAATTATATAGTTTAGGTTTTGGGCTTAGTATTAAAGAAAAACTCCAAAAAACCATTGAATAAATGTTCTACCTTAATGGATCAAAAAATCAATTACTATTTTAAGGTCCAAAAATATTTAATATTTAAACAAAACAAAATTATATATAATTAATCATTTATTTAAATTATATAATTTAAAACATGTTAATATTTTTTTATTTTATTTTAAATAACAATCACTCTGTCTTGATAAATTTCAATGGTAACTTTTATAATAGTTTATTTTTTTATTTTTCTTAAATAATTTCTTGATTTTAAAAAATAAATGTAAAGCAAAACTAAAAACTAAATCTAAAAATTAAAATCCAAAACCAAAAGTTTAAAATCCAAAACCAAAAGCTGATAAATTTCAAGGGTATCTTTTGTTTTGTTTATTTATAAAAGAAACTATTGCAATTTTTTAAATAAAAATTGTCATATTTTCAGTTTTAAATTAGATGTTCGATTCTTTAAGATTTGTTTGTTGGTAATTATGAGTTCAAACTAACTCGGCGGATCTAAAAGCTAAAAACCCAAACCAAAAGCTGAAAATTAAAACTAGAAACTTAAAAATTAAAAATCAAAAACCAAATCTAAAAATAAAAACTGAAACTCTAAACTAATGCAAAGCAATTATCACCACAAATTTTAGATTACTGATTTTATACCAAGACATATTTTAAATAAAGACAAAACCTAATTAGATAAACTTTTAATTAAAAAAAATTTCCGCGGGTCAAAATCTGGTTGATTATTAAAATGGGACAGTTGGGAAATATGATGATTACACAAACTATCTGAATATAGAAATAACGTAAACAATATCGCTATGAAGAGATTTAAAAAATGCAACTACCATTTACGAAAGTAGTTTAGTTCACATTGGCAAGTAGCAGACGATACGAACTTCTCTATAGTTAGTCTATGGTAATGTTGAGTAGCACAACACAGTGAATCATGTAGCGAAGAAATATTTTTAGATCTATATATACATATATATATTTATTGTTTTATTTAGAGTGATTTAGTGTACTACCCTTATTTGAAGCTCAAATTAGCAAACTACCATTGATTAGACATAAATGACACTGACACAACCATTTGGCAAGGAAATGCCGAGAATACCCTTTCTCTTTCCTCTCATTAACACGAAGCGTAAAAACATTTGTTAACATATAACACTTCTGTTAACGTCTACAATATTTGTTAACAGCCAACACATTTATTACCGCGAAGCGTAAAAATAAGTGTTAACAGTTAACACTTTTGTTAACGTGTACAATATTTGTTAACAGCGAACATATTTATTAACGAGAAGCGTAAAAATAAGTGTTAACAGTTAACATTTCTGTTAACGTGTACAATATTTGTTAACCGCTAACACGACGTCGAATCTAAAACCCAGAAAATTGATATCATCGAAAAAATGTATCACTGAATTTTGTATTTCCAAATCACATTGAGTAAATTTAAAAGTTACAATTATTATTTAAGAATCAAAGTAAACTCAGAAATATTTAACATATTTATTTTGTATGTAATTCATTTTGAAAATGATAAGAGGAGAGAAGAGTATTGATAACGAAAATGAGAAAAAAAGAGTTAAACACCCACATGTAAATGCGGGAAGGAAGAAGAGAGAGAGAAAGGACAATTTGGTCAGACAAAATAAATATGTCCCATCATGGGCAAGTGACTAATATACACCCCCATTTGGGGTGTATCAGCCAATTAACTCTTTTATTTATCACTACATTATATTATATTTTGATAACCTTCACAAACTATTATTTTGACAAGTAATTATCTAGTTTAAATCTGGGCTTGATTGTATGAGTTTTTAGTTTATCATTTACAATTTAAATTACAGTAGAATCTTTATAAATTAATAATATTAAAACTTTTAAATTTTATTAACTAATAAAGATATTAATTTACAAAAATATATTATATCTAAAATAAAAATATTTAATTTTAGTATATAGAGATTAATTATTTTTTTCTAAAACTTGATATTCATATTAATTTTATTATATTATTCGATGTATATAATATGTATTGCCTAATTTTAAATGTGATTTTAAATATAATATTACTAAACTCATCAAACATATATAAATATAAGAAAATAATTTTATGGTCAATATAGAACAAAATATAATGATAATTTTTTACTTATATATAATATGTGTATATATATATATAAATTATTAATTAAAAATTTTAACGAGGTCCTATATTTATAAAGATTTTTTTTTTAAAATATTATTTTATCATTTCTGTTAAATTTTGAATCGATACAAATTAAGACTAAAAAGTTATTAATTTATAGAGAATATTAATTTATCGAATATTTATTTAATAGAGGTTTTATGATTTTAGTCACCTCCAATTTTTTTTTAAGTTTCACATAGTTTGTTTCAAAAAAACTGAATCACTTAAAGATAATGGGAGTGATTGATTGGGATGTAATCATAAAAATTACTAATCATAATTTTTCTAAATTTTTAAATTAAATCAAGGTTTTTTTTAAAAAAGATTGTACCATCTTTGTTTTCTAAAGCACTATTTTATACGTTGCAAACAAAAAAGTATTAATATAAAAATATTTTTTCATTTTTGTATTCGATTTTTACAGCTACATTTACTACAATTATATCAAAAAACTTTATAAAAAAAAATTATACAGTTACATCCCAACTGATCACCATGTTTCTACCTTTTCTGTATAAACTAATATCTAAAACAAACTAAAGAATGTAACAAAAGAAGAATAAAAATGAGTAACACTAACTAATAAATAACAAGAATTAAAATAACATTGGAAAAGAAAAAGAGGTGGCCTACTAAAGTCAAACATGCGTGTTCACACACACATCCCACAAGTCTCAAAGTCTGTCTGAGATAAATCTATTTATGAACACAAAAAAATCTATCTTCTCTTCCAACCCAAAGTAAACACACTTTTGTCCGAACCACAAAACTCACACGACTTCGATGAAAGCCGCCTCCTCCGCCGTTTTCAAGAAACAAATCCACAACGAGGAGGAAGAAGAAGAAGAAGTCTGTAATGTCTTCGACGGCGAGGTAAGTAGCCAGACCCGAACGACGTCGTCCCACGAAACCAAAAATCTCAAGGGCTTCTTCACATCCTTGCTCTTGATGGAAGAGCACGAGAAACATAACCAAGAATCTCAAACCGCCGCTTCCCGCCGCGAAATGTCCGAGTTCAATTCCAATTACCGGAAACGCGCCAGAACCATGTCCGATTACTACTCCGATCTCACCGATTACTACGCCGCCGACGCAGAGGAAAACGGTGATTTAAATCGGAAGAAGTCACGCGCCTCACGCGCCGTCGTAGCCTCCCTCTCCGCCGCTGTGACGGAGAGCAGCGAGGTAACCGGATCCGAATTATCGGTTCGCGGTACGGTTACTGGTCAGCAGAGGCGGTTATGGGTGAAGGATCGGAGCAGGGCGTGGTGGGAAGAGTGTAACCGTTCGGATTATCCAGAAGACGAATTCAAAAAAGCGTTTAGAATGTCCAAATCCACGTTTGAGTTAATCTGCGAGGAATTAAACTCGGCGGTCGCGAAAGAAGACACCGCGTTGAGAAACGCGATTCCCGTGCGGCAGCGTGTCGCGGTTTGCGTTTGGAGGTTAGCCACGGGGGAGCCGCTACGTCTAGTCTCGAAGAAGTTCGGTTTAGGAATCTCCACGTGTCACAAGCTCGTTCTTGAGGTATGTAAAGCGATTAAAGATGTTTTAATGCCGAAGTACCTTCAATGGCCTGATGACGAGTCGTTAAGAAACATTAGAGAAACATACGAATCGGTTTCGGGTATACCGAATATTGTCGGGTCTATGTATACCACTCACATTCCGATTATAGCTCCTAAGATCAGTGTAGCTTCTTATTTCAACAAGAGACACACCGAGAGGAACCAAAAGACTTCGTACTCGATCACAATCCAAGCCGTTGTGAACCCGAACGGTGTTTTTACTGACTTGTGTATCGGATGGCCCGGGTCTATGTCTGACGATAAGGTGTTGGAGAAGTCTTTGTTGTATCAAAGAGCTAACAACGGAGGTCTTTTGAAAGGTTTGTGGGTCGCTGGTGGGGCGGGTCATCCGTTGTTAGACTGGGTCTTGGTTCCTTACACGCAACAGAACTTGACGTGGACGCAACACGCGTTTAACGAGAAGATGAGTGAGGTGCAGAGAGTGGCTAAAGAAGCGTTTGGGAGGTTGAAAGGACGGTGGGCGTGTTTGCAGAAGCGGACGGAAGTGAAGTTGCAAGATTTGCCGACGGTCTTGGGCGCTTGTTGTGTGTTACACAATATATGTGAGATGAGAGGGGAGAGGATGGAGCCGGAGCTGATGGTTGAAGTGGTTGATGATGAGGTTTTGCCAGAAAATGGATTGAGATCGGTTAATGCAATGAAGGCTAGAGATAGTATCTCACATAATTTATTGCATCATGGACTCGCGGGTACTTCTTTCCTATAACTAAAGGATTGTGGAAACTGTTTATTATATAGTTTCTCCTTCAATAAGATGAACAAACAAAAACTCACTTTGATTCTTTTGTTTATGCATATTGTATTTGTACCTTTTTTAGATCACATATGTTAAACGAGGCAATAGAGAAAACTTACATGATAATATTTATGTATACATACCATAAGCAAGAATATATATAATAGCTCAATGAGATTTCGTTATCTGGTATTTTGGTTTTGGTGCTATGGAGTATGTACTATGGTGCTTCAAAAAACATGTCATTTCTTTTTATGCTAATTTTCACTGCAAACGACACGCTTTTCATATTCTTCGTTTGACTAGTGGGCTCTTACTCAACGAGAGACTCGCCAATCACAGCTACTTTCTTGATGGTTTTAGTAAGAAGTTTGTTCTAACTTCTAACCAAAAACAAAAAATGCTTTAAATTAAATGTTTCTTTTTACAATTTCACAAAAAAACGTTGTATTTCTAACAGCAAAAAGAAACGAAAACCCGTACTAAAGAGAAAAAAAGGTTGCATTTCAGATTTTATAAAGATTTGCATTTTAGAATTTTGAAAAAAAAAAAAAAAACACAAAAGTGAGGAAGAAATATAGAGAACCACCACCTTAAAAAAAGAAACTTCAAAAAACAATGGTTGATAATAAATATTGACTCCCGGTATTTTCTCTGATTTTGTTCCAAGGAAGAAGTTTGTTTAATCAAAATCTTCCACGAACACAGCCATTGAAACAAACAAAGAAAAAGAGAAGAGAAGAAAGAAAGATAGCTACCATCTTCTTTCTCTCTGTCTTCTCTTCTTGTCTGCCTTCCCAGACACTACGTCTGGGTGACATATTATTATTTATTATTACATCTATTTATTAGAGATTTTTAGAGGATTATTTCTCTATAGTTCGTTGGATTGATAAATAATGGCTCGTTACTCATCGGAAGATGGGCACGCGCCAGCTAACTCGACGGTGGTGGCCATTGACAAAGACAAGAACAGTCACTACGCTGTTCGTTGGGCCGTAGATCATCTCTTCAATATGATCAACAACCCCAACATGATTCTTGTCCATGTTCGTCATAAAAGTTCTAACCGTAGGTATCTTCTCCTCAGTTTTTTATTTTTTTTTTATTTTATTAATTCCAAAATTTTATTCAATAATAACATACATAACTCTTTTTCAAAATTGTATAACGGATCAAGAAACGTTGCTGCAGATGGAGGAGACGAAGATTTGAATCAGCTTTTTGTTCCGTACAGAGGTTATTGCGCACGTAAAGGGGTAAAATAATAATGTCCTTATCGAACCGTACGTACGTTACGTAGTTTGATATTGTCTTTAATATCTTTGTGTTACTTTGCATGCATGTGTTTTATTAGATTTCAATGATGGAGGTTATTCTAGAAGATACCGACATTGCGAGAGCAATACTTGAGTACGTCAACAAGAACCTTGTGAGCAACATCGTGATGGGATCATCATCATCCTCAAAGAACCCATTTGCAAGATCTCTCAAGTTCACTAAATCATCCCATGACCTTGCAGCTTCCATCCTCAAATCAACGCCTGATTTTTGTTCCGTCTACGTTATCTCTAAAGGAAAAGTTCACTCTTCACGAGCTGCTCAAAGAACTATCACCAATACACTTGTCCCACCTCGTGCACCTTCATCTACTTTTCATCTCCAGAACCTACCTGACCCTGACCAAGATCCCTTACCTAGGTATTAATTATAACAGAACCAGCATTGTTTCTTTCTTCTCTTGCATGTTTGTACTTTAAAATGTGGTTTTGTAGGAGCCAGAGGAATTCAAGAAACACAACACCAGAGAGGTATCATTATGATAATGGCGTCAAGGCTGTGAGGGAAAGGCGCAGAAGTGCTGCAAATAGATCATTGGACTTTAATTATGACTTTAAGCAGGCAAATGGTCAAAGGAACCCTGTGGGAGGACGTGATTCATTTTCTGATGAGTCAGATGGTGGGTCTCTCATGTTGGGCTCCGTTGATCTATCTGCTCATAATTTTGATTTTGTCGGTGCATCTGGCTCTTCTGATGAATCAGCTTCACAATCCAATGTATGTTGATTAACAGTAATCAATACTTTGTTTAGGATTATAAGATTAGTATAGCACTAAATGGTTGGATTGTTTATATGCAGAGAGATATTGAAGCTGAGATGAAGAGGTTAAAACTTGAACTCAGGCAAACCATGGACATGTACAGCTCAGCTTGCAAAGAAGCACTTAATGCAAAAAAGACGGTAATAATTGTAGTTTTGAAGCAGAGATAGTTGATGTCTTTATAAATAAATAAATAAATAAATCTAGAAATTTGGGGTTTTTTCCAATGTAAATATGTTAAAAATTTGGTGTTCATATGATAATGTTTCACTTCACTATGCAAATGTTTAATAAATAAAAAATCTAGAAATTTGGGGTTTTTTTCAATGTAAATATTTTTAAAAAATTTGGTGTTCATATGACAATGTTTCACTTCACTATGCTCCCATGATTCCATCTAATACTTCATGTTTCTTTAGGCAAATGAGCTGAATATGTGGAAAAAGGAAGAAGCCAGAAGATTTGAGGAAGCTAGAAGTGCTGAAGAGGCAGCCTTAGCTGTTGCAGAGATGGAGAAGGCCAAGTGCAAAGCTGCAATGCAAGCAGCTGAGAAAGCGCAGAGAATGGCAGAACTCGAAGGACAGAGAAGGAAGCAAGCAGAGATGAAAGCAAAAAGAGAATCACAGGAGAAAGACCGTGCGCTCACTGCTTTGGGACAGAACGATGTCAGGTACAGAAAATACTCAATAGAAGAGATTGAAGAAGCCACCGATAGATTCGCAAGCAACATGAAAGTAGGAGAAGGAGGATACGGACCAGTCTACAAAGGCACACTTGATCACACACCCGTTGCTATTAAAGTCTTGAGACCTGATGCTGCTCAAGGAAAGAAACAGTTTCAACAAGAAGTCGAGGTTCTAAGTTGCATAAGACATCCTCACATGGTTCTTCTCCTTGGTGCTTGTCCTGAATATGGATGTTTGGTGTATGAGTTCATGGAGAATGGGAGCTTAGAGGATAGACTCTTCCGTAGAGGAAACTCACCGCCTCTTTCTTGGAGGAAAAGGTTTCAAATAGCAGCAGAGATTGCTACTGCACTTTCCTTCCTTCACCAAACAAAGCCAGAGCCTCTTGTTCACCGTGACCTAAAACCTGCTAATATACTCTTAGATAGAAACTACGTGAGCAAGATCAGTGACGTTGGGCTAGCTCGGTTAGTCCCTGCATCAGTGGCTAATAACGTCACGCAATACCACATGACATCAGCAGCAGGAACGTTCTGTTACATTGATCCTGAGTATCAGCAAACGGGAAAGTTAACCACGAAGTCAGATATATACTCGTTGGGGATAATGCTGCTTCAGATCATCACTGCTAAGAATCCAATGGGTTTGGCTCATCATGTGTCGAGGGCTATCGATAAAGGAACTTTTGAAGATATGCTTGACCCGGTTGTGACTGATTGGCCTGTTGAAGAAGCTATAAATTTTGCTAAGCTGTGTCTGAAATGTGCAGAGCTAAGGAAGAGAGATAGACCAGATCTTGGAAAGGATATAGTTCCAGAGCTTGTCCGGTTAAGAAACTTGGGTATGAACAATGAGTCAGGTAAAACCCTAAAACACACAATCTTTATTTATACTAAAACCTTGTTGCTTACGCTATGAATATGTTGTATTATTCATTAGGAAGCCAGAATTATTAGCGGGGTCTGAAGATATAACATTTCTTAATTATTTGAAGACTTCTATATATGAGGAAACAATAGAGAGATTGCTTGCTTCTCAAGAAAGAAAGTGGTAAGTGAAGTGCCTTGCAGAGATGGCTTAACTAAAATATAACCCTTGTCAATATTATATATGTATCTGTAACAAAATACTTCCACCTTTCTGGCTCTCGGATTAAAAGTATATATTGAACGAAAAAGCAACGGTTCATATGTTAATGTTCCACTTCTCGTAGACGAAGCTATTGATTGATTAACATTTCGGCATCACCACCAACACGTAGGTAATACGTGATTGGATTCACTTTTGTGGATGTTAGGATACTCATGTATAATTAAAAAGAAGTTATTGATTGATTCAGACATTATTTCTCTGTTCTTCCTAAGTTACGTATCCAGTTTGGATAGTATTCCAAGATACCCATACATTGTTTATACAAATTGTTTGGACACCGTTATAACACTTTTACATTAAAGAGTTAGTAAGGTATAGTTTCTAACTCCAACATTACAACAAAAACATTGATAAGAACAATAACTCTTTTGTAACTTTTAATTTTTCCTGTTGACATCAAGCTGTTTTGTATAATAAGAAACCTATAAGTATGCTTTTTATCTATTAGCAGGACCGGCTCTGAGAATTATGGGGCCTAAGGCGATTTTTGAACTATTTTACTTAAAAAAAAATTTCTACGGATTTGGGAGGCCTAAAAACTTTTTTTTGGGGGTCGGTATACATGTAAATTTTTCAAAAAAATTGAGGGACCGAGACTAATGTTTCATCCGACTTTGCCCAACGTCGGCCCTGTCTATTAGATATACTAGCCTCCTATACGGACATAGATACTAGAGGCTCTATATACTTGTATATAAACAAACTCCTCGTACATGATTCATTAATCTATTGAGTACAGTTTTAAGTTCTTGAGCTCTATTATTTCTTTCTCAAAATGGTATCAGAGCAACAAACTTTTCCTCTAGTATATACACATATAAGAGGCTAGTATATCTAATATAATGTGTACTCGTCCTCTTACAATATAGTAGATGAACGAATGAAATAAAACATAAACGACATATATTAGCCAAAAAGATACATGATCTTGTATAATTTTTGTACGAAAAATTACATTTTTTTTGAGCAAACTACGAAACATTACATAGGGGATGACAACTAACGAACTCCAATTCATAAGAAAAATACTTTACTTTCAAGCGATAAACTATCTCCAATCACATAATTAGCTAACTAATTCATTTTGTCTATGAGAAATGAAATACAAATTCGCAGCAAGACATTCTCAATCGTCACACAAGGTTCTCAAACTTTCTACAGTCCTCCCTTTCTTTTTCTACCAGGTGAGAGTGTGTGTCCGAGTTGATTGGCCGCATAAATCGAATAGAGGCATTTGTATAACTCCAGCTGTATTATATTAAAAATGGAAATTCTGCATATATTATAATCATGAAATAAAAGTATTTGATCAGTATAAATGCAAAATATAGTTAAATAATTAAAACTAGATCCAGTTGCAAACTTCTCATATGATCATTGTCCTTTTGTTAATAAGAAAATTTCTAGCTTTTGCCCATAGTCTGGTCAGGAACCAGTTTTTGATAATCCGGCCAGTTCCAGGTTGACTGCTTGGGAGCAGGATTCCACCTTTCACAAGAGCTACCTACACTTAGTTACCTCAAATTACTTTTATCCATTTGATGATAGTATAATTAAGTATAGTTAAAAAATAATTAAACCAAATAGAGATCTTTTACCACCCATAATCAAACATGTTCAAAAGAAAAGAGAGAGAAGGGGGTGACAGAGAGAGAGTAAGCACACATAGCTTCAAGCATGAAACCCTAATTTGAAAAAAACATGCAAGAAAGCCACCATGTGTGCTCACTCTCTTCTGTCACCTCCTCTTACCTTCGATGGAAGAGAAAGCATGTGACCAGACTCGAAAACCTTGGCTTGTTGATTCAACTAACAAATCTACTTTCATATGCACACATATATCTAATAGATACACATATATAATATATACATATCTTTAAGAACATATCTTTCTATCAGGGAACTAAGAGCAAGACTCTAGACCTTACATCTTTCTATCTTCTGATGTGGGAAGAAACTGAGACCTGTCGGGACTTTTTATAGCCAAATGGAAGAGATAGAATAGTATACAAACAAAGAGGAAGAAGAAAAAAAAAAAACTCAAATCTCTCTCATAAATTATTGATAAAGATTGTTCCGTTTTCTAACCACGTGAATGGCTATCTACTAAGATGCCGACTTACTACTTGATGTTTTCGATGTCACCTTCTCTTTTGCTAATCAAATTAAAAGGCAAACCCTTTCTAAAACTTTATCATTATTTTACATGATGTCTCATCAGTATATATATGCATTAGAATACTGAATTATATAGACCCAGTTCATATATTGTCAATACATATAACATTATTCTATATGTATATATGCTTTTGAATACAAAATAATACAAATATATTCTTAGTGGCGAGTTAGAGCATCTTCAGTATATACTTTATTTTCTAAATGAAATAATTACACAATATAATTCATGTTTATGTACATTAGTAATAAATAAAAACAAAATAAGTATTCTATTGTTAGAGATTTTTCAATTCTAAACTCAATTTAAATGTAAGAAATGAAATGAGAGTGAAGATATTTTTACTAAATTTTCCAAAATATTTCGTGTGTACATATCAATTAAATAGTGCTAATTTACAACTAATGTGGTCTAAACTTTGGAATAAAATATAGATGAAGTTTGTCAAACTAAAAAACATTGGATGCAGTTTGATTATCTTATTATGAAATAGATTAGTTTGAGAATTTAGATAGCGCAAAGAATATATGGCTTTTGGTTTTTATATGATATAATACAATATAAAACTGGACGGACCAATTACAAATCGACAGAGACTCATCATGAAAAAGTTCAGCCACACCCAAATATTCAATACGGCGCTAAAGCATCTTAAAGCATGCAGGCTTTTTCAAAAACATTTTAAAACTTTCTGACATTCTCTATTTCAATGAAACTTCCTCCATCAAATCCGATATTAAATTACAGCACAAATTATATTGATCAAGTTACATGATATCTTACATCGAAACATGTATACCAAATAATTTGTATGTCATTGTTATACAACATGTAATAACCTCATGTTTTGTACTAGTTTTTTTACAAGATTTTTATAGTAAAGAACGAGACTAAAGTCAACCCAAAATGTAAATAAGATGACCATGTTAAAAATTAGTCTTGAGTCAGAGTTTTGCAATCCTTTTATCTTACTTTCTTATTTTATAACCATTTTTCATTTTTTGATAAACATTTTCTTAATCTTCTAGTTGTTTAACTAATTTCTCCACAAACTGCTATCTTATTTTAGCTTTTTCTACATCCAAAACCACGGCGAGATGAGATCTGCTGAGAATGTGAACATGTAATGATGACACCTGACCTGCTGCGTGAAGCATTGGTGCGTACAACCAGGTTCAGAGTTATGAGATAGTTGGTCTTTTTCCTGTCAGGATGAAAAATATATACCACTAAAAAAACAATAAATATTAGCTAATAATTCCTAATATGGAAATGCGCGTATGATTCCTCCTTCCTTAGCAAGTTTCCTTTTTGGGAAAACCACACACAATAGAACCATAATTATAAATTATTTGATTTTTTCGGTTTTGTTAAGCATTTTAATAGTTTTATTTATACAGCATTATACTTGACCCTAATTAGCGAATAAATACCCCAATCGGTGAATTTATCTGATGTGTTTATAATGTTTTATACTCTCCAAAACTAATGTTAAAATAACGGCTGTATGGGTCATTCATATATTCCCCTATTGGCAAACGATAAAAGTATCGACTTCTGAGGGACATATTCACTTTGACTTCTAGTTTGGAGCCATTATGGATTCGGTGTTGCTTGAAGTTGACGCATCAATACAAGGGAAAAAGAAGAAGCTAAAGTAATAGAGAGTTCACATCAAATACATTTACACACTTGGACTGATACGGAAAATATATGGAGACCTGAACTGAATGGAAAATAAGACAAAGAGTTCAACTAATGCAGTGACTTCATCTTTTAAATAAAAATTGATTACCAGTTTACCACTAATCACTGATCAAATCAAAAAGTAAACATGCATTAGCGCATTACACTGTAGTTTTTGTGTTAATTAACATTGTGTAGTTTTAGTTTTTAGTTTTATATATTGAGTTTGAGTTAAAGATCAAGAAGGCATGTTCGTGGGTCGACAAATGACAGAACTAATTAAAGCTTTGACGTATAAATGTGTGGGTGATACAGATGTATATGGATCATTTTTTGATCGATTAAATAGGCTTAAGAGGATATTTTAGTATTAGTACTGTTAAGATTCTTTTACCTCTGGTGCTTTAAAACTCTGTTTTTCACCACTTTCGGCGTGGGAATCACGTGGAGAGTCCCTGACTGGACACGTGGTTGAAAGGAATTTGCCGACCAGCCCCCACATCGTAAGTGGACAACAGAACCACGCTGGGCATCGTCATCATTTATCCTTTCACATCTATTTTAAAAACTCGATTCGATACTTGGTATGGTAATATGGCTTAGTCTACCGGTAATGTTAAGGAGTCTGTGGGCTTGGGCTCGGATTACTTTTGCATCGTGCTTATCTTTAGCAATGATTTCGCTTTTTTATGTGGTTAGACCTTAAACCAGTCACCGATTTCTTATCACCTTGCTTCTGATACTTAATAATAATTTATAAAATTTGACCAATTCCTTTTAAATCACTTAATGTACTGTTCATGGGGAAATAATAGCTCGTGGAAGATTAAGCTATTGATTAAAGGTGTATATGGTCCTTTGTATGTTTGCTGGTTGTCACGTTCCCACACGAATATGTGAGTAGAGTACCAATTAACATTATTACACACAACTTGCTCAATGAGTAATTTACACAAAAAAACGTTCTATATTTCATCTAGCATAAAATCACTCAGATCATCTCCAAAAAAACTCTCTATTATAGAGTTTGCAAAACTCTATATTTTAAAGTTTGAAGGTGTTATACTCCAAAAGCAAGACTTCAAACCTAACTTTAAAACTATTTATATTTTATATAATGGTATTTATATTTGTCATAACTAATTCAAATTTATAAAACTTTTATAAAGAACTATCATGTATTAAAATATTATAAAATTTTTTTTGATAAAATGTTACACTAAAATAAAAAAACTCTAAATAGAAATATATAATTAAATATTAAAGTACAAACAAAATACCATATTATATCATGTAATATTGTTGTTGTCTAATTCTAGTTTTAAAATATTTTAAAGATTATCTTGATTTTTTTGTTTTAAAAAAAAAATATATATATAAAATTTAAATTTAGAAAAATAAGTTTGAATTATTTATGAAATAAAATTTTTTAAGGATTGACATGATAAAAATAAAATATTGAATATTATTATAAATATGATGTGAAATTATAAAGATCAAAATGCAAATAAAATATGAAACTTCAAATTTGAAGTTTTGAATAGTGACACTCTATATTTGAAGTTTCACTATTCAAAACTTTAAATTTGAAGTTTTATAGTCTTTTTTGAAGAAATAAAAACTTCATATTTGAAGTTATAGAGTGTTTTTTGGAGATGCTCTTATAAACAACTAACTTTTTTTTATATGAACCAGCTTTTTATCATAGTGTGTCCTTTTGCTTTTTAGAATTTAAAAACAGGAAGAAAAAAAATACAAACATGAATGTAACGTTCGAGTGTCAAATCGAGACCAGCTCAAAAAGACACGGCTCTGGCGATTTTATTCTTTGAGCTGTAACCAGAGAGAGAGGAAAAGAAAAAGATTCTCTCGAACTCTCGCCGGCCTCAAGAATGGAAGATTACGGCCGTCAAAGACCGTACGGAGGGATGCAAATCCAGCCTTAAAACGGCGGTCCGGGAACCGGAGACTTCAGGAGCTATGGCGCATCTAACCGGATGGTGTCACAACATGTATGATGTGAAGAATAAAATCGATAGGGAGGTCGAAGTCGTGGGGGATAACGGACCGGAGCTGCATAGGAAGAAAAGGGTGGCGAGTTACAAGATGTATAGTGTTGAAGGCAAAGTCAAAGGCTCTTTTAGTAAAAGCTTCACATGGCTTAAGCATAGGTACACACAGGTCGTCTATGGCTGGTGGTGATTTCTTTTTTCTTCTTCTGATCGCTTTGAGCTTTGAGTTTTTGTTTTCTTGTATGTTTGTGTTGTTTCTTCTCTTATATAAATCTATGTGTGTTGTATTATATTCTTCAATGTAACCGTGATGGCCACAGAATTACATATATGATGATTAGTTTAATTAGGTATTTTATCGAGTTTCACAAAGCTTTGGATGGATCTTTTGCACCCGTAAAGAATGGTTCAAACTAGATTGTTGCAGGCTCTCTGCAAGTTCGTGAATTATGAACCATTCTTGTTTTACTCACTTATATAATAATATTGAATTTAGACTTTGATATGGTTGGGTTTATGTGTTTAAACTTGTCACATTACTCCGGTGAATGACGAATCAATCTCTCCCTAGGTGAATGGAGAAGATACACAAGCATATCTTAATATTGGTCTTGCAACACCAAGGTGTAGCCAAAACACGTTTATAGGTCTCGATTGTTTCTTTGCGTTGCAAGAAATATATGGCGACCTGAACTAAGTGGAAAAGAAGACGTCAACTAAAACAAGTATAAGCAAGGTAACTGTCTTGCAATGACTTCATCTGTTTAATCAATTGATGGCCAGTTTACTAATCACTGATCACAGTGACGTCCGTAATAGTTGTGAGGCTTAAAGCAAATTAAATATATATATATATATATATATATATATATATATATATATATATATGTGGCCTTGTGGTTCTTTAACCTAATTAAGAAGATTTAACAATTTTATAGATGTTATTGGAAGCTTTAGAAAAGAAGAAGCAGATAAATTGAAACACACATTGGAGGAAATATGACATCATCAACCCACATCAGTGCTAAGTTGATTTCAGCAAAAACAAATAAGAAAAATATTTCATTAGTATTTAATTTGTTCAGAAATTTCCTGATTAGGAGAAATTTGACAATTAGCATTAAATCAAAAGTAAAACTAGAACAAAAAACCCCTTAAATTTAAAACTGACAAAAACAACAATATCATGACAACAAACATAACACTATTGTCGACTTACCATCTTTTTCTACTACGATCATTTCCAAAAATTGAATATTTCATATTGAGAAAACTTTTTATCTCACTTTTTCTCAGTAATCGTTATGATTAACTTCTTTCCAATTACTTTATTATTTAGTTTATCTTCTTAGTAGTTTTATATGGTTTAACTAATTGTGAATAATGATTATAATCTTATATATTGATAGAAAGATGTTAGTTTTGATTACATTTGTTAGAAATAAATTTTCAAAATTGAAATTGATAAAATCTTATACGTATTCGAGTATATCACAAGAAAAAATTAAATGATTTAGCTATCTTATCTATTGAAAAGAAAATTTTAAAAATTTATTTTCAAAATCTTGCCAATGAGTTTGTAGAAAAAAATGAAAAGGTATTTTCCTTGTCGAATAAAAGTACTATTTCATTTGTTGTTGTTTTTAATAACAATGATACTTGAAAGACATTTTTTTAAAAAAAGGATACATTAGGATACATGAAGGCTAATCAGTTCTGCATAACTTAACAACTAAAACATAAGATTAAATTATTAAGAAGTAGTCTCTATCAAAAAGTTGTTGACATATTATAGTGTGATAAAATAGTCTTCAAAATAAAATAAAAAAATTTGCTATAAACAGTGTAATTACTACTTTTATATAATTAAAAAAAATAGAGAGAGGGGACATGTAACTATAACGTAAGACATTGGCAAACAGAAAAAACCAATTCGAAGGCTTTAGGATTCTCTCGTCTCGTCGAGGGCGTTTGAGAGAGAGAACATCGGAACATGTGGGAATCAATATGCCTGACGCTTGCGGCCACCGCCGGTAACAATATCGGCAAGGTTCTACAGAAGAAGGGCACTATCATCCTCCCTCCTCTCTCCCTCAAGCTCAAGGTCCTTTCTCTCTCTCTTTCCCTCTAATGCTCTGCCTTTCGATTGCATGCTATTTCCGATTCTCATTTTGACGGATCTCTATCTGGGAAATTCGAATTGGAGATAAAAATCTTGTCTTTTTGGGTAATTCGATTCGGAGTCAAACTTGCGTTTTTGCAAGTATTGCGATTCTGGGTTGCTTTATTACATAACAATTTGATCCATTTCGTGATTCAAACGTGATGGCGATCACTTTTCAATGGGAAAGCTCAGATTTTTTTAATGATCAATTTGTGGGTATTTTTTTTCAGGTGATAAGAGCATATGCTGTTAACAAACCTTGGGCGTTAGGTTTTCTCATGGACATTTTTGGGGCTTTGTTGATGCTCAGAGCTCTTTCACTTGCTCCTGTAAGCATAACTTCCCATTTGGATCCCAAGCTAGTAGTTTGCCTTTGAGATTGATTCTTTGGAAACTTGTTTTTAGGTGTCTGTTGTTCAGCCAGTCTCTGGATGTGGACTTGCCATTCTTTCAGTCTTTTCGCATTTTTATCTCAAGGAAGTCATGAATGTTTTTGACTGGATTGGGATTACCGTCGCTGGCATTGGCACCATAGGTAACATATTTGAGAAGATATGATAGTAGTAGAGAAAATTCAACTGTTATATAATTTGAGGATTATTTCTGCTTGTAGGAGTTGGTGCTGGTGGTGAGGAGCAAAAAGCATCTTTGATATCTGTCTTCCAGTTGCTCTGGCTAGCTCTTGTTGTTGCCATCTTGTTTGTAGGTACCTTTCATTAGAAAGTTTACCTCTTTTGGCATAATCGTGTGTTTACTTTGGTTTTTCCTTTACCTTTATATATCATATCCAAGTCTGAACATTAGAGCAGTTGGGTTTTTGTTTTCCTTTTCATCTTGATAAGATAATAATGTCACTTCATTGGTGTGGGAATGGCAATGTTTCTGATAACTCTCGTGTGTTGTTTTTCTTTCTTTCAACAAGGTACTACTAAATGCGTGGCTTCATATCTATAAACGCCAGCGCAGGGAGCAGGAGCTGGTATATTATCCTCTTTATTGTCTAATTTATTAGACTCTTCTGAGCTTTAAGATCCATATAGTATCCTCTGATGTTATTTTCTTTGTATTTCTCCTACCAAATGCACTAATCCTAGTTTTGATTTGCAGATGGAATATGAAGTGGTGGAAGAAATTATATATGGCTTGGAATCTGGGGTTTTATTCGGGTATTTTATTGGATCCTATTTTATTTCCTATAACCATTAACATCAAAGAACATCCAATTTGGTCTAGGTGACGAGCCTCCGATGTTTCCCATTGTTATCTCCTATATATCCATTACCATGTCCTGTTGATTCTGAAAACACCTACATATCAGTGTCCTGGAGTTTCTGCAAGAACATATCCAAAGAGAATAATAACTATAGTTGAACTGTATTTGTAGCTTGCTGCATAGCTGACAAGAGTTTTTGACTCATTTAAACACAGGATGGCATCTGTAGTATCAAAGATGGGTTTTGTATTCGTGGAGCAAGGTTTTTCTGCAATGTTCATTCCCATGTGCATCTCCATTAGTATATGCTGTAGCGGAACAGGATTTTTCTACCAGGTATTTGTCTGTGTGTAATCCCTTTCCACTCTTATCTGCGTAAGAGTGCAGTGTCGTGTATACCATAAATACTATCTTCCTGTAGTTTATTTGTAGGTTGATATTCAGGTAATTTATGTCACCATGATTCTAGTCTTTGTTTTTTTTTCCTTATCAGACTCGGGGACTAAAACATGGGAGAGCAATTGTAGTATCCACTTGCGCTGCTGTGGCATCAATTGTAACAGGTGTGGTCGCTGGAATGTTTGCTTTGGGTGAGAAACTGCCCACTTCACCATCTGGTCGACTTTTACTTCTCTTGGGATGGTAACCGTTCCACTCACCATATAGTCAATATGTGCACAAACAGAAGAGAGCAGAACTATAGTGTTTTTGGATGATGGGAGACTCTTGAAACTTTTTTGCAGGTTACTAATCATGCTAGGTGTTGTATTACTTGTAACTTCATCAAGACTTATCAGACATCTTCCAAGGTCATTCCGGCGTTCCAGACAGACCAGTGTAGAAAGAGGTTTCAACATAAGGCGGTCAACATCTCACACGCCAAAGGATACAAACCCAAGTGCGGTTATCCAAGCAGCAACATTGCACCATCTCTTATCATCCGCATCAAAAGAGAAAGACTAAGGCTTCGGGAAACACCATAGACTTTGTGACTTGAAGTGTCAGATTTTCAAAGTTCATCTCATTGATATTGCAGTTGTGGGAACAGTTACAAGATCAGAGCTTGTGATCCATCATGACTTAACCTTTTGGTATCTGAACTGTGAAATATGAGTTCCCTTTGTTATGTGGCTCTAATTGTGCAAACTGTGAGTTTTGGATATACACGACGATAGCATAACATGAAGTCAAGTCTGTTTTTTCTTAATGTTAAAATGTTATTATTTTTTTCTTATATTGTTGCTCAAATATGTCTTCTCTATTAAAGGATACCAAATTTATCTACTATTTAGAAGTTATGTTGGACAATGTCATTAATTATTTAATTTGATATATTTGATTGTTATATTAACCAATCAAATATATATTATTTTCAAAATATCTTAAAAATTAATAAGTATATTACTAATAAATAAATTTAAATATAATAAATCTGTTGAAAAAATCTAACAAAATTTAAGCAAGAAAGTTAAATTTTTTTTTATAAAATACGTATTTCTTTATTTTATTATTAAATATAATTATAATTAAACTAAATTATAATTATATATTTAAAACTTTTAGTTATATATTTATAAAATGAAAAATATATTCGCACCTGGTAAAACTCTAGTTTGGTTTAAATGAACTTGTGAGTTTTGGTGCCGGCACGTTAGATAATGATGTGCAAGTAGGTCGTCGGTACTTAAGAGTGAAAAAGACCGGTTAACCACTGTTAAAGAGTGGAAACGATGGAAGAAAGCGAGATGCATAATACAATACAAACCAAACATCCAATTAGGTTTGGGCTTAACCTATATTGGTACCAAATCAGGACATACTTGAGGTAGACAATATATGTTTGACAATGAAATGACACACTCTTATTTTTCCTCTTTATGTGGGTTCTAATCCCCACACTGACACACACTCCCTTTCAGCTTTTGTCTTTGGCCCCCATGGACCTTGACAGAAAACTCAAGTGTCACTTGTCAATAAATCAAAAGACTTACAAAAAAGTCCCTATAGTTATATCATTGCGCGAAGACAACTAGTTTAAATATGTGACATGCCAATGTGAACAAAGTTCAGAGAATGCAAAATTTTGAACGTTTTAGTGTTTTGCGGTACATTATTGGTGACAGAGACAACACTGATCAAGGTCTCAAGAAAGTGGTCAAGACGATATCATCTTTAGCTAGTTTTGTTTCTATTTTTCTTTTTTTTTTTATGTTTGCTGATCTTTCGAAATGCTAAAGGTTGTTGGTAAGCTGAGAGCCTGAGACCATTGTAACATTTAAAGTTGTACGAACGACATAATTTAAATGGTGGTAAAAAACACATCAAACTTTGACCAAATCTATTGTAAACCTTTGTATTACTATCTAAAACCATGTTTATACTAATCATTTATTACCATGAACGTCATCATCATCACTTTTTGTATACAATTCAATGACTAATCAAAATGATCCAACGTAGAAGAGAGAGACACACTCAAACAAGAAAGAAAGAGGAAGATATATCCAACCATTACCCACCACAAAAGGCACTTAGCAAAAAGAAGAAAACCATCAATCAATGTACAACTTGGTCACACATCATTCACATAATTTTGTGCATTTTCTACTTAAGCCAATGGTACATTCACTATAATACCACACTTGGGGGTAGGGACTTTTCTGCATCACCCACAATCATAAAGATTCCTCCTTTCTTTCTTTGGTGGAAACCGGAATCAAATCAACATAACAAACAATAAAGGTTGAGACTTTATTTTCTTTATTAGAGAATACATCCCAAAGAAAAACAAAACTTCAACTATTTGGGAATGGGACCCAATGTGATTGTTTCAAATTGCAACAAGATTTGAGTTTTCTTATACACATTGTGGATTGTGCAAATAAATCAGACTAAAACTTGAAATGGAAGTAGCATCTTCTAATCAATGAGAATGTTTTTTTCTTCGTTTTCTTTATTGCTGCTTGCTTTCTTGTCCCGGGTAAGCTCCAAGTTCCTCAACATTCCAGCTTTCGTGGGATGCAATATGCTTGTGTGAAGGAGTATATTCCTGTCAAAAATATGAAAAACAAACTATTGAGTAGATACAAAGTGACTACATAATCACAGAACAAGAAATAAAGGGAAAGGCTAACCTCCATCTTCTCCATAAGCTCTTTGGCTGTTGGTGCAGAAACCACAATATTACGTGCCCCTGGTTTGATAAAACCTTCTTGGACCCCCGTGTCAAACAAAGCTAGCAAATTGTTATAGTAGCCATCAACATTCAATATACCAACCTGCAGAAAACAATCACAAACGGATCAAAACATAGGTTTCAGTTGCTTCTTATGGAGAGAGTATAAGAAATGTTAATAGTACCGTCTTCTTATGGATACCAAGTTGTGACCATGTGATCATCTCCAGCAGCTCCTCCATTGTTCCATAACCTCCTAAAACAAAACAAAAAATCCAAAAAAGTTTCAGCTTCACAAAGTTGCTTTGATTCGGTAGTAAGACTTTTTTCTTCTCACCAGGGAGAGCAATGAAGGCCTCAGCTTCTTGTGCCATTGCAGCTTTACGTTCGTGCATGTCAGCAACAACCCTTACTTCTCCAACAGTCTCACCAGATATCTGATGAATTGTAAACCATACAATCCCCATGTTAACTATATAAAGCACACAAAAACCAAGCGGCAACATTGAAACACATTTCATCATTAGATACAAGAAGACAACATACCTCTATTGGCATCAAAGCTTTGGGAATGATCCTGCAAGTTACAGAGAATCCAATAAGAAACTCTTAGAGAAGTTAAGACATGAAAAGGAGATTGTGAGAGTTACAAAGCTGACTAACCCGAGGACATGGAAACCACCTTCATAGACTCTCCTGGATATAAGACCCATCAACCCAACACTTCCTCCTCCATAAACCAAATCTATCTTCCTCTTCACCTACATGGACAACACATTCAAATCCCATAAATAAAGAAATGCACAGGATACAACTGAACCAAAACATTAACTAAATCCAATCAACCAAACAAAGATAATACGTTCAAAAAACAGAGAAAGGGTTTATAATAGTCAACAAAACAAGAGCTTACAGCATCCACAAAATCTCTAACAGACACAGCACAAAACAGAACCACAAACCCATTGTCTGAAAGCCATGTTGGAGGAAACAAGTCGGTGTTTAGGTATTCAAAAACCGATTAAAAGTTTTGATTTTTTCTGTTGTATTTTCGGAAAAGATGGTTACTGTCTATTGATGTGTTTGAAAAGTTGGTGTCTTTGAACGAGAAAAAATCATTAGAGGACAAAAACAGAGAGGGAGAGAGAGCGAACGAGTTCATTGCCGAGTTCGATGGCAGCGTCACTGAAAACTTCTCTATTACCAGAGTGGCTTCCGCAAAAGACACAAACTTTCCTGAACCTGCTTCTCTGATTCTCCTCCTCCATTGGATAAAATCTACAAACAGAGCAATCTGAAGTTCGTTATCGATAAAAGCCCCCAAGGAGCAAAACGCAGAGGGGGAGGGGAGAGGGGTGAAAGAAAGTGAGAAAGACGAAACCTTTGTGTGAGGATACGATATTATATACAACGGGAGAGACGGGGACGCAAACAAGATTGAAATATCGTAATGATGAAAAAACAAAACCAAAATCTATAGTCCAGAGTGGAAGATAAGCCTTTGTATTTAAATAAGTTTTTTTTTTACTGTATTGGTAACTGTTATATAAAATAATATTTCCTCCCTTTTCTTAATAAAGTTCAGAAAATTATATAATAATTAATATATAACTAATTAAATCAAAATTATTTATATATTTTTTTGATTATTTACAAAGTTAAAAAAAAATCACAAAATTACATTCAAATTGTAAAATAACATTTTTTTAGACAAAATAAAAAAAAAAATTGATAATTAATTATTTTGAAACAGATAATTGCTAGGGTAAATTTGACATTGGAGGTCAAAACTGTTTTGGTGAAATATGGGGATAATAACAGATTGTAGCGTTTTAGAAAATATAATAATATGGATCAATTTGGTATAATATCTTGAAAAAATATTTGGCGAAATCACAACTACAATTTGTACTCAATATATTAGGAAAATGTTCAAAAGGAAAACTCATAAACTAGTAACTCTATAAATAAAATAAGTTGTATCATGTGTTATTATGATTTATTTAGATATACTAATTTGCGTATTTTATTTTGAAATATTTGACGTGCATAGATATGGCGAACAGAGGAAGCCCCCACATGAGCGTCCACAGCTCTTTCCCTCGTCCAACGCCAATCTGTCCCCTTTTGTATTTTTTTATAAAGTTTACATATAAATTCCACGATTCATTTATTAACCAGTTTTGTTGTTTATAACATATCCATTTGGTATTTAATGGGATTAAACAGGACTAACCTTGATCTATTTTTTCGGTCTTATATTGTGTATGTGAATCACTTACATGAAATGGTGCTCATTTTGTTTTGTACGATAATTCAGTAGATTTTTATTCTTTGAATCTGGTTTTTGGATGTTGTATGCGTGTCTTCGTTTACTATGTTGTATGTTTTCTTCCCCAAAGCTTTATTGTATGTTTATTTGTACATATATGCGGGAAAAAAACTTGCTTAGAACATATCCAATTATCCACTGATGATCTTAAAACTTTTCAGAGTTTGTTTCTTCGAGTCCTTAATTAATCATATATTCATATAGTAAACGTAGTATATGTCAGGTCTCTTTCTTCGAATTTTGACTCCATCGTTTTGTTATATAATATATTTTCACTCGATGAGTCATGCGTGACTATGTCATAATCTAGTACATTCACACTTTTAATAGAGACTAAAAGTCACCGGCGGCTTAAACTTATCGTAAATGTTTTCAGTTACCAGTGGTTTAGCTTTGTTGTTGTCTTGTTGGTGATGAGTTTTCTTGCTTCTTAGCAAGAGAGTTTTGTAGATTTACCATTCTTAAACACACAATAATAGTATAAGGTATCTAACAGGGTTTCATATAGAATAATAATACGTGTTTCGTTAGCATTGACCTGAGTATATAATATCATTTGCAAGCACGCAAATGCACGCATCTAGAAAGCTATGTCGTTTTTTATTTTTCATTTTGTTATAATCGTACATGACCGTATCTTTGCTCACGATATCTAAAATTCAAGTGAAAAATTCTTTGAGATTATTAAAATAAAGGTAAACATGAATGAATCATTTCTATTAAACTTAATCCATTATTGCACTAGGAAGAAGATAAAATATATGGATGATGACGTTACATAGAAAAAGACATTAAGCTTTTGATATTTGTATTTGTTTTTAAAGACATTTGAAATGTGATGTTCCCAACATGGCTTACCCAAAATTGCTTGTCCTCTCTGTACCGGTGTTCCACTCCATTTAGTCTTCAAAGTTTCAAAACTAACCTTCTTTCCTCCTCCAAGAAAACTAGGTTTAACTAATCAATTAGTGTTTTCAAGAATTTTTTTTTATATCTAAAACGCTACTGCTGCGTTACATACTTGCACACAATTTTATTTGAGTTCACTGCTCGCCGCAAAGAGACCTAAACCTGTACAGGGAAGGGCGTTGATGTTCTCTTTAACACCCGAAAAATTTTGTAGTCGTGGATGTCTTCAAAAAATCTCTCAACATGGCTTACCCAAAATAAAATGTTGAGATGGTTTCATAACACCCGACAAAATGGTTCTCAACATGGCTTACCCAAAATAAAATGTTGAGATGGTTTCATAACATGAAGTTCAAATTTAAAATGGTTGAGACCTTCATACAGTGTTTAGAGTCAGTGGCATTCAAAAATCTCTTAGACCTCTGACCTTATTCAATACAGCTCCAAGTTCAAGTGTTGGATGGTCATTATTAGGTTTTGTGTTCGTTTGGACTTACTTCACTTATTTCGCTTCATAAGCTTACAGCTTACTTATTACTTGATATAACTGAAACAGACGGAGGAGATTTTTTACTTTTGTGGTAATAGCGTGGTAACGTATTATGTCAGTGAGATTCCCACGAGGCTACAAACACAGAGTCACAGTAGTGCTGCTCTGTCAAGTGGTTCTTTCGGTTATAGACAAACGAGTCCATCTTAAAAGAAAGCCCAATAAAACCTACATAAGGTAAGCCCAAGATACAAACGTGTTGGGCTCGTTGTTATTATTCTTATCTTCTTCCTGCAAAACACAAATCTGACTGTTGCTGCTGCTTCCGCTGTTAAATATTATTTATCAAACTACAAAAATAAAAGTATAATAAGAACCAAGATACAACTTTTGAGTTGGTAACTGTTAACATAGCTTAAGTGCTTCCCCGACATTTGAACCAACGTTTAAGTAGATTCCACGAACTTATTCTGCAGCGATAGATCCAAATTGCTTTGGACGTGGAAGTAGGGTAATAATCACATACATACACATGTTTTTTTTGGTTCTTGGGATCAACCTCAGCCCTTGAAGAAGCTAAAATACGATGATCACTTCTGATCAGATGAGATCCATTTACGTGTAACATAAATTTTATGAAATTCAATATGAACTATATCCCAAAATCATTTAGATTTGTTTAGTTCATTCCTAACTTGGTTTCTTAGAAGAAAAAAAAACTAATTAGTTTTGATCCATGTTTTTAGTGGTTTAAATGGAAGCAGTTCACCAATTAATCAAATATATATTCTGAATGATTGATAATTCAAAATTGAAAAGATTTGATGAATTTGCAAACTATCTCTCGACCTGCTCTTTATTCTCCATTACCATTAAAAGGTCGAAGCTGCCTATATTTAGGTTCCTGCAATCTTTTTTTTTTTTTTTGATTTTTTTTTTTTTTTGAAACACTGGTTCCTGCAATCTATCTGATAATTTTTTTTTGAACTGATCTATCTCATAATTTGGTTCATGAAAATGTTGGAAGTTTAATTTTTCCAAGTTCTTCGTTAAATATATATATATATATATATATTTTTGGACAAACTTCGTTAAATATTTATGATACTCATCATCAGTCTATCCATCAAATATATAATAGATATATTTTCGTAAGATACCGTTGTCGACGTTAGAAGAGACATTGTCTGATGATCTGATACTAATGACGTCAAGTGATTCCAGTTTACCCCGAGTTAAAAACATGTTAAAGACGTCAGCATCATTTACTTATCATATGGTAAAAGACGTCAAGTGGTTCCAGTTTACCCCGAGTATCTCCATGTGATGTGACCACTTCTTTCTCCTCTAATTCTTTCACTCTCTCACTTGGACTTTACCTCCTCTACGTCTGCTACACGCTCCATTTATGAATGTCCCCACACCCAACGTGCGATTTCATACACATTACAATAAGCCAATAGTTGAGCAATAATTCTTTTAATTATCAGCTAGCTAGTACAACTTAACTATACCCAAACCTGTAAATTTCTAGAAAAAATCATGACTGAAAAGATAAAGGTTTTACTATTTGATATGTGCTAAGATAGTGTTATCAACATGCGACAGTTAACAAAAACTTTTATTTCGTGTGAGGTAGACAATGACATCTGCGATACATATATGATCAAATACCTCATAAAATCTTAAGCGCCAGCGGTTAACCTTTTTTGTATATAGACCGAGTAGTTTTCTTGTGTTCAAACATTGATTCAAATGATGTTATACATTAGTTTAATTACAGAGATGGTCCTATAAACTTTTGTTAGCACATGCGCCAATGTAAATTTTCAACAAGAAAAATATAATATAACCACTTTTTGTTTGCCAGCAGAGATTCATATTCAATATCTGTGTTTTGTCCTATTAGCAGCCTTTGTTAAAAAATGATTTTTACGTCATGACTCGTGAGGAATGCAGACAATATACAGCACGAAGTCGTAAGACTGACGATGATGCTGGCGTATAACGTATATACCAAGCTATATACAAATATTTCGAATCTCTTGTACATCTCCAACATGTACGCCAGATTTCATGGAAAACTCAAAAGTAATTCATCTTCTTCTTTGGCTTCTATTCCTTTTTAATCAATTGATATACAATGATACATATATAGTTGTAATATTGTACAAATATACATGCTTGCATTGCATATGTTGTTGTAATCAGACAGCTGCGTAAATTATTTTAGCTCAATAGTTTTCTAATCTTTTTCATCTTTTCTAATGTTTCATCCTTTCGAATGTTCTTAAATATTTTTATAAATTAATGATGTCCATTCTTAGAAGCCATAAGTTGTGTTTAATTTTCAAATTCAGAAGCGACCAAGCTGACATCAAGGAATAAAAAAAGTGAAGAAAATATTAGTAAAGAAAGAAAATAAAATACTATAATTACCTACTGGTTACGTCATTATAGCTATAGTGACACCCAATATATATTTCCATTTATGGTCCTTCTCATTTTGCGTTGACATCAAGAAAACACCCACTTTATCTCTCTCTCGAATGAAGACGATGCAAGGTTCTTGGAACTTTTCTAACGACGACGTTTCGGTCCCTCCTGCAGCACCACCACCGGTATCCTCCACCACCGCCTCAACGAGCCTATCGTTCGATAAAGAGGAGACTCCAGAGTCAAAGATCGAACGGCTGATATCTGAGCATCCGGTTATCATATTCACTAGATCCTCCTCATGCTGCATGTGTCACGTCATGAAAAAGCTTTTATCGACCGTTGGAGTTCACCCAACGGTGATCGAGGTCGACGACGAAGAGATCGCTTGCCTCGCCGTTAAAACCGCTCCGGTGCTCTTCATCGGTGGTGGTTGTGTCGGTGGGTTCGAGTCTCTTGTGGCACTTCACCTTAGTGGTCATCTAGTTCCTAGACTTGTTGAGGTTGGAGCCTTATGGTCATAATTTTGCTTTTTAAAAATCTATAACTAATTATGAAAATTTGATAATAAACTCCATTGTATATTTCATGATCTACTATTTTCTGTTCTTAATTCTGAAATCGTTACACAAAAAAAAGTTGTATTTTTTTCCCCTTGCGTATTTTATTTTTGTTTTTTCTTCAGTATGGTTTATGTTCTTTAGGTTTATCTCGTGTGTGATTTCTTCCATCATAAATTATCAAATTTTCAAATTATTTCTGTTTTCTTTAAATTCTGTTTAAAATCTACATGTTCATGTGGAGAAAAAAGTGAATTTCGTGATGATGTTGAGAAGCTTTAAACAGTTGATTGATCCGTCATGAAATTTTAATAGTAACTTCTGATTAGTTAAAATAAAGTACTGATTAAGCCATTTGTCTTAGTTGATTACCACGGAATCTGACTACTATCTTTTCCTTGAACAAATTAGGTTTTTGAGTATATCAGTAAATGATTTAGGAATCTCTCTTAAATAGATTTTATATTGTGTGCAATAAGAGAGTTTGGCCCAAGAATCATTAGACTTTTAAAGTAGGTGTCACTCACAAGTCACAAATTCACAATTATTGCCCAATCACTGCCGCTGGATTCTTTAATACGTGAAACCTCCTCTATGTATATTTTGATTATGATTGATTGGATTTACAACTTACACATTATTTGTTAATTCATTCATTAATTTGAATCCAAAGTAAAATTCTCAACATTTTAGCTCTCAACGAGACAACCACTCAAATAGCTTACCTAGTTGAAAAAGTTATTCTTATCCATAAATCATATTTACAGATAAGGGCATGTGCATTGGTGTTACTCTAAATAGAATCCTTAACATTATTTAAGTATATATTTTCTTTTTAGAATAGTTAAGGATTATAATCTAAATTTTAGGTTCAATGGTGTTCTTCAATAATGAGTCCTTAAGATTAAAAATAATAAAATATAAAACAAGTGAAAATAAAATTTTATTTATTGCAAGATTAAATATAAAATTACAATAGTTATTTAAAACATGATTAAATATAAAAATACAATAATTATTTAAAATATGATATAAAAATACAAATTACCAAAGAATCAATAATTTCTTCCACTGTGTCATGACAGAAGCATTTTTCAAGTAACTCGATCCTACAAAAAACGGGAACAAAGCAAACTTAGAAGCTGATGAGAATACAAGGCAGGAGTTTTCTGTCTCTCGAATTCAGGAAAACAAACCTGCGAATAACACCAATCTTTTCTGGATGAGCAGCTTCTGCACATCTTTCTAAGGTTGTTTCAACAACAGAAGGATCATCAATGGGGAGCTTCTTGAGCTGTGCTTCCAATACATGAACCTCCTGTTGTTGGAGTAGGAACCATTACTACCTAGTACGTAAGATAAGTTTAATGAAACCAGAAAAAAAAAACTGATTAATGTAAACTGGAATATTCAAGTAACCTCTCTTTCTTAAACTGATAGACACAATATCACCACCAGCACAAAACGCCCTTCCACTCCCCTTCAACAGTTCAAAGAGAAAGAGTTAAGAGTTAGGAGCTTTCAAGGACACTTCTAAACACAATCAGTTCCCATAAACACAAAGAAGAAGACGAAGCTACAACAATGCCATTCACAAATCACCTTCATCATCACGATAAGTTTGTCACAAGCCCACATGCCAACATTTCCGCGCCACTGAGCTTCAAGCCAGTCAGACCCAGATACTCCCCTGCATATACTCTATTAAATCATCCATCCAAGAGAGCTTATAAAAACGAAAAGTTCAAAGAATAAAAAACAGTTGGTGTGGTTGTTAACTTAATAGCACGATTTGTTCACTAAACCATACACTTTTCCCATAAAATCTAATCATTATAAATAATTAAAAACTCATTCTCCAATCCTATCTAGCTTCTTCCCACAAATCAAAACATGAGAATGTAAACTGGAATATTCAAAATACCTCTCTTTCTTAAATGGTAGATAGACACAATATCACCACCAGCACAAAACGCCCTTCCACTCCCCTTCCAACAGTTCAACGCCAACTGTTTTTCATTACGGCAATTAGAATCACGGCACTCATCAAACAGTCCCAAGTCTCAGCAGACTCAACGCTACAATGACTAGACAAAGCACACTTACCCCTCTAGAAACTACACAAACCATCAAAGTAACACTAAAACAAGTTAAAATAGTCAAAAATTCCAAGCAAAGGTGAAAAAAATAATCAACAATAGAGATGTAAATACCAACCAGGTCTGTCTTTTGAATTAAGTGAATTCCAAAATCCAAAATTCACAATGGAATTGTCACAAAGAAACAAGTTTAAGTAGAAGACTAAATTTTTTTTTCTTTTTTTGAAACACAGAAGACCAAATAAAAATCAACTCTTTTGCAATATAACGACACAACCAATCCATGGAGTCTCTAATTATATACCTACTAATCACTAACACAGACCTAGCTGATTCTAGTGATTACAGGAACCAAACATGATCACGCAGCTCATAATTGTCCACAATCCGACATACAAATGTAATAACTTTGCAAATCACCGACCAATTCACAAAACCTAATGAATAGTAAAGTCAATCCCCAATAAACAATCAACAAACAAAAGAGAAGGGTCTCTATGATTGTGTCGGGGAAACATACCAGTGATTGCATACGGTGGCGCTACGGTTTGATGCGACGAAGATCTCGTAGGCAATGAGGCGGAGATCGGATTGGGAAAACTCAACGGCGAGTTGGCCGAGTGGAAACGGTGGTAGATCGGAAAGTATAGTGGAGGCCATTGAAGAGGAGCATGGAATTGCAGGCGTATTCTCTCTCTTGGAATGCCACGTCAGTAAGGATTACCCTCTCACAAATCCTTAGTTAAGGATTTTTTCACCCGATAACATAACTTTTTATTATTATTTAATTCTAATCTGACAAGAATTTGTGCTAAGGATTTGTTAATATACACCGTTGCACATGGTCTAACATTGTTTATGTTGAACAACAAAATTTACATCTCAACCAAAAAGAAAAATATTACCCTTAGATATGGGAGCTCCTCAGTGGTGGGGGGTTGGTTAGTCTTTAGAAAACAAGTTATTTTATTTTATTTTATTTGATACAAGGACAATTTGTTACGAGTTTATTATTATTTCTCATCTACTTTGTTTAAAATACTCATAAAATAATACATATTTTATCTCATAAAATGACAGTTTATATTTTATTATTTGAATAATGGTCATTGCAGCTGTGCCGTGCTCCAACGGCAGCAACGGCATATCACCACCATATGAAGGAAGAAAATAAAAATAAACGAATCAACTTGACTGACCCTATGATTTCGATCATTTAATGTGTTTATTATAGAAAATCTGAATAGCAATAGCCAATGAGAGTCGAATGATGTAATGCACAAACATTACATATGAATTAATATGATAGCGACAATATTAGAAAGTGAGATACCGAAAGAAATCGAAATGATTAAAGGCAACATAAGTGAAGGTGAGGTTACAATGGCCACAGTTTAAAGTATACAGAAAAGACAAGTGTATAATTAATCTATGTGGTTTCTCTTTTATAAAAAATCTTGAGACATCTCCACCACAAAGTTTAAGAGGGGACACTGATTAAATTCGCATTACTAAAAAGGTTTTTTTTCTTCCAAAACCCATGTTGACAATAGCAACTAGATGATAAAACATAGGTGATGATTTGGTGTACCAAAGCGCCCTAAAGGGAGACTCTCGAGTTTCAAATGTGGAAAAAATAGTTTAACCTGATTTGATTTTCATCTCGAATAAATTTTAAGTCAAATAGATAAACATGACTTATTAAGTTTCGTTTGAATTGATTTGGGATTTTCTCATGCTACAAGCTTCCAAAGACGACATAGTCACACGCTATGCTCCATGATTGAATACGTAAAGCATAGCCATTTTCAGATAAACCGTAGACGTTATTGCACTTCTTCCTCCCCCATAGCTCTCTTTAACGAGTAATCGATCTAGAATTCTAGAAACAAAAACAAATCGTCATACAAAAAATACTGACGAAGGTAACATGTGTTAAAGTGAAAATAGCCAAATAGGAAAGAAATGACATTTACAAAAAGGGTATACTTCAACTTACCAAACACTCTTAATGAGATCTTCTCATGCCTTAGATCAATGTCTAAGAATGTTCCAAGCGTAGCTTTTTTCTATGTTGTCTCTCAACGAAGACATACACAATAAACAACATAAAAACATCAAATATACAATATCAGAAACATAAATGAGCCTTAACTACGATACTTTTGATTTTGCCGAGAAAATGTTATATAGTTGTGAGAAGGTTTGGGTGTACTTATAGTGCCATAGGCGTTTACTACCTTTTTAGTCTGTCCAAAGGTTGAAGCAAGTGGAAGAAGTTCTCAAAGTATTTGTTAATTGTTTTTTTTTTTTTTTTTTTTTTTTTTTACAGCTTTTAAG